CATTTTAAATAATTAAATAATTATTTATTAAATAAACTATTCATACAAATTGAGTTAGTGCTGAGTGCTAAGACACCAGCCATGACACCTTATCGAATAACCCCTCATAAGTTAGAGAAATTGAGAAAATAATTGAAGGCTATATTGGGCTAGATCCAAATCACCTTATGATTCACACATGCTGCTATAGAAGAAGGAGAGTAGATCATTAAGGATGTGCATGGATCATGAGGTGTTAAACAAAGTCATGATGAAAAACAAGTATTCAATTATATCGATAGCTAACTTTTTCAATCGGTTAGGGAAAATTCAATTTTGCACCAATTTTGATTTAAGATTGAGGTATTACCAAGGTTGTATTATTGTTGAAGATATGTCAAAGATGACATCCGTGACAAGAGATTGTTCTCACGAGTTTTTGGTTATGCTTTTTGGCTTAACAAATGCCCAACTACCTTCTATATCTTAACAAATAAGGTATTATGGATGTAGTTAGATTAGTTTAGAATGGTATATCCTAATGATATCATGGTTTGTAGCTCAACGGTAAAGGAACTCCTAAATCACCCACATACTCGTTCAAGGTACTAAGGGTAAATGAGCTTTATGTAAAAAAAAGAAGTGTTTTTTTGCAAAAAAAGAACTACTCTTCTTAGGGCATAAAATTAAGAAAGGAAGTTTGATGATGGATGAGGCAAAAGTCAAAGCTATTTCGAAATAGGAGGAGCCAACCAAGGTACTCGACCTTCACTCTTTTCTTAGATTAGCGAACTATTATTGCCACTTCATTCGTGATTGATCAAAAAAGGAGGCATCTTTCACTAACTTGTTGAAGAAAAACAAGAAATGAAAGTGGATGGAATGGTGTCGAAAAATCTTTTAAAGAGTTAAAACAAATCATCACTAATGAGGCGATATTAAGCTTGACATAACCAACTAAGTTGTTTGAGGTAAATACTAATGCTTCTAATTTTGATATAGGTAGTGTGTTGATGCGGGAACAATATCTTATAGCTTATGAGAATAGAAAGTTGAATGACACTAAATGTTGATATTCGATGCAAGAAAAAGAGATGACTGCGGTAGTTCATTGCCTACGTATTTAGAGGAATTACTTACTAGGATCCTGATTTATAGTGAAGACGGATAACATATCCATAAGTTATTTTTAAATTCAAAAGAAGTTGATGCTTGAAACAAGCTCGATGGCTAAGTTTCTTACCAAATTTGATTATGCTTTTGAGTATAAGCCGGGAAAAACTAATATGATGGTCGATGTACTTAGTAGAAAAATTGAGTCGATGTACTTAGTAGAAAAATTGAGTCATATTATATGATAAAGGTGGATGGAGAGATCAAAGTCGGAATCAAAGAACAAATGGAGTATGATCCAATCATCAAGACTTTGTTGGCCCTTACTAAAGAGGGAAAAACTAAAAAATTTTAAGAGAAAGATGGCATTCTCTACACAAAAAGAAGGAGAATCTATATGCCTAAATTAGAAAACCTCTAACGAGATCTAATGAAAGAATTTCATGACTCAATGTAGGATGGACATCTAAGATAGCAACACACTATAGTTTTATTAGAGCGAGAGTATTTTTTGCCATAGTTGTGGGATAATGTAGAGTTTCGTGTGAGGACATGCCTAGTGTGCTAGTAAGAAAAAATTAAAATCAAATGTCTAGAGGTCCGTTGTAGCCTTTGTCTATTCGTAAAGAGACCTTAAGAGACAAGAACCATAGATTACATAGTAGCATTGCCAAAATCCAAGAACTTTTGAAGCATTATCGTAGTCATTGATAAGTTCTCCAAATATACTACATTCATACCGATCTAACGAATTTGGTTATAGAGAACACTACCGAGCTACTCTTCAAGTATGCGATGAAGTATTAGGACATGTCGTGACATAGTATTAGTGATCGATATCTTTAATTTACTAGAAAGCTATGGATCGAAGTTTTTGAGTTGCTAGACTCAAAGTTACATTACTCCACAAGCTTCCATCCTCGGACGGATGGATAGATTGAGAAGGTCAATGCTTTGCTTAGAAACATATTTGAGGCACTCTGTGAGTGCTAACTAACAAAATTGGACTAAGTCATTGGATCCATCTAGTGTTTCATGTTAATATACTTAACCATACCATACAAACGAGGAGGATCCAAGTTATGGAGTTTCTCATGGGGCGCCTATAGCCATGGTTGGCTTGTATGACAAAAAATCGATGTCATATTTCATAATTGTATGATCCAACATCGTGGTGTGCCATCAAAAAGAAGTACTATGTTAAGTGGAAAGGCTTATTAAAAAATAAGGCTAGTCGAGAACCTACGAAGCCTTGTGGCAATTCACACTATCGATCAAAGAGTATAATTAAAGCATGTTGAGGACATTGTTGAATTAGATGAGGGAGAATGTTATGCCTCGCACAAAAAAATGACATTTTTGAAGGTTCATTGAGAACGCTAGATAAATATATAAGCCTTTTGAAGAATATGAAGCATGAGAGAAATCACTAGGTTATCCGGAAGAAATCTAAATATATCGTGAAGAATCTTAGAGAATCCCTCAATGTTGTAAAATGTGTATATCTAGATAGTTCTTTGTAAATATTTAGATAGAAGAATTACGGAGAGTTTAAATTAGATTGATCCTAACCATCTATCGAGGAGGTGGAGGACTATATATAGGAGAGGCCTTCATTTGGCCAAACCATTTAGAAAGTGTAATATAAGAGAATTATAAGCTTTTGATATCAATACAAAGAGTTTGTATAATTTCTCTTTTCTTTCTTGTTTTACAATTTAGCATGGGAGAAAGATCGACTTCGTTCGACCTGTGCGAGTAGTGAGGCAAATGAAGCACGAGAGCTTGGGAAAGACCAAGTTTGTGACACCGAGGCTAAGGTAATTTAATTGAAAAGTCTATAGTTATTTCAAAAAAAAAAAAAAAAGTTTAAAAAAGTCATTCTTTTTTATAAGATATTTTATTCACTTTTTCATGTTTAGTTCGGATAGAAAAACTTGGTCAACTAAAAAAAATTATGATAAAAATAAAACTTAAAAAAAAGAAAAAGAAAATTTTATTTTTATTATATAATGAATATTTAATAAAAATATCTTTACATTTGAATCTTAAGTATCCGAAGTCTTGCAATTAATTAATACTTGTTTTTGCCTTTTTAACACTTACTTTTTTCATATACCAAGCACCATAAAATTAATTTTAGGTATGCTTCATCAACATAGCAAAATATTCACAAATAAATATTTATTCAATAAAATATTTTTAATTAAATATATATTTTACATGAAAAAAAGGGATATGTAACACGACTAGAAAAAAGAGAGGGGATAAATGGTAACGCGAATACTCTTGATTTTATCTTAAACCGGTCCCTTTGCATTTAAATTTAATGTTGAGCGCGCCCGCTCTAGCATGTTAGCCGTTTGCTTTTTCCTTGTACCACCGTCAGTGACAGTGGTTGCATGGAGGACGCAAAGCAGCTAAAAAAAAACTATTACTATTAAGTCAACTGATAAAATATAGCTTTGGTTAAAATATATTATACATAAATTAATTAAATCTCATGTATTTGATAATTTTTAATATTTATTGATAAATTTTTGGTTTAATAGTATTGAGTTTTTTGAACTTATAAGAAATCATGGATACAAATTTTCTAATTAGAATATTTGAGTTTAAAAAAATTTCATTACAAGAAAACATTAAAATAATTCATCATTTTTGTAACGATGGTCAAGTCAATCAGTTGTGTTTATACGGTCTCAGAACACCTAATAACCGATTTGGAATACATGATGCTATTTATGACCAAAAAAAGTAATAAGCTTTGGTATTTATCTTTTTTTTTCTTTAGATTTTGGACTTTTGACATTTTTTTTTTGTAAGTTTTGTAAACTTGTATGACAACACATTATTATATTTAAATTATTTTTTGTTGTTATAGATCATTCATTGATAATTGGAGTGTTTATTAATTATTTCAACCTCTTAAAATTATAATTCAAATAATTTGAAGAGATTCGTTTTATGATTAAGGTCAGCACTTAATTTTCTTTTATTATATTCCTTTAAATGCATCAAATCGATGCGAATGATGTGTTATTAAAATTACTTAAATAAAAAATTATAGTTTCGATTGATATGCAAACTAAATTAAAGATATTTCTTACTATTAAATAAAAAAATAATAATTCAAATTAAATTATATAGTTCGGAGTATTACAATACAAATCAAATTGTATTAGTTGAATATAATATAAACACCAACAAAATTAAAAGCATATTCATGAAAACTGTATTAAAAAATAAATAGATATAGTTAGCATGCCAATGAACAAACTTCTGATAACTTAAAATTCACAATTTAGCATCAGTTTGGGAAGAATTTTTTTAGTATGTAAAAAATTGCTTACTTCATGTACAGTCTCCCAAATGGAAAAACTCATCGAACACATTTTCAATATTTTGCTATTTTAAGTATGAACTTCAATTTCTTTGATTTTTGGAATGAAATTCTATTATATTAAAAAAATTCATGTCTTTTTAATATGATTTATTTAGTTGTGAAAGTACCTAATAATTTTTCATTTTTATTTTGAATTTATGGATTTTTATTCTACATTACTTTGCATGCTTGGATGATCCCAACGAAAAACGAATTCAGTTTTGGATAAATATTTTTCTATAGTGCTTAATTGAGTATGTTATTTCGAATGGAAAATGGAATAAAATGCAGCTAATAATATTGTATTTAATCATAACAGCGGTGGATGGAAGTACTTGTTCCCAACAGATGGTGAATATAAGGTCCGCATTACAAAATTTTAATAGATATGGACCAACGTGAAACAAAAAAAAATCAAGAGTACGATTAAGTATTAACACAGTAAAAATGTGGCCTCTCATTCCTCTCTCTTAATCTGTTCGGAGACGACGCGACGACAACAAGGGAGAAAGGCATAACGATGATGGGTTGCAAGTCTTTGCTCGTGCCGTCAGCACCAACAGCGATAATACCGTCTAAAATTGCAGCATCCCTTGCTCCTCCTCCTCGCCCTCAGTCCCTCTGCTTCCCTCGCGCTTTGACTGTCACTGATTCCGTGGTTTTCAGAGTCAAGTCCAACTCTGCTCGGATTAAGCTTGCCTCCTCCATCCGTTGTGGTATGTGTAATATCTCCTTCGTTTCTTCTCTGTAACTGCCATAATAATTATCTTGCTGTTATCAAATATTGTTGTTTTGTGAAGATCGATCTAGTCGGAATAAACTGAGTTTCTTTAAGTTAGAAAGGCTTGAAATATGTAGTAGTTCGTTTCCCTTCTTCTTGCGTGCCACCAGCCAGGGCCATGGGTCTTGTTTCAATTGGTAGTCGCGCAAAGCTGGCCACGCGACTATTTCGGGTCCCAAAGGGTGTAGGAGTTCTCCATCATAAAAAAATAAAAAGATGGCTCTTCTTGTTGCAATTGCATGTCGATGATAAGTTGAACTGATTGAGTGGTAAGTATCGAGAATTATAACTTGAGATAAAGAGAGTGGGTAAATAGATTAGAGTTGGTAATTCAAATGATACATCTTATGTTCCAATGTTGATTAAAATTCAATTAGGAGAAGCTTTTAGGGTAATTTCGCTACCGGCAAGAAAATTTTCGTAAACGATCAATTCACACTTTGGATAACAGCATTGATATCATGCCATACATACTCATTAATTCTTTTTCTTCTTGTTGTTTTTGTTTTTTAAAATTTTTGTATCCCGTTAGTTATATCTTTTCTAAGTAAGCAAGGAAAAACAGAATTGCAGCGTTAATATTTGAGGACAAATTTGTGCTTGACAGCATTGACTCCTGAGCTAAAGACTACATTGGATAAAGTTGTTACATCACACAAAGTTCTTCTTTTCATGAAGGGAACCAAGGACTTCCCGCAATGTGGATTTTCACAAACTGTGGTGCAGATATTGAAGTCATTAAATGTACCTTTTGAAACAGTTAATATTCTAGAAAATGAATTTTTACGTCAAGGATTGAAGGAATATTCTAGCTGGCCTACCTTTCCTCAACTCTACATAGATGGAGAATTCTTTGGTGGCTGTGATATCGCTGTTGGTAAGTTCAATTTTATTGTGATTTTCAATATGGAAACCACGTTGAATGTTAAACTTCCAAGTTTTATGTTTCTGTAGTTTGCTTTCATCATGGATGGACCATGAAAACATAGCATGAGCATGCTTATGTGCGACACACATATTTCCACACTTGCGTGTGCACTTGCATGTGTGCATGAATCCATGTTGGAAAATTCTTTTTGCTGATTCATTTTAGCTCCTCCGATGCACTGACATCTTTATCCATGCGCATAATGCATCATTTTGCCTAAGAATGGAGTAATTCATATGCACGCACTATAATGAATATTATCTGACTTCAGAATCCTGTGTTAAGAAATTTGAGCTTTTAGGTCGACCAGACTGGTAATATGTTGGCAAGTAGATATGTTTGGACCAATAAAACGATGGCATTTTGCCATTATCTCAAAAGAGAATGAGAAAGTGAGTTGTATCATGAATGATATATGCCTGAGTTTGGAAGCTTGTTGAGCCTTCTTGACAATCCAAGCCCAACAATCCGACTCTCTCAAAAACATCCTATTAATTTAGGATTAATTTTAGGATCTTGCCATAAATCCTATTTGCACCTCTGACATTACTCATCATAACAACAAAAATGCAAATAACAATGACTTCTTCACTGGCAATAAGTTTAGTGTGATCAGTAAATTTAGGGAAGCTCTAGGAACAGGCTGTAGGTCAGCAAGTTCTGAGAGCATTTCATGCTGCCACATGTGTTTTGAATCCTCTTTCCTTCACCTCTCTTTCCTGTTTTTTGCTAGTGCTATATCATTGTTTATTCTTGGATTATTAATTTCTCCCAACTTCAGTAAAACAAAACTGCAATAAAAAAGAAAAAATTATGTTGGCTTGCTACATGCTTTGAACTGACAGTTTTATTTTTTGTTTTGGATGTTAACCTTCCTAGTTCTTTCGTGTCAGAAATGTCAGTCATGCTTCTCTTGGTATTTCTTGAAACAATTTGAACAAACTTTTCATAAGGAAATTGGTAGAAAGCAATTATAGACAGAGCTTCTAGTTCTTTTTTAGCACAGAAATGCTCGTCCCTTTATTGGTTTTACAAACTACATTTGAAAGTGCACACACTCAAAACAGAAATCATGGAGTTGCTGTCCATACCTATTCTGATGTATCCAACACATGAACTAAAACAAAATTTATCACCCTTCGCATGTGCCTCAGGTGCCGTAACCAAGTGCTCAATTTAAAACTCAATTGATAAACTGACCTCACACATCATAGAGCAAACCTCCTGAAAGTCAAGTGATTACAATAAATATTTATGTGGACTTTTATTTTTTTTATTACGTTTGTGATACAAAAGGCATAGTATGTCTACTTGATCCAACCAAATGAAATTTCTTTGCATGTGTTATTGTTCATCATTAATATTTGAGTTCATTTTGAAGGGAATCTATTGGTTTTGCAGAGGCATACAAGAGCGGCGAATTACAGGAATTAGTGGAGAAGGCATTGTGCTCATGAAACTCTTTCAGTTGCGGTAGGTTGTTCTGGTCCCTGACTCAATGATAACACTTAGTTATGGTAAAAAATTTGTTTGATGGTAACGGCCAAATTTTTTGCCTGCCTTCAAAGTAATTTTGCTAATTTGTGACGTAAAGCCTGGGAGAGGGTGGGGGGGGGGGGGTAAGATCATCATCATTTCCCCTCCTTTATATAATATTGCATTTCCATGATATTCCACCAAATGTATCGTACTAGTGTTCATTAATTTTCGAAGCACGTGGATGAAGAAATTAACGATTAGTTTCTCATTGAAACTAATGAACGTTGAAGTTTTTGCAATACATTTGGAATCACATTATCAAATATACTTATTCCTGTTTATGCTAGATCAGGCGGTAAGAAAAAAGTAAGGGCTTGCTGGTTTGGGTATGGATGAGATCCTATTTTGAAGCAGGATTGCCCCCTCTTTTTCACTGAAAGAACCAAAAAAAAAAAAAGAAAAGAAAGAAAAGAAAGAGGTCTGATTTTTGGGTCCTCAAAACAGACTTAAGATCAGAGACTCGCTTGGTGCTCAGTCTAATTGGTCTGATTTTTTTTTTTTTTTGTTGCTATTAGAAAACAAAGCATATCCCTGCAACATTCTGTTACCAGTTTGTCAAATGTCACTAACCATAACAATTAATCAATAACAAAATTTAACAAGGGACCCCGAATATGCTAATGCAAGAGTGATGATAAATCAATTGGACTTTTGTATAATGACGTAAAGGGGAATGATTAACGATTTTGCTAAATGCTTTAAATTTTTCACTTTTATTTTTTACAGTGAAACAGAGCTGCTGCAACTTGCAACTCGAAGACATGCTGTGTGTCGAATCCAACTCTGAAAAGCGTTGGGTATAAATTTTATGTCTGGAAGAAAGGTCTTGGTCTAGAATGTATTTTATGCCGTACGCGTAACAGTAACAGATTATGCATGCTATATTTGCGTATACCAGATACACTTTCCATCTTTTTGGTTGGAATATGTACTTTCAATTGCTAGACATCATTCTATTACACGCGTCTTAACCCCAAGTCGGTAAGAAGTTCGCGAGGCTAAATCCTCATTGTGTGAAGGCGGATCTTGTCTCTATCAGATTCAGGTGGTCCCTGGTGATGAGATATTCTATCCGCTTCTTGATTGCTTTCGTGTCAGGCTTCAGCAGTCAGCTCAGCTACTGAATGCTCTCTGAGACTAATTGTTGTCTTGTTGATGACATAGAGCATTGCGACTCTGCATGACTGCAACATAAACTGCATATCGTCTATTCTCTGGGAGCATCTTCATTGACCCTTTTGTCATTGGCTGGAGGAGGAGAGTTCTTGATTCTTCTCTTTTTTTCTTGTCAGGCTCTTTAATAGGATCTTAGGCTTGCCACGTGACTTTGAGTTGGAGCAATCTCCCCAAGTCATCGTGGTTGGTCAAGTTCCACTGGGTTATGATGTCTGGATAACTTAATCTATCTAAAGCATTAAAAATCCACAAAGGCCGCCTGTTGCGTTGTGACGTCTATGCGTATTACTATGCGATAGTAGTTAACTCGGCGTTTAATAAATTGGCTTATTTATTAAATTATTCTCCCCAAAAAAACTCTTTGTTGTTAAAGTAGAAAACATCATATTTGAAGAGTTTCGAGGAGTAGAGGCCAGCAAATAAACTTTAATTTTTTTTCGAGCATATTTAATTTTTTAAAATTATCAATCAAATATTTCTATCAATTTTTTTGATAACCGATAATGTATCCCTTATTTTCGTAATATTAAATTATAATTTTGTTTTTTCTTAATGGGATATATAAACTTTATTTTTTTTAGATTAAGTACATTATTTTGTTAAAAATTGACAATCAAATACTTCGTTAATTTATTCATTAATTGATATTAATTGATGACGCGTATGAATACCAAATTATATATATATTGTTGTAAAAAAACTCCTTAAATTATTATATCATTTTAAAATTTGACAGAAAATTTAAAAAATTATTTTTAGTTATAAAATTTAAAACTAAACTTATTTAGGCTTGTTGTTAAAAAAAATCAGTTAAGTTCGGGCTTGCAAAGTGAAGAAAACACAAACGTGAGATTTCATCAAGAATGTTCATTTGTATTTTTATTTAATTTTTACTCTTAAACCTAATTGATTTTTTTTTTTAAATAGCAACCTAACTCGGATTTAATCTTGAATTTTATAGATAAAAAATTATATTTTTTTAATTATTTGTCAAATTTCAAAAAGCCTTCTTCAACAAAAAAAATATAAAATTATAATTTCGTTTTTGACCACATCATCAATTAACAAAAAATTGATAAAATTATTTGATTGATAGTTTTGAAAAAATCGATGTACTCAAATGAAAGCGATTAAAGTTCGTGTACTTGATCGAGAAAAAGAGTAAAATTGTAATTTGGTATTTTGAAGGTAACAAATATGTCATTAGCTAAAGAAAAAATTAATAGAAGTATTTGATTGACAATTTTGTAAAATTTGATATACTCAAATGAAAAAGATAAAGTTTATATAGTTGATTGGGAAAAAATGAAAATTAGTGTACTCGGATTACAATTATCTCTTTATTTAATTATTCTCTCCATAAAAAAACTGTGTTGTTCAAGTAAAAAACATAGTTAAAGATCTTGGAGGAGTAGAGGCCGGCAAATAAACTATGGTGAATCCAATTCATTTTGCAAAATATAGAGAAGAATTCCAAATAATTTTTCAAGAAATATTTTACACAAATTGTTCCTACATAAACATGATAATCTTTCAAGTGACCATGAGTGGATAGCGTTAATTGCTTTGCAATTTATTAGTCAATAAGAATTCTTTTAGTTTCATTACTAATCTTTTGTTTAATGGTAAATATACTCATCTCGTCATTATGTAATATTCAAAGTCTTTCATATATTTTTAAGTTTTTAATTGTATTTCATTTATCTTTGAGGGTGTTTGAAACGTTCAATTTTTCATTTTAATTAATTTTTTCCTGCCAAATGATTTTTTGATCGAAATGGCCCTATTGAAATGCAAGAAAAAAAATTCGAAAACTTTTAAAATAGAACAAATAGGTCATGTGACTTTTATTATTTTTTTCATATTTTAGTAAATAGCATTTCAGTAAAAAAAAAATCATGGTCAGAAAATTTGATTGAAAAAATAGATGGAATATTTCAAAAAATCTAAGAGATAAATGAGATGCAATTAAAAATCTAAAAACGGATAAGAGACTTTGAGTATTATATAAAAATAGATTAATATGTGTAATTTTTATTTAAAAGAAAACTTACCTATTTATCACATATAAATAATTTTAAAATTTAAATATAATAGAACATGATGCGAAGTCTCTTGCCATCGAATTAAAAATAAGATATAATAAATAATATCTCATATATGGTGATCTTGAATAGGCTGTGTTTAGTCTCTCTCTCTCTCTCTCTCTCTCTCTCTCTCTCTCTCTCTCTCTCTCTCTCTCTCTCTCTCTCTCTCTCTCTCTCTCTCTCTCTCTCTCTCTATATATATATATATATATATATATATATATATATTTCAAAATAGTCATTGGTGGTTTTCCATCACAACTAACTTTATTATTTTTTTATTTTATCTTTATTGATCTAAGATTTAGATCTACGTGGATGCGTGTTAATTATTTATTCTCCTTGCTTGTCAAAGTTTTTCTCCATTCAAAAAAAGTCCGGTGGGTGGTTTCTAGTTGGACGTAAGAGATTGATACTAATCAATAGTTTTTATCTTCTATTAATAGAGCTTGATAGTGTTGTCCGTTTCTCAATTGATTTATAGCAAATCAAACTCATCCTGCAATCAGTTCCTACATATACAGTTTAGATTTGAGAATTTCAAAGTATAAATAATTAATAATGACATGTTATTCTTTGAAAGATTATTATCTACTGCTAGTATTGTCAATTATTTTTTCAAACTATAAGTTATAATTTCTCTCGATATAGCATGAAAATAGTCAATGTACTTGTTTTCTATATAGTACAATAAAAAATAATTGTACATCGAAATGAAAATAGCAATTATTTTTTCAAACTATAAGTTATAATTTCACTCGATGCTGCATGAAAATGGTGATGTATTTGTTTTCTATCTAGCACAATGAAATTGCTATTTTCTTTTTTTCCAAAGCCACTTTTTATGTAAACAAAAGCCATTTATAGTGGCAACAGGCCCAGCCCACAGCATATGAGTAGCAGTTTTACCAGCCTGCATACGACGTAGTTCGGCCTAAATAGCAAGCGTAGATTCTGCTATACCAGTGACTCTTTTTGGCCTTTTCATTTCCGTCTCCTTGCTCTCTGCAGCTGCGTCTACATCTCCCCCAGCCAGTGAGTTCACGCTCCAATTGAATCCTTCATTACCTCTCCTGTTTTTTTTTTCTACTGCCAAATTGCAATATCTATCTTCTTTTTCGCTTAAATTACATTTGAAGAATTCATGTTCAAAATTGCAATGATTTATTTATTTTTGTTATTGTAGGGAGAAAGAAGGAGAACTGAGTCAGTATTAGTTTTTGTGCTTCTTGATCATGGTGAATCTGTTTGAAATTTATTTACTAGATTTCATAGAAACAGCCCAAAATCAGTAGAGGAGTTTTCAGTTTCTCCGTGTGCTAAATTTGTGTTTTTTGGTTGATGTTGATAGGTCGTTCTACAGCTAGACCCGTTTCTTAATGAACTCACAAGCATGTTCGAGAGCAGCACTGAGAAAGGATCTATTTGGGTCACTCTCAAACGATGTGTGTGTCAAACTTCGATTATGCTGTTTCATTTGTTTGCGTTATATATATAATATTTGGATGATGATTATTGATAAGAACTTGATTAGGGTTTTTGTTTCAGCATCATTGAAATCAAAGGTGCAGAGGAATAAAATGACGACTACTGGTGAACCCATTGAGTATCGATGTCTCATCCGTGCAACTGACGGCAAAAAGACAATTTCTACTTCGGTGTGTATCTTTTTTTCCTTGAAAAGCTTTCCCATTTTTATCAGAAATGCTTGTTTGAGTAGACAGCTAAGCACTAGGATACATTGGCTCAAGTCTTATTTGACAATGTACTGATTGGGACCCTTGAGGAAGACAATATATAACTTAAAAGCTTATGCGAAGTAATCAAGTGTTATCTGAAATTGATCGAGAAGATTTGAAGTGTTTTGCTTGGAAAGGTACCAAACGACTGAATTTGAAGAAAATTAGCTCATACACAAGAAAATTACCACACTGTTTGTTTCCGTACCATATTTGTGTCAAGTATTATAGCTTTAACATCCAGATGTATTGAATTCTATGCAAACAAATCATGTGTTCTTTATTTTATTATTCAATCAACAAAATATGTGTTTTTTTATTGGATTCTATCGAAGCTATAATACTTGAAATATCTTCATACATTCGTAACATAACGTAAAAATAAATATTACATACTTAACTGCTCCGATATAAAAAGACAAATATTTTATGTAATTGATATTCCAGCAAACACTTATAATATAAGAGGTTAAAGTATTTGTTATGTTCTTTTTGGTATTTAACAATTTTTGTGGGATATTATCACGTGGATGGAATTGTGGAAGGAAAAACGAGAAAAAATTGAATTGGAAGAATCAATTGTGTTTTAACAATTTTGGTCTTCAATCCAATAGATTTGAATTACAAATTAAAAGAAGAACCAATTTGTGTTATACCAATTTTTTTCATTTGGGGTAATCAGTTATGGTTTGAGAATTGGAATGGTCCTATTGACTATAGTGAAGTATACTGAAAACAAATTTAGATCTGGTAGTTTCAAGATAAATTCAGTTTATGCATGCAAAAGTCCTACCTGTCATTGCTTCCAATGATCATATAGACTTCAATCCGTAATTTGTTGTGCAATTATTTTCAAGTTAAATTCCATCAGAATGAGTGGTCAGGGCTAAGGAAGACTCGAATATGTGCTTCAACGGCATGACCTTAGGAGTGTACCTGCACTGGTGTAAGAATCTTGTTTCTAGATTATTATGAAAGGCCTTCATATTTATATAGTGAGGAAGCTACTTGTACAAATTTGCCTCTCTGTAAAAATATGCTAGAGCTTGCAAATCCAGGCCAGGTTACAGCCCTTAAAATTATAGAGCGAGGAAGGTTGTTGTACAATCTGACCTTTTTAAACAATAAACTTGAAGAAAACGGCTTGCAAATTTGGTCAGGCTATACCCTTCCAAAATTACAGTGATAGGTGGATCATACTTTTGCAGATAATGAAACATTTGAGGTAGTTAATTGATTATATTTGAGGATATGAATGGGTTTGCATTGGGTACTGTGATGCATCACAAAATTATGTTATTGGTTCTCTTGGCCTTGAATTGTATTTCCTATGACAATGACGATAACTGTTGCAGAAGATGAGAGAAGTACTTTATTCTATTTTCAGCTCTGCTATCATAGAAGAAGAGATAATAAATAACATGAATTTCTTTTGGATGTGAAATTCGAATGTTCTTACTATCTCAGCTTTCATCTTTACTCAGCTTAATACTCTTTTAGTGTCAGCTTATCATGGCGTGATTATTTGCAAAAACTTTTATTTTCCCTGCGCACCCCAGGTTCTTATCTATGTATTTATTTACCCTGGCTAACACTTTCTTTTTTGGGAAGGTTGGGGCTAAGGATCACCAGCGCTTTCAAGCTTCGTATGCAACTATTCTCAAGGCCCACATGACAACTCTAAAGAAGAGGGAGAGGAAGGACAAGAAAAAGGCAGCGGAGGGTGATAAGAAGGAAGAGGGCTTAAAGAAGAACAAGAAAGCTTGAACTTCGTTTCCCGTGAAAACCTACTGCACCTTTCATACCGTTCACTTCTCTTCAACACAGATTCTAGGATTTAATTCTGGAAATATAGGAATCTCATTTAATTTCTGGGCAATCACAGACATTGAAGGCGGATTTTTTTTAATGCCATTTTCTATACTTCATTCATCACATTTGATTGATATATATTTTGCAGATGTCTTGTATTTGGTGCTCAAAATATGCTGACGTCTTTTTAAGATGTTTTAATGCACCCCAGATTATTCAAGACTGATGTGGGAATTGAGATTGGTAATGTCCTTTGGAAATATAAAAAATTGCCCTTGCACACAAACACCGCTTAAACCATGGGATTCTAGCCGATAACCATTTTTATCTTCAATCAGTTTTTGTGAAATCATCAAATTAGTTCTGTGAAATCTAATAAAAGGCTTTGTGATTGTATGCGCCACCCCATTAGCATGCGGATTAGCATAGATTTTGGGTTTCTGTAGTTTCCAAGGCATGGAGGAAGGTTATGCCTAAACCGTAGTTGGCTTAAATCCTTTATTGGTAGGGACTAGGGAGTGTGTTTTATAGTTGTTTGTTATGCGTCTGAAATGTACTGTAGCAGTTGGATAAAAAAAAATGGAATATCTAACAGTATGACCTATACAACCAAAATAATTTACCTCCTGCTAGTGAATTTACAATCCGTGAGAAATGAGACATGAAGGTACAAAAGAATCTACCAACATCATGATCTTTCCGGTGTCGCGATGTGTCCCATATGTTTTGCAAGATTATCCATGTAGTTCCTATTCCACCAAGATCTTCCACGACCATCCGGGTTGGTGTTGCTTCTTATGCCATCTATAATCCTTCTTTCTGTCTGACATTCGGATTCTTGTGCGGCCTCTGGAGCGGGGGCCTCAGTCAGGAAGTGTTGCCAGAAAACATCATTCACTCCATTCAACACAGCAGGAGTTGCCGTCTCTAATGCTGATACTTTTAAGGCTTCAGATGCTGGCGCACTAGAATGCTTGCGATTTGCTTCTAACTGTGAAGATTCAGGCATCATAGCATCACCAAGATAAATTGGAGTTGTTGGTCTGACATCATTATGGATACATCTAGCTAGCTCAGGTGATGAAGTAATATCCCTCGAGTGTGGTGAGGATGGGAATGATCTTGGAGACCAAGGTTCTCCATCAGCACAGGAAGAACTTAATTCTCTAACAATGACCATTGAAGGTTGTGATTTGACACCAACATCGCACATTTCTTCCGTAAAACTTTCACCCACCGCATAGAGAAAACTTTCCAAGAATTTTAATGACGAGTCCAACTTCTCAATTGACTCTGAATGCAGCATTGGAGCAGGCAATCCATCCAGATTTTCCATTGGATAACACAAATTCTCATTCTCTTCCTCTTTGTATTTTCCCTGGAAGTGATCAGGTTTCAGTAATTTTCTCCTTTTGTTTTGATATTCTGACTGCTGCATGATGAAAGAGGCAAACTCTGGTTTTCGCATTAGCTGCGCCAAGGAGGACATCAACTGATTCTGTCTGCACTCCATACTCTGTAAACGCTCACCCAGTGAGACTATTCGAAATTCAAATCCCTGCTTCTTTGCCTCATTTCTCTGTAGCTCCAACTCAAGTAAGTCTTTATCTTGTTTTAGTCGGTTGATTACATTCTCGTATTCCTGTTTTTCTGATTCAGTCAGTGGAGAGATAATCCCATGATTCTGTGTGGAATGGCTGTGAACTGGCTTGCGGCGGTGAATATTCTTTAAAAGATGCCTATGCCCTCTTATAAATTCTTCATTAGCAAACTCCCACTGATCAGGATCAATCTTCCTAAATCCCTGAACCCCCAGACAGCAAGCAAGATTTTCAGTAAGGAAAAAATTCAGCAGAACCATGTATAAATGTTCAATTTGCAGAGCGAATGGACACTCGTACTCGATTAAGCACATACTGGTGTACTAGCATGACTAATTCAAGTCAGACACAATAACTATAAGGAAATGAGACATCAAATGACAAAGAAAACATATCTCAAAGACTCACTCCAAGTTTCTTTTCGTGTGCTCTTGAGTTTTTGTCGAGGCTACTTCTGATTTGAAATGTAAATTAAACCATTGTACACTCACCACAGATGATTCTATAACAGGAACAAATATATGAATAAGCATGATTTAGATGTATAAATTCTGAAGATGTCAGCAAGTGTTGATGTGAACGAACAAGATTCATTACAACTAAAGAAGTGATATTCAGCTTGCATACATATATGCAAGAGAATGGAGAAAAGGGCAACAAAAAGAAACAAAACAATTTCGGGTATTGACCAGTTCCAAATTAGGGATTATCACTGATTAGCATACATATAATAAAATTACCAAAATCCATAAAAAGGAAAGAAAAAAACAACTCTAGAGACATTAAAAAGTAATAGGAATACAAAATCATGTCCAAATTGAAGAAATTAACAGTTGACTAATTAACTTACATAAGTATTAAGCTGCCTGACAAAACTGGAGAAGTTATTGTGCTTGAAGTACTTGGGAAGCAAATGCTGAGCAAATTCAGGTGGATTCCACACCACAAAACTGCAACCACTGCTGCTCCATGACACCACAGGGTTTGTCGAGTGATCATCCACCATGTCATATGTTTTCGTAAGAAAAGGCGGTGGTGCATTTGAACTATTATTCTGTGACCCATCCATAACTATTTTATTTTTCTTCTTATTCTAGCTATTCACTTATCCCCCAAATTCATCAACTAAAAACCGTCTAGAAACCCCGTATAAATAAGAGATTGGGGAGAAGATTCTATAGAAATTTAACATCCATATGCTACCGAGGACAGGAGAAAATCTCACAAATTTGATAAGAAACTGACTAACTGAGTCTGGGAAAACTTAAAATCTTTAGAAACTAGTTATTCAAGAAATCAAAGTGAAACCCAAGAAACACACAACAGAGATATCTGGAGATGGATACTTATTGGAAAACGAAGAGGCGAATATTGGAAAATTGACAAGGAATCGCCGATAGGAATATGGGTTGCTTTTTTTTTTTTTTTTTAACAAAAAAAAAAAACTAGAACCAATGAAATTGCAGAACTTAGAGGCAAAGCAAGAGGAGAGAAAAAGAAGCAGCAAGTTTTGACTTTTCTAACGCTAAAAGCCCTCGGGGTTGAAATTTGAGAAAACAAAGAAGCAAGTTTTTTCACAATAACAAGAAAAACCCAGTAGTATTTCCCTTATGTGAATTCTTCAGCTTTTTCAAGTGGGTTCTGTCTACCCATTTCTTGTATATATACATACAACTACTATATATTTCGTTCTGCAATCTTAGTCTTTGGAATCAAGAAGAAAATTTGTCCATAAAGACAGAAAGAAGTAAGCTTTGACTGCCGCCATCTCCTGTTTCAACTTTCAAAGTTTCAACAAGCAGGAGGGAGAGGACTAGTCAACATATCCTCTTTTTTTTTTTTTAACCTCTAATTAATAATAGTTCTCCATTTTCAGTTGTATAACGTACGAGTCAACACGTATTATTAGGCAGATCTACCTCAATTCTCTTAATTATTTGTTTACTATTTTCCTTCCAAAACATTTCTAGAAATTTATGGTCGTCCCCCACAAATGGCTTTCTTCTATTTATTTTCACTTAAAATTTCGTAATATCTATTAAAAAAACCACCAAACTTAATGCTATTTTAGTAAAGTACTATCAGGTTGCTGGCCCAGAATTATTGTGGAAGTTTAGATTAATTGAAAAACAAAAGGTCTAAGTCCTTAAAACAACCATCTTTAAGTGGCATAGATGCATGCCTCGTGTAAATAAGTCAAAATTAAGTTCCAACTAGACAAAAATCAACTTAATTAATTCAACAAATAGTATTAGTTATTAAAAAAATAGATATTTCTCTATCCATTCGTTTTATAGTCTCTCTTCCAGTGCTCTCTCGTTTGCATCTCCACCAGACTCAGCCATCCCTAGAAAATCAAATACCCAGTTCATCTCCGAGACAATCATCACCAGTACACAACCAATGAGATTTTTCCACGTGTACACTTAACATATGAATGTTTCCGTTCGAAATGGAGATGTATGAAGAGGATAACAACATAGGCAGATCTGAAGTGCAGGGGCTGGATTGAGAAATGTTTTTGATGAGGTACCATTTTAAGGAAAAACAAAAATATGTAGTACCAGGACTTCCAAAGTATGATTGGCGTCAAAGAGAAACAGATATTTTATTGCCTCTTTAGCCACTTGGCAAATAGATCATCGCATGCAAAGATATTTTGCCTCCGAAGTTCCAATGTAGAATCCTCCTCGTCCAATTGAGAAAAAATCTACACGTCTAAGGTTCAACTTTCGCTCCAATCACCAAAATTCACTAATTATCTCTTCCCAACAAGATATTGAGAAGGAAAGAAATGGATAGTGAAGCGGTGAGACGAAGAATGAACATGATTGTTGCCCATCTTGCGCCCACCATTGCTGATGATATAGCCCCTGCCCATCTCCTTCCCATGGTGATTAATTACTTAATAACTACTACTATATTTTTCTTTAAAATTTTGAAGCATTTGTATTGTACAATTCTAACTAAATTTTGCAATTCAGGCCATTTGGGACAGTACTTCAGGGAATAAAAATCTCGTTAGTTTTGCTTTCATTTAATTAATTAGCTCATTGATTCATTCTGTTTTTGTTTTCTTGTTTGACCAGAACTGCAGTGCCAGTTTGAATCCTGTCATCCGAAGGTGTGATAATAGAATGTATTTTGCACGTCAGGGGTCAGCTTCTCAAACTTGTTTCATGAGACAGGCAGGTTCAATTCAACAGGTGATAGTTTGATCTATTCTTTTTACGCATCTTTTCTCTGTTTTCGATGGCATGGAAGCTGATTTTGCCCCATAAGCCGCAGCTCAAATTGCTGATTTTCTGTAACCAACTAGCATGCTCCCTTGTGTTCCTAAAATTAATTTTGCATTTCAGGGTAGCTCCGAAAAGCTTCTTCGATCCTCTGCTTCTTCTGAAACAGAATGGTCTTGTAATGCGGAACTTATTAAAGATGGAGCACCACTGTTTTCTAGACCTGCCGAGATGGAGCCGAACTTGTCAAACGTTGAAGCAACCCTAACTCCTGCTAAAGATTGCCAATCAGCTATGCCTGACCTTCCCAAGTTTGCCAGACCAAATAGACGCACAATGAACAGAAATGTGCAATTTCAGTTTGAGAAGAAAGTATATTCTTCTGATCAATCCAATGGTCAGTAATTCATGCCATTTCAAGAATACATATATACCAAGTACACCATATATTCTTCGGAATGCGGAATGGATTCTCACTGTATATATGTGTGCGCGCGCGCTGCAGGAATTGAGTGGTCACCAAGGATGGATGTTGTGGAATCTGGAGTTAATTATGTCTTGACCATAGAGATTCCAGGTGTCAACGCCAAGGACATTAGAGTGGAGATCCGAGGCCAAAAGTAAGTACTGGCTTTGCTTAGTATTCCTAAATCTCATCTAATCCTGCTTGATTTGGTCACAAAATCCCCTCCTTCTTTAGTGATCTGATTCATATATCAAACATGTGTTGTGTATATTTGGTCATTGATTAGCAGGGCAAGCAGTTGTTAAATTGGTATCCCCCATTTGATGTGGTAAACTTTTCTTTTGTTGTTCCCTGCAGTTTGATAGTGATGGGCAAACGCTCCACCAAGTTTTGGAGAATTGGAGCTGGCGGTTGCTCAAATGACTCCATCTCAAGATATCACAAGAGAGAGATTTTAGAAGGGCCATACGAGGTTGTGTGGCAACTTCCCTCCGATGGGAACAAAGACAGTGTCTCAGCTGAGTTTCTGTAAGTTATGGATTAACCTATTTCATTGCTTGATTAATGGTAGTCCCTAATGCATTACAATTCTCAAAATACTAGGTTACCAAGCACCATCTCGTATTCATATAGCAACAATATACTAAAAAATTAGTACTTCTTACCGTGGCTTCTTAATGAGTTACAATTTTTTACCTAAAAATCTTGAAAATACTAAGAGACTCGGAGCAAGGAGAAATTAACAACCAAATTAGATATCATGAGGAACAAAAATATCATGTATTTGCTTTGGCACCAACTATTAAGGATAGCTTTAAGCGTAACTATTCACCAAGCGTTTTTAAACCTCTAAAGCCTTAGGATTTATACTATTTCAAGTGCCAATAGTCGTGTGAGCAATAGTAAATCGGAAACTGGTTCTACTTGGTTTCACAACTTTAAGTATCAACTACGAAGAGCCCTTTCAATAACTTCAGTCAATGATGAGGTATTGTCCTAATTTTGGATCTTAACTCTTAGTTGGTCGATTTGATGGATTTGGTTTTAAAAAATCATCTTTTGAAGAGAGATGTTATGCCTAGAATATATAAACTATCTAGACCTTCGACTCGTAAGCAACTAGAATAGCCCCTGTCTCGAGAGATGGTGCTATTAATGATATTTGGCTCCTATACACAACATCATTGCTCCCTCATGAGGTATTGCCTACCTTGATGTGGGCATGGATTTTGTGGGTTTTGTCTTAAAAGTACATTTTTTTGGACCGAAAGATTATGCTTCAAACTTATAAGCTACCTATGTTTTTTACTCTAACCGATTCAAAATTCCTATGAAAAGGAGAGGAAACTGCTTTTTTTTTTTCCTTCGACATCTGTTGGGAATTGCTTATTTCCCTAAACACAATTCCGGTATTTGCTGGTTTTCAAGTTCATCCAATAACAAAAAATTCATTCTTCCTTCAGCTCAAGTACCAGAGGAGGAGCAAGAATTTGAAACTTGTAAAATTAGAATTGATGTACATTTTAATTCTTCTTTATGCCTTAATTTGTATGGTATTGACTCGAATGTGTTTTGACGGTGCAGTAATGGATTTTTACAAATAACGGTTCCAAAAATGTGAGAATCAGGCGGTGCCAAAGCAAAGGACTGCATGGGAACTGGAGAAGTAATCAGTGAGCAAGAAGAACGTTGCAAAGCACCGATTAAAGTCCTATTAAATAATATGCTTACAAAAAACAAAAAAGGCATTTAATTACGATAAAATAACAATCAATTAGTACTGTGATTGACTCGAATATATGTTATATTTCAGTTATGCGGCACATTCTACAGTAACTTTGAATATTCTGTGCTTTTGTATTTAGGTTTTCTAGAAACAGTTAACAGATGTGATATTTTCCAAAATAGTCCAAGGCTCTCCCAGCATTCATCCCTGTTTTTTCCAAATTGTTCTTATTGAGTTTCTCAACAATTTTTTTTTTTTTGTTAGATTTGATGATGGCCCAGAACAGCCAATCATGCATTTAGTTGTTTTATCTGTTTTGAAATGTGTAAGGAATCTTTGACACGTATGGAAGGTGTAGTCGGCCATCATGGGGCAAACTGAGTGGGTTATATACAGGCGTAATTGATCAACAAATATAATTTTGACTTTTTTATTATGGATGCATATCGTTTCATTGACAATATAAATTGGAAATCAAAGAATGATGTTTTTTCAAGGAGTTAGAAACTTGTCTGTTTCAATTTTTTTTTTTTTTTTTTGAAAAAAAGGGACCACATTTTGAAAAATCTCTAAAACCCAGAAAAAAAAATAATATAGTTTTTTCATAAGTTTACAGTTATACAATCAACCCACCGTTAATTGGGTCAACCTAGTCTAGTTCCAAGGAAGCCCAAAGCTTGAGCTAGGATTGAGTCTGTGGTGCGATAGGATGAGTTTTGAGTGATTCGCTTTGGGACTAGGTCGAGGATCTAGTGGTTCGGCCGGGACCAAGTCCGTGTAAATGGGGTTAGTTCGGGAATAGAATTGAAGCACTCGGAGGTCAAGCTGAGGTCATGTACACAATGCATAAGATCGATTTCAATTATAATGATAAATGATAATAAACAATACTCGATTCGCATTAGGATAAGTGAATCTCAAATACATAACAGCAAAAAATAGTTAAAGGTTAGATTGGTATCATTTATTATTGTTTATTTTGTTTTAAAAAAAATTGAAAACAAAAATAGAAAACATGTTTTTTTTTTTTAAATATAAACTTATAAGTGGCTGCTATCAATTGGTCAAGGACATACCGAAACACCGTAATGGATAAGGGTATTTCTTTACTTATCCTAAAAAAAAAAAATTATAACATAGAATGGATCTTGATAAAGGGAAAAAAGATTTTGAATAAAAACAAATTAATGCATCGAAAGTTTGAAAGAAATATTACAAGTTGTATCGTATCATAATTTCATGTACTATCTTCAACATTTAAACAACTTAAGTAACCTTAGAATTGGTTAACTCAATATGAGAGCCAATCACCTTACTTCTTATTTTTTTATTCTACATTTTTTAAAAAAAATCAATATATATCCTAAATTAAAACATGTACCTAGCAAGAACTTTTTACATTAAAAAAAAAACACATTTTTTAATTCAAATCAATCAATAAATAATCCTACAAAAAGATAATTAGGTTGAATGGATATATTTAGATAGAATAAGTGTGAATTCAAATTGTAAACATTTACTTTAACATGTTTGTCATTTGAGTTAAACGGTTTTCGATGCTATCAAATCCAAAACCATTTCTCATTTAAACAGCTTATAAATTAGAATAATATGTTGATGACATCATAATATAAATTAATGAAATAATTAAAATGGAATCCCCTCCCGCAGTATGGACATCAGACTACTATTAAAGAATTTCGCATTCTATGTTTTTTTTCAGTCAATGTAAGATTTAGGATAAAATTGTAAATCAGTCCTTCTAATTTTACAAAACAAATTGAATAGTCCCTTTAGTTTTAAAACCTAATTAATTAGTCCATTTTATGTTGTTATTTAATTTATTTTGTATTGTTTTTTAAATAAAAAAAGGAACAAAATAACTAAATAATATGGAAAGATTGATGAGAAAAAATTTTTTTTGAACAAAATAATATTAAATTAAGTATGACAAATACTGTTTAATGAACTAATTAATTAGTTTTTAAAATTAGAAATAATATTTAATTCGTTTTTGCAAAACTAAACAAACTAGTTTATAACTTACTTTCACCGAGTGCCAAAATCATGGTAGGAAAAAGAAAAAAGAAGAAAGAAGAAGATTGAAGGGATAGAGTTTATGCTAATTCTAAATCTAAGCATATATATTATTTATACGAGAGGCTGCGTCTTTCAAAATGTATGATTCCTGTCTCCTTTGACTAATGCTTTAAACCCATTTTTAATTGAGGATTAGTTAGATGCGTGTCCTTGGTGTTCTTCTAACTCAAAAGCAATACTTATCAAGTTATACTGCTCATCATCTATATTTTATTCCTCAAACCAAAATCCCATAATTAAAATTGGTCCTAGTCCTAAAACCTTCCAAACATATAACAACAAACTTGAGCATTTTTTAGCATAGGACCATGTATGCTCCGACAACATATTTTAGATAGAGATGAGAGAGACCATATATTTGAGACATAGATTGTTGGGGTTGGCATGGACTCCTATGCTGAAACCTTAATGGGTGTGAAAGAGATAAAGTTAAAGTCATTATCAGCATCTTTACTTGATCTATCTCCCTAATTTGAGACCCATCCACTTCATTAGCGTTTTTTAAGTATAAATAGCTGTTGGGATTTTGGATATCCTCTAAGAAGATGTTGGAAAAAAGGTAGCAGCAGCAGCAAGCAGTAAATGATCATCCCCAAATGCAAGTCAAGAATTTGAAATGATGAGAAAGAAAACAACTAAATCATCTCCAGAAATGTCCAAGAATTATCAGAAGCAACAATTCAGCAACTTGATCAAAGTTTTACGTCCCAAGGTCTATATCACTGATGCATCAAAATTCAAGACCCTCGTCCAAGAACTAACTGGTAATGGAAAAGCCACCTGCATCTCTAATTCCCCGCCTGAAACTACACCACAAATCATCGAAAAAGCTCCGTTTATCGACATCAAAGATCAAGAATACGATCATCACGAGTGTAGCATGGAGACTTCGGTTGAAGGATTTGATTTGTGCAATGTATTCCAGACTGATCATCAAGTGCATTGTTATAACGACCAGCAGGCATATATGCATGATATTTCAGGATTTGATGATCACATGTCATTGCCAATGAACCAGCGAGAGGAGTTTTTGGCCTATCAGGATCTCGAGTCATGGCTTTTGAGCAGTGAGGAGCCATGTTCTTCTTCCTATAATGGTTATTATGCTCATACTCAGCAGCAACTCAACATGTATGATTATGCTAGCTATCCAGGCTCGTATTAATTATAAGGTTGCTTTTAGACCTAGAAATTATACAGATTATTATTAATTAAGAAGCTTAAATCCACGGCTGATTTGTTTGGTTCAGATACCCCATTTTTAGAATTAAGAATATGTATCACAATTGTAATAATTAAAAGTTTGTTAGATATATTTATTTAATTTATCGTAGTTGATGGTGTATGGCGAATTCAAGCTTTATCATTTCAAATATTATTTTTTGTCGTTCCAGATATTTTATCTTTTGCAAATATGTTACGAGTTATGTTATATATATCATGGGGAAAAAAATCATATTACATCAAATAATGTAAGCACATGCAACGTAAGATACACGAGTGGAAATTCTTGCAATCCACAATCCATAACTATAAGGATGATTCATAGGTTGATTTTTTTTTTTTTATAGAATTCCTTATGGTCTTTAATTATTATTACGAAGGGAAAAAGTTATCAAATACATGAAATTAAGGATGTTTTAGTTGAATCAAATATTTAGACATAGTTCGTGATTTTATATATAATTATTAAATGTTCAAATAACTTCTCTCTATATAGGCACCTTACTTTTTGTTTTTTTCCCTTTCCAGTTATCAATTACTTGCCAACAACTTTCAAATATCAAATTTTATAAATTGAAATCATATATATGATGTTAATATGGTGGCATGATGGGTGCATGGAATTTTTTGAAATGTTAAAAAACACCGTTGAAAAAAAAATTAGAAGTTACTAATCAATTTTTTAAGGTTATATCACTACGTTTTCCATCTTAATTACAAGATAGATTAATAATGCCATTAAATTGGAAGATAAAAGAAGAAGTAAGCTTCGCAGAAATAACCATCTAACAAATTAGAACTTTCTCATTATTGCGCAAGCCACAATTCCTCTGGCTTAAAAATATAAAACCTACAACAAATTAAACTTTCCTCCTTTTTTTTTTTTTTTTTGCTCTTCCCGAACAACACAAGTATTATGCAAATTAACAATCTGTTGTCCACTCGTAAATAATAATAATTGATAAATTAAATCACCTGCTATTGGTCCATATGTAACAACAACAAAACTTATTGAAGTAAATTCCATATCAAAGGATGTTTTATTCTCAATAAATAAATAGAGCCTATTAAATTAAAATATGTAAAATAGCATCACTTGCTTTGGATTTTTTTTTTTTTGTTTTTTTTGAGAACCATTTATTGATAGGATTTACAGACGCAATTAACAAAAATAATCTAAATCTTTAACAGATTGGAAAAGGTTTAAGGGCGATTTCTTTTCTTAAAATAGAAAAAATAATTTTTTTTAATTATTATTATACTGAACCACATCAAAATTAGAATCCTAGAAGATTTAGACATTTCTTAAATTATTAGTAAAGTTTAATCCTTAGGCTATTTTTAAAGTAGATTTTGAAAATTTATGAAAAACAAGAAATTGTTTTTTTGTTTTTTTTTGTTTTAAATGTAATGTTCATGGTTTTTAGTATGAAGAGGAAAACCAATTGTGATTGAAAGATATCTCACAATATCGAAAACCTTACATAAAATATTAGCAATCATTCTTTGAAAACAAGTGAAATATTACCGACCCATATATGTTCTACCAAAATTCATAGTCATTCATCTGCCACCTCCTACTATCACTCAAGTTTCCACCTTTTTTGGACCTAGCTGGTAGTGGACTTTTATTTTTATTTTTTGAAATAAAGAAATTATCATTTGCTTTTCAAAGGGTAATGAAATACAACTGGTAAAAGTTTTCTTACAAATACTTATGCACGTGTTCTAGACAAAAACAATAGTTCAGGACTTTGGCTAGGCTTTCTATTAGAGAACCACCCAACTATTTGTACCGAATTGAGAATGTCCCGTTTCGTATCAGAAACTGCTTACAGATATCCAGATAGATCTTCCTGGTTCTCCAAATCCCAAATGACTACTTTACCATCCAATCCTGCATAGCAAACAATGTACAGATATAGGAGACAAGCCTAAGAATTAGGATAAAACAACAAGACTTTTTATGTATCTGATCTAATTAAATGAGATCCCAGCAACAAATTGGTCGTCGCTTACCGGAAGTGCTGAAGCGCATCTTTCTAGAACTCCCTGGATCTGTAAGAGACATAATACAACTACAGTTCCAGAAACACACAGTTAAGTGCTGCTCCACAAAATTCAGAGATGATCAATGGTCAGCAAAGCCCACCTCAATATTTGCTTTTCCACTTCATATAGCAGTCACATTTCATGCATATGCAGATGAAGTAGAGAAGCGACAGTTGAGGTGGACTTGGGAGACCTCAACAGGAAATTTAAAAGATATGGAGGACCAATTAAACTAACAAATAATTGCAAGAACCTTAATAGTATAGTTGAGAGGTGATTACATTATGCAATTATCATGAACGCCTCCACGTGACCTGGAAGGTTCAATGGCATCATTGCTTACTCCATGCTTTGATTGGCCATAAAATTTTCCAAAAGCTTCAGAAAACTGCCAAAAAGAGTGGAAAAGCCAGTCAACCATTAGAAAGTTCTATTGACCACGTGTAAAGCCTGAATACAGTTGCAAAAAGACGAAAAACGGGACCTGATATTCTATATATGTACTCCCACTTAAGTGATCTAATAGAGCACCTGCTTCTACCAAGTAACTATGAATAAACTTAAGAGCATAAAATATATGCTAAAAAACAGTTGTAAGGTGGAGTAACCTCTGAAATTTGGCCAGAATGGCCAGGACAAAAATAAAAAGTCCAGTTCCTAAAAAAATTGAGCTAGTGATTTTTTGCTTCATCAAACTGACTGTTTTGACGCATCTCTGAGCAATCCATTTTTGCCTCTTGCTAGTTTGCAAAAAAGCAATAGCTAAAGTGTTTATGGGCAACTCAAAATAAAATGTTTCATAACTTCAGAAATAAATTGTAGTCTTGTACATGCCTTGAAACCATATGGTAATCTATCACAACTCACTCAAGAAATGGGAAAATCTGGTGTAAACCATTAAAACTGAGATATTCCATGACAGCAATATAATTGGCAAAAATTTTAGCCAAGTCTGTACCTGTGAACCGTATCTTGAACCTGACAGTGTTGATTTTCTTTCACCAAGGAACCTGATAAAGCTCCTAATTTTTTTTATTAAAAAAAAATCCAGAACCAAAGAAATCACATCATTAGTTTATGTGAGAAATAAATATATCACTAAAAAAAATATATATAGCTACTTGAGGCTGCCTGACATCTCTAATGAGTAATAAAAATTGGCTACAAGTCTTAGCCCCACCAAGACAACTGCAGATTGGCTAGCACTTCTTTTTTCGATAAATACATACCATATTCCTCTTTCATCTGCTGCAAAAACCATAGGGTTGCAGTCAAATCCCACTCCTATGACCATTTTCTCAGAAACAAATAAGACCTGAAAATAAGCAGCACATTGATCCACAAATTCCAGGTTACTAAAAATCATAAGTATATGAAGAAAATAACTTGAATCACATAAGGTTAACAAGAGTGGATGCTGACCCACATCACGGAGAGGTAAATCGCGAAATGCAACGTTCTGGGCCAATGGAGATGGACCAACATCATCAACGAAATATATCATGGAATTATGTCCTGTAAACCAATACAAATGGCAGATGCATAAAGAATAACCAACTTCAACTGCATTGTTAATTTGTTATACAAATTTGATCAGGAGCTTGAGCAGAATAAGAGAGAAATCCATCCAGTGAGTAGAATGTAAACAGAATAACCCAAATGTCATGGGAAGTATGCCATGCCAAAAATTTAATCTTCGAAGATGACAGAAAAGTGAAACTTCTGACCTACGTAAGCCAAAGTATTGCCACTGGGAGACCACTTCACACCAAATGCCCACGAAAAGGAGAGATCAAGCTGAACAATTTGCTGTTTCAACAGAAGATGAAAAGGAATTGAAGCTCTTAAAATGAACTTTGGGATGAGAAACAAGCGTCCAGTTCCCAAACCATCATAAACTATGAGCCCATGAAATATTCCTAGCCTTTACAAAAAATTGTCCCCCATAAAATCAACCCCAAGTGATGCGGTGCAAGAAGAATATGCTTCATGAATTTATTTTTATTTTACAAATATTGTGATTAGAACCATCATTTAAAATTTCTTATGCTTTTTAGGAAACTATCTCATTTAATATTTAGTTATTATTAATTAGGAGAATCTGTTTTGTTTCCCATCTTAGTTAGGACTCTTTTAGGGGATTTTTGTGTGCCTATATAAGCAAAGTTCTACATTGTACTGAGAAGGCCACTTTATGAAGAACGAAAATTGACTTTAAGTTTTCGCTTTGGGTTGGATCTCCTCACGTGTCCTGCATTCTTTTGGCTTCAAGAAATAGTTTCTTCTGGATTCAAAGAGTTGCCTAGTGGGGCACTAGGCTATTTATTTCCCTTTCTACCTTTATTGTTTGGTTCTTACCCTGTTCTACATTAATAGGTATCGGAGCCCAATCCCAATCCTAAACTTACCCACAAAACCAAAAAACAACAATTGATGATTTAGTACAAGAGAGAGGAAGGCAGGAGAAAGTAGTGCCAGCAGATTCGTCACTGCAAGTATATTACAATTGTGTGGCAAGACAAAATTGCAAAGCAAGCAACAGCATATAAACTGTAGTTATCATGGTGCCTTTGGAAATTGGGTTGATGATTTAGTAACAGTTTCATAAGCAAAGGAAGAAAATCAAATTCAAATCATTGTGCTGGAAACATCTTATGTTTGGATCAGTTTTCTTTGTGCATATTATAAAGAACCTAAAACAATTCCTTATTTTGGCCTTCTGACGTCCATAAAACCCAAACTCCCACCGAGACAATTGCCCACAATTGATTTTGCCTAACTCCCACTGAGACAAGTGCCCACAATTGATTTTTTTTATCATTATTGTTTAACTTATTATTTAAAGTTTGCTATACAAAACACAAATTGAAGCATAACATTTTCTTAAAAATTGAAAAACACAAATTGAAGCATAACATTTTCTTAAAAATTGTAAGTGATTTTTTAAAACTCTTTTTCAATATAGAGTGATCTCTAGGAGAAGTCAAGAGAGAGGAAGGCAGGAGAAAGGAGAGAGAAATCTCCGACGAATGTAATCCAGCAATATTGGCATTGACGTTCATTTTCACTAGGAGTTTGTTGAGATTGAATCAATGAAAAAAAGCCAAAACAAAGTGCTCTTCTTTTCTTTTTATCTTTTTTTCCTTTAACATTACTGTGCCGAGCCATCCAACCCAAGTGCACATGCCTGGTTGCCTCCAAGCCTTGCACCTAGGCCAGTCTTCTTTTTGTTTTTTTACCTTTTTTTCTTTTCTTTTCTTTCTTCATTATTTATTATTTTTATCAATATTGAATTTCCCCTAATAGACAATTGCTGTGTTTTTTATTTTACATACTGCCTCATAGAAAAAAACGATGATTTTTTTCCTGTAATTTAACTATTTTTTGTTTGTTTTTCTAAAATTAGCATAGAAAATAATCATTATTGCAAAAAATAATGATCTTTCATGAAGCCATACGAAAAATAATGATTAATTGCTATTTTTTTATTTTTTACAATAATAGAAGTTTGATGATTGATGATTAATCAATATAAGATGCATAGTTTTAAAAATTTAATGACGATACCATTGAAACAGAGATAATATAATTTTTAAAATAAAAGTAAAAATCAACACTGACCGTAGATTCACATTTTGAATAAAAAACAGTCTAAATACAAGGATTTAATGGTTGATAATTTATCATATTTAAATTTGTAGTTTTTTAAAAAAAATTTGTACAATTTTTTGCTAAGTACGCCTGGCTTTAAAATTGATAGTAGTTCTTTAACATGTATTAAAAATGTGAATCCGCAATTCTTTTCAAGTAGTTGTTCAAAAAAATATATATTCTTTTGAAGTAGCATTGACACATTAAATAATTCATCACTTGATTTTTTTTATTTTTTTCCATGTAAATTTAAATTAGATTTCAAATAATTAGAAATTAATGTTCGGAATTACATTGATGAAAATTAGATAAAAAAATAACTATCAAATAGAGAATAATGAGTTTTTTAATAAATTGTTATGGACTCATTTATTAAAATTAAGCAACCTTTCGATATAGATTGCTCGAGCATCTTTTAATTGTCAATTCTTGACTTCTTCTCATTATTTATTCCTTCAATTTGATTTTTAGGTGATGTTAATAATTTATTGCATGCTTACTTTTTTTATTTATCAAAACCAAACATATTCATAAAATAAATTTAAGCTCAAAAATAAAAAAGCTCTTGATATCAAATACTACAATGTACGATTACAAAGTTTTGTTCACCTAGATTTTCAGAATTAATTAAGAAATTAAATAAAATTTTATAAGCTAGCCTGTAGCAGCAGACAAAACATGAAACTAGTATATATCTAAAGGGCAAATTCACATTATAGTTGTTACACTAGTTTTTGTTGGCAATTTATCTTGGAAAAGAAGAAAACAAGCAAGATTGGCACTTTAGTTGTTTCAAAAAAAAAAAAATTTGATACATAAGAGAGAAGGGAATCAAAAAAGAAAAAGTGATGCCCCTATACAAGCAAAATTCCGCATTTCATTCGAACTTTAAGTTTTGCTTTGAGAGGTGGATCTCCTCTTGCCGTCTTTGTTCTTGTGCATTTAAGAATTAGTTCCTTGTGGACTCAAATAACACACCTTGTGAATTCAAAAGGTTGCCTAGTGAATTTTAGGCTACTCATCTCTATCTTTGTCGTTGTATTCCTACCTTCTCCCTTACACCAACATGTTAACTATTCTCAAGAATTCTAGACAACTTCAAAACCATCCTTAATCCTCAACTAGATTAACTACAATCCCTCAATTATAAATCAAAATCTTTTAGCCCCTGAGTAATTTTATAAGGACCACCTGCTTTTATAATTAAGGGTTGTCTTGCTTTGGCAATAAAACCCAAAAGAACACTTTTATCCAAAGTTTAACGAAAAAGATATCCTAGTTCAAAACTATCGTTCATAAATTTCCTAAAAGATTGAATTAAAAACCAAAATTTTGCAATGAAGTAAAATGATGAGAAATCAAACCTCTCCAAATTTTGCATCTGAGACAGAGCCAGCTTTTGAGTCCCTGGATCATTGGCATACAGGAAACACAGATATAAAGGGCTTTGATCCATAAAGGGGAATATTTCCCAGAAACAAGCACTTGCTAAGAATTTATCTAAGTTAAGCATACCTTGTATCAACACCTTTAATAAAGGTGGAAAACACTCGACATTTTCCATCTGTAGATGTTGTCGCAAGAAGGATCTGTTAAATATATAGTAAAAGCATATATTATAAAACATGTTAAACACAATGCTTTACATTATGGACAAAGGTTATAAAAGTATCTATTTGGCAACTAATGTATCAGAAATAATAAAAGCATTTTTTTTCAGTAACTAACAGACACTTAATGGGTCGAACAAGCGAAGAGAAAAAATTAGGATGCCAGAGCAGTATCATAGTTTAATAGCACGATTTGTCCCTGTACACTTGATTTTAAGGATTACATCCATGGACTAATTTTTTATGGATTTTATCCTTCTACTGATCAGTTAAGTCAGTTAAGGTTTTTTGTCCTGCAGTGACAGTGACACATGTCATGTACCTGGACAAGTAACTATGAAAAGTGACACAACACCTAGAAAATTTAATATAGCTATTTTTAGTTCTTTCATTTCTTTAGTTAGTATGGTGATAGTCGAGGAAAAGGGGATGGAAGACAAAAAATAACTTGGGAAAAAATCATTAGCTTCGATTCCCCTCCTAAATAACCCAAACAAAGGGAGGGAAACCATTTTGTCGTCCCTTCCCTTTCTTGAATTCCTCTTCCTAACCCTCCTCTCCAAGTTTCTCAAACATATTTAAATATCAATTTAATTATATTATTGTTATAGTATATTCCAATTAAGAGGGGTTTGACCCATCCTCCCAGTCAGATTGAAAAAAGATCCATTAAATGCACACGACTTCTCGAATTTTTTTATGAAAAATTATGTGAGCACCGTGGGATAGAAATACATACATTATTAGGATGCCAAGCAACACTTGTCACTGAGGAATCATGTCTTTTCCTGATAAGTTTACTGACCCACCTGTTAAAAGGGCAAACATAGATCAACATAAGAGCAGAAAAAAATGCATATTAGAATGAGATTGTGTCAAATTTCAATACTTTACATAGGCATCCAAAATGGAAAGTAGCATAACAATTAAAGCAATTGCATAGGAGAGGATGTCTGGAGTTTGATTGACAATCTAAATAGGGACCTTGAAGTCAGACTACACTTACACTTTCCTTGAATGAGGTCAATAAATATAAATATGATAAGGCATGATCCCATGATAAATTTAAATGAAGTAGAAAGAAAATTCTGGGTTTTTATTTATCCATTTTTTTTTTTTTTAAGCGTAAGACTTCATCTTAGTGTGAAGGCCTCTAACGCGACCGATACACTAGGGCCACTAGCGTGGTTCATGCATAGGCCATTTTGCTAGTCATAACTAACAAAAAACTCCTAATTAATATTCTAGTTTCCAAAGAAATTATAATTCCTAAAAAGTAATAAAATTCCTAAATAAAGTAATTTTTTTTAAAAAAAATAGAATATACAGAATTAAAAATCAAAATAAGGTAATTCAGAAACTTCATTCTCTTCGGCTGCTTCACGTATTCTGCCTAAGAAGAGCAAGGCATTGAGACAGCAGCCAACCAAAATGTGGCTGATGTAGAAATTTGCAAGCATAAGCAATTAGCATGGACAAGGTTGCATCAAATTAATAAATCTAAGCACCGATCTAGACAAAAAAAATACATATTAATATAGAATACTTCCTGATTCAGCAGAATTCAAACCAATATAAAGAGTGAGCATAGATGGAGCATATGAACTAAGTGAGAAAGAAGCTCCAAATCATGGGGCAAGTACCAGTTGTTGTCTTGCTCATAGTAGCATATACAAACAGTTTTAGCCCCACTTCCAACTGCAAACTTGTTCTCTGGAAGTAAAATGGTTAAACAATAATTAAAAAAATATTGAAAACAGAAACAACCAGAACACAAAAATCATCAATTCTAACAAGGCCCATTTTTTATGGATATGGGAGCTAGTGTCAATAAAATGAGAAGCACGTGTACCAAAAAACAACTCCTAAAGCCTAGGCATGAGAAATTATCCATACAAGTATGTGGTCCTGAGCAATGCATCCTTCCAAAATGGTTTCACGTCTAAATTATGGCAAGGCCATAACACTTGGATGACATATCAATAACTTTTCCGAATCCAATAAAACCAAGAAGAGAAAGAACAGGTGAAAGTCACAATTTTTAATTCAGTGAATAAACAACCCAATAGGTTTTTCATCCAATATTCTAATCAGTTCAATAAAGTTCTTTCTCGCATATATATACACAAATAAGATATATGTGCATGACAGACAAATAAATACATTTGCACATATAAATACAAAATATCAAGTAGTCTAACATACTTCATGGGTTTTTGGGTTCCTGTACTGGAGTGGATTTCCAAGTGTCAAAATGGGTGGAAAGAAGCTTTTTCTTCTTTATGAGGTTGCATCACACTTATGCGATCTTGTTTATCTAGCATACCCCTCTATCAGTTGTCTTTATTCAACATTCATTGTGGTTATGGATTGAGAATAGATGTATCATTTTCTACAGCAGAGGATGGGAAAAGACAGAGAGAGAGAAGATTAACTGAGAGGTACACTGTCAATCAGAGACAGATGGGTGCTTCAGCGTTGGTTGTTAAGTCTACAAAATTGTTGTTAGTGGGAAAACAGCTAACGCAATTGTCTTTCAACCTGATCCCTTTCAGCTCAATTACACATACTATTATGACTATCCAAACTTCTGGATAAGAAAGACTAGTAAGCTAAACAAATCAAATTGAAATATACTGTAAAAAAAAGGGAACTAAACAATTCATAAACTAATCTTTAATTTTAGACCAAAAGGACTTCTTGATTTCAAAGAACTAATCAATCTCACTTTAGGCTTTATAAAGGAAATTTATCTACACACAATAGAGCCACTTGATCTGGTTAGCATGCTAAGGCCAGAACCCACATCACCCATGCAAGCCCTAGAAGTTCATACCACAATATCGTCTCACTTCCACTTCTTCCAAGTCATAGAATGGGCAATGGGTGAATATGGTTTTGAAAGGGTTTGTGGGAAGCTGAGAGTAACCTTTTTTAATTGCTTTTTCGCATCCGTATTGTCTTTCCACTTTGCATAGTGATCCCACTGCTCAGTTTTTCTTTGAACCTCCATTTTTGCATAAATATAAACAATGAGAAAACACAGGGCCTCTCTTGCTACTCCCAATTTGTCCCCTGATTTTTAAACAGGTTATTCTTTCATGGTATGGAGTCAAGACACATGGCAGTTGAGCAACATCAATTATCAACATGAATAGGCCACCACGATGGCTTAATAAAGCATAGAGGGAAGTAGGGAAATTAAATATGCAAAACCGGTGCCAATAGAAAGAAAATCCATTTAGGTAAGACCAAAAAGCAGTAAAAAGCCAAAACTGGAACGTCGAGCTTTCATTACCTCTTGGACTCCACTGCACGCAAAGTGCAGCACGGTTTAGCCTGAGTATAACAAGGGTAGGTACCCATTCTGATCCTTCTTGGTTCCAGACATATCTTGAAAGAACAATTGCAAACAATCAGCATGGCAACAGAACTGAAATCATTATAAGGACAAATAAAGAAAAGAAAAAAACAGTAATGCTAACACGAGACACTCACGAATTTCGATCATGAGATGCGGTAACAATCCTGTTTGATCTCGCACTCCAATCTATTCCAGAAACAATCTGGTCATGCTGCGAGTTAAAAAAAAAAAAAAAAAAAAAGTAGATGGTAAAGTTGACATTAAATTTTCAGCTAAAACAATATAATTTCATTGTTTCTGAAGAAAAAAATACCTTTTGTAGAACATGGACCTTCTCCCACTTGTCTTGGGACAAGCTATATATGTGAACTTCGTTATTATTTGGACAAAATGCAATCACTGCGAGAAAAGGAAGAAAAAAAATCTTATGATTATTTATTTTTCCTACATTTTCTTAGCAACCAAACAGTGTTCAAAAATACAAATCATTTACTTACTAGAGCGATCGGCGCTCCAAGCGTGGCAAGTGATGCACTGAGCGAACTGATGGACTTCAACGGCTGCCATTTACTTTTCCGAATCTCTCTTTATGTTCTGTGGAGAAAAGATTGGGTTGAATGAATTTCCCCAAGTTGAGAAAATATCTGAACCTGAATTGCAATTTTCAGATCCAAATTATAGTAGAGAGGGAGAGATTTGGTATCTTGTATTGTTCTTTGAATCATCCAGTTGTCGTGCGCTGCACTTTGTCTTGTCTTTACTCCTTTTCGCCTATTGGTAAATTCAAATTTGCCCCCAAGTCCCCTAGGTTTCTGGGGTGTCTAAATTTTTCCCAGAAGTTTGGTTTGTATCAGGTAGCTCCTTCAACTTTATTGCAGTTTCAACTTCCTATTCCCTTCTTTGTCCTTTTCCGTCATTTTCATTCGAAATAGGGACAAAAAAATATGTATAAATTTCAAATTTTTTTTCTTAAATTTATGAAATGTCTCGATACTCTATCGATAAAGTATCGAAGAATAAGAACAAATTAAAATTAAAAAAATAAATAATATGTTTTCAATAAAAATGTGATAAAAAAATGTTTTTAATCCACGTAACTTACCAGTTCTTTGATAATAAAAAGACAAGATTGCATTGAAAAACAAATGTGATCAAATGAAGGTTTTTTTTTCATTAACATTATCAATCATCTCGACCATTCTCATTGCTTCTCCTACACGCACTCGGCGACACTATAATATTTGCAATTTCTTTTTGACTCTTTGTAAGGATTGATCATCAAATTTGGAACAAGAAATTTTAAAAATAACAAAATTTGAAATTTCTTTTGCCTAGGATGAGTCAATGGTTGTTTGATTCGAATTTAGACAATTTTGATTCAGTTATCAAGTAACTAAGATATAAAAAACAATAATCGAAATCAAACTCGAATTAAAATTCGATTTTCAATTTAAATCATTTTTTTTAATTTTGAATGGGCATTAAACCTCTATACGGAGGCTTCTTATTTACTTATTTGTTTATTTTGTATGGACTATGTCATTGTTCATCCTTTTGCTCATCTTGTGTGGGTCTTTCTATCTATAGGCTTTTCATTTTTTTATCTCGCAGTAAGGTCATTCCCCATCTTACATGAGTCTCTATGTTACGAGGCTTTTTGTTTTTTTTTTTTTCCTATATGAGCTAGGTTATTGCCCATCTTACAAAGTCCTCTCTATCTTTTCATTTTTTTATTTTATTTTTTTATGTTTATCTCATTTAAAGGCTTTTCATGCCATTTTCCCTTATAAATATAACAACAACATCTCAAACTTATGCTATCAAATATTTTCATACAAGTTCTTTAAGACTACTATGAATCACGTAAAATATCAAGCATATGAAGTAAGAAAAATAAATAAAAAGGAGTTGGTAGTGCACCGAATGCTCTAAATTAATTAAGTTCTTACTAAATCTAATAACTATACTTTAGCTAGGGTGAGCAAAGGTTGATCTTATAGAGAATTTGTTCATACCATTTATTAATTATCTAATTGATTTATAATAAAAGAGGGTTTGGTTGTTTAATGCTTTGATAAATAAATAAATATAGCACGTAAAATAAATTAATAACAATAAAGAGAATGATCAGTTCTTGGTTCAATCTCCACCCTCGCACTCAATAAATATAACCACATTAGGCTATTCAACTTCTCTTATTAAATTATTGATCCTAGATAGCAATAAACTCCGTTATCTAAATTTTTCCTTAAGTGTCACCAAATGAAACAAGCTCTTTAATTAGACGCTAACGAGTAACACAACCTAAAACAAGCTCTCTAGATTTAATACATAGCAGCTTTAAGAACTGGAAAAATAGATCAATCTAGGCAATAATCTCACAAGTTCATATTATTTAACCTAAGCTATGTTATTCATATTAACGAAGACAAAACTTATTCATAATCATCTATCACTTTTTGCTATCGGGTTATTAGGAAAGTGACAATTACATGTATCACAATTCCTAAATCTAGCCAAAAAAAAAACTATTAAAATCAATCTAGTTGGCCAAACCAAATCATTTAAATAGAAATCATAAATCACATAAATCTAAATAACATGATCAATTTTATCAAAGAGAGAAGAAAAATAACATTACTATAGTATAATATTGATATGTTAATGAGAGCTTCAAAATCCCTTTAAATCGACACAAAAGATTTAGTTACGCATGCTAATTAGAGCAAAATAATGGAATAAATGGGTTTTTCTCGCCTAAAAGGTCTATATTTTATCCCCATTCTAATCTCGGTATATAGATAAAAAGTTATAAAAACATGTTAGGTTAGGAAAGAATGCATATGGTCGTCCGTATTGTGACACACAATTGTGGGTGTTATGACACACGGCTAGAAACTTTAGCTAGAATTAGACACACAACTATGTCTTTGTTGCTTCATCACACACACGAGCATAAACTTGAGAATGGAAAACACAAGATTGTTTATCTCCTTTGACAACAAAGAAAGCAGGTATAATCTTCTTCCTTTGGCCATATGTGTTCTTCTAAGGAATGAGCTTCGATAGACTTGGTACCCCTCTTGTACTTAGGTTGGATTTAATAGATTTTACTCGTGATTTTCCTACAAAACCAATAAACATCATATTATCCTCAATCAACCTAATAAGGCACTTAATGTAATAATAATGTAAAAGAGAATAAAAATTATATAAATTATGCATCGATCAAAATTTCTCCACACTTAAACTTTACTCGTCTTCAAGCAAAACAAATAAACTAAATAAAATAAAATGCTTTCTAACTCACTTTTGTAAGAATCATGATTGCATTTAGCACATGTAACAAGTCGTTAAACCCTAATGTCATCCCTAATGGACGCGTTATATCTCGCAAGGGTTTTCAAAAGATAAACCCACAAAATCTTAGGTGAATGTTGTGCAAGTATAAATATCCTTTAAACATTTAATATTAATTCAGAACCCAACAAAATCAAATGATCAAGTCGATCGTGTTTAAAACGTCACTATCATATCTATGCATGTTTCTAAATCAATTTATATATTTTTATAATTAACATAATTTAAGCATGCAACACTCATCTTGTCATTACCCATTTCCACTCTACAAGCAAAAGTAAATCGAGACTTTCTTTTTTTATTTAATATTTTTTTAGTGTTTCAATTCTTCTTTAAGGCCTCTAACAACTCTTTTTAAGTAATCACTTGCTTTTTTATGTGAATGCTAACATTTGTGATGAAAACAATCGATTACTCAGCAAGTCACAAACTTAGAGTGCTTTATATACTCATGATTCAAGTTGCTATTTGACATAAAAGTAAACATTGGTAATAAATACCCCTAGTCGCTAAGCAACTCAAGACATTAGAGTAGATTTACAATTCAATCAATTAAGGCCAAAATTTCAACTTGGAATTCTTGTCTTTTTCTTTCTCAAAATTAAATGATTAACTAAAAAATCTCGTTTTACTTAAACAACATTTAGGCCTAATTTTAAAGGGTAGTTTCAAAACAAACATCACTTAAAAAATCATGCTTAATGATAAAGATACATAAACTTCTCTAACATGCATGCACTTTTATAATAATAACATTTAAAACAATCCTAACTTTCTCATAAGACCGTGTCAAAATTCTAAATCACTCATTAAGTAAGATGGATATCATTCATATTACTTATGGAATTTTTAAAGCGAGGATTCTAAATTAAAAATCCTAAATTCCTTCCCCCTTCCCATACTTGAACATGACATTATCCTCATACACTAAATAAGAATGATAGAAAATGATAAAAAAGGTAAAAGAAAAACTCCTTTATTGGTGAATTGATAAGTGTAAGGGTGTAATTCAAGCATCACTCGATTGGAGGTGGAAAGTGTTTGGTCGGTATAAGTAGAGAAAGTATAAAAAAAAGTATTAAGCTCGGTATCTATATGGTGAAAACCTTCCACCACTTATTAATCCATTATGTGTATTTACTAGTCTATGTGGTCATAACGAATGTTATAAGAGATTTCCAAGTTATCCACACGAGTTGCCAACTCGTTCTAAAGTTAATGATTAGGAATATGAAGCACCATCATTGGGAACATGCACAACTACTTCCTCCCCGCTCGTATTATCCTTTTGCTCCTCATTATTGTTAGAAGGTTGGGCCTCCTCTTGAGTGTGAGGTCTTTTTGTTGGTCTAACTCCGAATATGCTACCATGTTTTCGACCAATCCAATCTTGACCATCTTTTCCTAGTTTAAACGAGTGGTTCCTTTTGCTTTTTGCAAAGTTATTTTGTTTTTTATTAAAAATCTATAATCTATCTAATATATGAGTAATAAAACCACCAATCACATGCCTCATTTAGATAATTTAGAAATGGTTATGAATTTTTCAGCCAAGTAGTAAGCAAAGTCCATCCAAGTCCATGTTGAGATGAAATATAAAATGTTGAGCTCAATTTTGTTCATCGCCCCATTAATGTTCCCGAGTCCACATAAAATCCAAGAGAGAAGTCCGTGAATGTGCCAATATACTAGGCTCAAAATTATAGAAGCTTTAGATCGAGATGAGTTATAGATAGCATCTGCTAACTTGTAATGTCTCATTAGAAATTTTTTTCATATTTATAAGGAGATTGCCTAGTTTCATCAATTGACTAACCAAACATCTCAATAATTTTGGTCCCCTCGGTGAATATTCCCGATTTGCTACCTCGAATGTACACACCTCAAAATTATCTATATTCTCATCATCTTTTTCAAAATGGAAAGAGCAAAGAAATTCTAAGATCGAGTCTCGATAAGAGAGTACATCCATCTCAAGTAGTGAAAGCAACCCTCGCTTATCAAGATATTTTTAATGTCAACTAACAAACCTATAGCACGCAATGCTTGTTAATCAATATATCTATACACTATCACCTCTTTGTAATCAATATATTATAGCATTGTTCTTTAGCGACATTCTTAAATTCAATAGATAGAGAAATCGATCACCTAAACGTGAAGAATCTCCAATTTATCTTGTTCGTGTAGTGAGCGAATAGCTCCTCTTCTCGTGTACACTACTCGCTTCCCCCTTGTTCTTTTATAGCAACATGTTTTCCTCTAACAATAGAGTGAGACATTATGAATGGTTAAGCCGGGTAATGTGAGATGCTTGAGGTTTGGGTTTTTTTTTAGTTTTGAGCGATAGATGAGGAAGGCTAGGTAGAATTAGCATGACTTAGGGTTTACACACACACACATATATCTAGTAGATGAAGCAATTATGCTAAAAAATGTATATTATATATACATACACGATCGTGTATGTATCGTTTTGCCGGTTCATTACGCACTTGTGTTTTGTTACAAGTGGTAGTCACAAGTACGATGTGTCACTTTTCTTTTCGTGTATGCTTACTACCCGTGTGTTTTATTATACGAGTAATGTTGATATGTGACCAAATCTACTTCAATCTTTACTCATATCATAAATATTCATCATATGCCATAAATACTCACATGCAACTTATAACTCATATAGAAATCAAATGTAAGGTAAATAGGAAAATGACACTAACAAACAAAAATCACATTAAATTAGACATTGAAAATTAAATAAATTCATTAGGTTGCCTCCAAATAAGTGCATTTATTTAATGCCATTAGCTCGGCTTTTTTATATATAAAAATCATAAATTCTATATATGTATATATATATAAGGAATAGAAAACCAAATCGATTCAATGGGTTACCTCTCAATTAACGCATTTGTTTAACGTCATTAGCTAGACTTTTTTTAGCTATCAATCCTCATAAACCGGATCCTTTAACTCCATTACTTCAACTTTAGATCCTTGAAAACCTTCATAAGTAGGGCCATGAACCATTAAAAGTACATAAATTATTGAATTAATTACATCACTTTTTCAATTACTTATATTGAATTGTGAATTAACCATATTAATAATTATGAGTAGCGGAGATATGAAAAACATATGAACATTCATTATTTCATAATAGTATAATTTATTTGATTATTTATGCATCTTTAATGGTTGATAGTCTCTTTCAATTCTCTTTCTAATCTTGAAACTTATAAATAGGTTTGATTGTTTATTAGTTTATGCGTAAGTATTTTGTAGAGATTGAAAGAATTATTTGGATTTATCATCTATTGTATTTTATTTATTTGATAGTGAAATAATTTTTTTATCATTTTTCAATTCTATTATCGTTGTCATTTTTTTTATAATACATTATTAGCATGAAGCTCTAACCAATCGAGATAATAGACCATAAGGTATGTATTTAGAAAAAATCTTAATTATCTATTTCAATCATTTGATTATTTATCTACATGAGTGCTCTGCTAAAAGATCTAAATTATCTAAATCGGTAAAAGGTATATATCTAATTTATCATGTACTTCATCTCTAACGATACATAAAATATACGTTTGAAAAACTTAAATGATTTATATGTAGAGTCTAATGATCTAACATATATTATTTAAAATTTTTAAATTTTATTATTATGTTTTTTTTTCATTATTATTACACTTTGTAGTAAATAATTTTTATCATATTGAACCTCACAAAATTTTATTTTGTGACTCTTGACATTTCGAGCAAGAATTATTGATCATGGATGCTTGATGCTAAGTAAATATTTTCTATTTTTTATGTCTCAAATATGCTCTTGTAGTAGCAATATAAAGAATTTTTTTTAAGAAATATTATGAATCAATTTCATACTTGCTCATGACTAAATAACATAATGAGCTATTGATGAAAAATAATAAATCCTCAACGAATCTGGATGTTCTCAATTCTTTGAAATGGATATAACGACTTATAATAATTTTGGACATAGACGAAGATGTGGTCATAGCCATGGACGTGGTCGGAATAATTATCATTATAATCGTGATGACCATAATGATACGCTTCACTATCGAAGTGGTTAAACTATATATATATATATATATATATATATATATATAAGAATAAAATGGATCAAGTTAGTATTCTAAAAATGAATGTTATATATGCGATATGAATGAACATTAGTTGCGTACACTAAAGCATCTCGTTGAACCTTATCAAGCAAAGCTGAAAAAGAAAGATTAAAATATAGAGACCACTTTTATATATCACAATAATAATAATTAAAATCAGCTACTTGCTATTTTTCTATTTATAAATAAAATATTTTATATTTTTATAATTTTTATCGCATAGTAATAGTTGCAAATTTATTTTGGTAATGTATTTATTTATTTATTTTATGTTAATATTATATCCGATTATATCAATCTAATAGAAGATTCCGGAAGAGCGAATGTATTATTATCTCGAAGAGACAAATTTTAGAGGCTAAAACGAATATATTATCACTCGAAGAGACAACTTTTAAATGTTCTAGAAGAGGGAATATATTATTATTTGAAGTGACAAAATTTAAAGGCTTTAGAAGGAAAATATGTTATTATTTGAAATGATAAATTTTATTGTAAATGATATACTATTCTCTCCGAAATCTCATAAAAATTTTTTGACTTTCATAGATATTCATCTAAATTGATATAATATCAAGGCATTAAATATAAAAAATATTGAATACTTGTATATTATAATTATTATATCCAATTGAAGATATATATTGAAAAATTTACCGGTTTTTTCTTTTAATTTTTATTATAAAAATTTGAATGAGTAAAACAAATGATATAGTAAACTAGAAGTTTACTAATTTAAATACTTTTATTATGTGACATAACCAATTAGGTTATCCTAGGTCTTTCATGATGTGAAAAATTATTAAAAATTCATATAGATATCTATTAAAGAGCCGGAAGATTCTTCAATTTAATAATGTTTCATGTTCTACTTGTTCTCAAGGTAAATTGATTATTAAGCCACCACTAAGTAAAATTGAGATTGGAACTTTAATATTTTTAAGATGTATTCAAAGTGATATATGCGGACCAATTCATCAACCATGTGGACCATTTAGATTTTTTATAAATTTAATACATGCATTCACAAGATAGTCATGTGTATTATTATTATCTACTCGAAACGTGATATTTTCGAGATGGTCGGCTCAAATAATTCAATTACTAACATAATTGTCAAATTATGCCATTAAAATAATTCATCTTTATAATACTGGTGAATTTATCTTCTAAGCATTAAATGATTATTGATTAACCATTAGAATAAAAGTTTTGCTCATGTTCATACTCGGAAAGTTTCAGCAAAATTATTTATCAAAAGGCTATAATTGATAGCTAAATTTTTATTTAAAAACAAAACTTTCGTTTGTTTTTAAGGATAAGTAATCTTAAATGCAACAACTCTTGTTCATATCAAACCTATAAGTTGTTAGAAATTCTCTCTCATTCAATTAGTTTGTGGTCTTGAGCTAAATATTTCTCATCTAAGAATTTTTAGCTATGTAGTATATTTATAGTACTCCTCCACAACGAACTAAAATAGGCACTCGAAAGGAGACCGAGAATATACTTTGAATTTAAATCATTTTTTATAATTAAATATCTTAAACCATAAACAAGAGATATTTTTATAGCTTGGTTTGTTAATTATCATTTTTATGAAATAATTTTTCCAATATTAGGGAGAGATAATAAGCAAAATTAATAGTTGAAAATGTTGAAAAAAGAGATTTATGTGAAGTACTCTATCTTTATATCATCTTGATCCTCATACAAAACAATAAGAATTAGAAGTTCAAAAGATAATTCATTTACAAGGTATTACAAGCCAATTACCATATGTATTCTTAAATCATAAAAAAGTAACCAAAATGTATGTTTTTTCCGAGAATGCTCCTATTAGAATTGATGTCTTAGAATGACAATATATTAATTTTATAACAAATGAATCTAAAACATGCATGAAGCCTAAAAGATCTATCGGTTCTAAAGATAAAAATTCTAAAAAAGAAGGACAGATGATTAAGATAAAAGAAGCAAATATTTAGAAAACAATCTAAAATATTTATAATTATAGGCTTCTAAAAGAGGTCCGGATGCTTGAGAAAAATTAAGAGATCTCAATAAATTATGTCAATATAGAGAGAAAATGAGACCAAAAAGAAACATTCATTAATAATATTTTTGCATATAATGTTGCAATTGATATTTTGAATAAAAATAGGGATTTTGAGCCTACATTGATTGAAGAACATTGATATAGAGATGATTGACTTAAATGAAAAGAGCAATTCAAGTAGAATTATATTCTCTTATAAATGAGTAGTTTTTGAACTCATAGTCAAAAAATTTAAAGATATTGAACCAATGAGATATAAATGGATATTTGTACGAAAACAAAATAAGAAAGATGAAATTATGAGATACAAATGATTATTTTAGTGTTTGTTCCATTACTTTAGTTTTTAGAAATTTGATTTATGCTATATTTTTTATATTTTATCTTTTAATATCTACTCTTTATTACTAATTTAGATGGATGTGGGATAATCATCTTGGTAGATATTTATTAAAAGAAGGTTGTAAAAATAACTTTTTTTTTTAATTGGAAATTTTAACCTTCGTTAATAGGAAATATCGATAGCAATTACATCCAAAATAAACCGAGGAACAACACCTCCCCAAACCTTAATAGAATCAACGAAATAGCAGCAGACTCTTAGCAAGTTCATTTAATGCGGAATTAGCCTCCCTATGTATAAACCCAAAGTTGACCTCATAGGAATGAGGTTTGAACGCTTTACAATCATCAACTAAGATCCCAAACTCATAATTATCAATATTTGGACCATTGATAGCACGAATCACCAACCGAGCATCATATTCAATAATTAAATTTGGAATGTTGAGTTCACGTAACCGAGACAAAGCCTTCCCGATGGCAATAATTTTTGCAATTTTTAGCTCCAACTCAACTAGAAGAACAAAATACATATAGCCTCAAACGACTCCCTTATGATCTCCGATAATACAACGGATTCCAGTTCTATTTGTACCTATAAACATATAAGCATCGATGTTAGCTTTAAAAAACCCATCTCCCGGTTTCTTCAATCTATCTTCCCTCCTCACGGCACTCTCCAACAAACCATAATCATTCCCACCACCTTTCCCCTCCAAACTTCTCCTCCATTCCTCCAACATGCCCTTACACATATTCATAATCCATGCATGATCACCATGTTTGTTCTTCCAAACACAATTATTTCGATTCTTCCATAAACCTCAACAAAGCATCACCACTTTACAACACTTCCCATATGCCAAACCCTAAAAATAAATGAAATCCATTCTCCCATATTGTTCACATTCCCCCTAACATAGCCCATCCCCAATTTATGCTAACACTATCTAGCAATAAAATAGTTAAAAAAGATATGAGTATCGATTCTAGCTCATAACCATAAAGCTGGGCAAGTACGGATCCAACTCCACACCCTTCCTCACCAATCTACCCTTTGTAGGCAAACAAGCATTCATAGCTCTCTACATAGTATGCTTAGCTTTCCCCGGAATTTTAAGATCCCGAACCGTTTCCACACACTAAGTTCCCGCTCATTTACCCCCTCCTTATAGTTCCCGATTAGGACTCGTAAGTCGATTTCATCGAATACTCTCCCTTACTATCATGATTCCATATAAGCTTGTCACTAATTCTTCTCCTACTCAATTGAATGCTCTCAATTAAAGCTCGATTTCTAACATTAAAAATCTCCCGAATCAACTCATCATACCATCTACTAGTTTCTTGATTAACGAGGTCGAAACATTCATGTCTTTTAACTCCTTATCGAGTTCCGTTGTAACCCGACTATTACGTCCATCATTCAACCATGGATCTTTAAAAACCTTGACATCGGCCCTCTATCAATACGCCATCTGTGACCTTGTCTAATCAAATTTTATGCTCGCCATCACACTCCTCCAAATAAAACTAGGTCTATACCCAATCGTATCATTTAGAAAGTTAGTGTGTGGGTAATAGCAAGCTTTATAAATGTGAGCCACCAAAGAGTTTGGATTGGTGACTAACCTTTATTGACTAGTTAAAAATAACTATATTTATTTATGTATTTTTATAAAGAAATTCTAAAAGAGATTTATGATAATTGTTATATATATTGATGATTTAAATATTATTTTAACTTCGAAGAGATTCCAAGTGCCATAAGTTATCGAAAAGGAGAATTTGAAGATGATACCTTGGGAAAACAAAATTTTATCTCGATATACAGTTCAAGCACTTAAAGAATGATATTTTTATTCTTTAGTCTATTTATATAGAAAAAAATTCTATAATAATTCTATATAAAGCTCATCCATTGACTAGCTCAATGATAGTTTGTTCACTTGATATCTAAAAAGACCATTTTTAGCCTCGAGAAGATAACAAAGAATTGCTTGATCCTAAAGTACTATATCTTAGTACCATTAGTGCATTAATATATCTTGCTAATAATATTAGACCTAATATAATATTTTTTGAAAATTTATTAATAAGATATAGTTTTGCTCCAACACAAAGATATTGGAATGAAATTAAATATATACTACTTTATCTCGGATGGACAATTGATATGGCCTTATTTTACTATAATAAATTAAAGACATGATTAATTGGTAATTCAAATGTAGATTATTAATCCGATCCATACAAAACTTGATCACAAATGGGTTATGTATTTACACATGATGATACAGATTATATCATGACATTTTATGAAGCAAAGTATAGTTGCTACATATTCAAATCATGCGAAATATCAATTCATAAGACAAGTTGAGAATGTGTTTGGTTAAGATTAATAACCCATCATATTTGAGAGATCTGCGATTTATCTACCAACGAAAGAAATTCTAACAATATCATATGAAAATAATACCGCTTACATCAAAGTGACAATTAGATTGACATATTCATCAAAGTATACCTGCTATAAATTTTGAGAAAATGGCACGTAAGAGTGAGATTCGTTGTCTTAAAGATTTTAAATAATATTTTCAACTCGGGAAGCCCAACATAGAGATTAATATATACAATGAATATTGTACTTTTTTTCTTTCACTAAGATTTTTTTCTCATTGAGTTTTTTCCTAGTAAGGTTTTAACGAGGTATATTTCTCGTACGATGGACATTTAAGAAGGAGTGTTATGAACCATTAAATGTCCGGGATCATTTTATATTCCTACTATTCGTGTGATTTAATTCAACATTCAATATAAGAAATTAAAAGAGTGATGTAATTTATTCAATTATTTATACATCTTTAATGGTTCATAGTCTTTTTAAATTCTCTTTCCAATCTCAAAGCCTACAAATAGGCTTGATTGTTCGTTAGTTTGTATATAAATATTTTGTAGAGATTGAGATAATTGTTTGAAGTTGTTATCTCTTGTTTTCTTTTTATTTCATACTAAAATCATTTTTTCATCATTTTTCTTTCCAATTTTATTATTGTTACCATTTCTTTTATAATAAAAGGCTCCATTTGTAAGTTTTTAAATGCAAAGCAAAACTAGCATAAAAACATTACAAAACAACACCAATTAAATTGCCATGTTCTTAAATGTACATACAATAGATATTCATTTTTACATAAATATTTATAAAATCTATTACTAAATGAGTTGTCATCATTCACATCGAGAATGCCAAAATTTCATAATTGAAGGAAAACTAATTGATTGTTTTGGACAATCTAATTAATCAATTTTGATTTCACTCGAATAAGTGGTATTTTACTTGCATACAAATTTTAAATTTTTATTTTTCTCACAAATTTCATACTCAAAATACTTTACATGTACATAATTTTGGTGAGCGAGTAGGGAAAAAACTATGAAAATTCCATTTATACCTCCGAGGAGTTAACTTTAAAACTCATAAAATTAATTTCAATTAATTTAAGGATTTTATTTTCTTTGATATGATGTTAGATGGATGAGACAGGTATCCCGCAGTTTTTTTTTTATACAAAATATTTTTAAAATTTATTTATAAAAATAAGATTATTTTAATTTTATTTATCAAAATAAAGTAATTTTTATCACATAAACTAAATCTTTTACACATATAAGCTTTTTTAATGCTAATAATGGGTATTTAACACATCGACTTTAATTTTTTTAAAAAATCATGTTATCATTCTAAAGTCTACATTATGCATCTTTTCTTTACAATCGAAAAATCTCTTCCGTTTTTCTAACAAAAAGACCGTTTTCAGCTTTTGTTATGGCTAGTATCGACAAAGACATGTTAGAGTCCACATTGAGTGGTTGATCATTTCCCGCTTTCACATAAGAAAAACACAACTCGTGTAGAGAGACGCTCTCGGTTGTTAGAGAAACATAGAATTCTATAAAGATGGTTTTTTTCTTTTGCAAGCACTACCATCAACACCTATTACGCTTTACCTCCCTAAAAAATGCCCAAATCTTCATTCTCAAAAACTTAGCAAAATGTCACCAATTCGGTGTTTTTTATCGGCTTCAACCCAATCAAAAACACCCCAGCTTGATTTAAAGACTTATTGGACAACCTTGATTCGATAAATCAATCGAAACTAGACCAAGCCATTCCTATTGAGTATCCATATAAGATTTATGAAGCCACGAGGTATTCCGTTCTCGCTAAAGGAGCTCCTCCTATTATGTGTGTTGCTTCTCGTGAGCTCTTTGGTGGTAATCGTCTTCGTCGCCTTCCCTATCGCTTGTTCTCTTGAGATGGTAACAAAATTCAACACCCCCATCTTTGAATTTTTTTAATTTTTTTTTTACTATTGTTTTTAATTTGGTTTGGTTTTTGAGTTTTTTTATGCTTCGTTTAGTTAATTATAATCTTTGTTTAGGAACTTAATCAAGAAAGTTACCGAATTGTGACTCGATTACTATTGGGTAAAGTGGGTTAGGTAGGTTCTTTGATTGCACTCATTAATTTTGTTACATGGGGTTGCCGTGACGATTGTTCCGCTTTGCATATGATATAGTAAATGCGAAGCTAATTTTGGTGTGAATTTTGTTATATTGATTGTTATTGAGAAGTTAAGCTATTAAAGGAATCTCGCTGAAAACTCTAATCTTGAGTTTGGAGGATCGATGATGTTATGATGTCCAATAATATTGAGCAACTTTAAGATTTTAAGTGTGATATGTTATACGGATATCGTTCTTTTTTGTAATGTTTTCATTTGAAGAAGGATTCGTGGTGCTTCTCTTTAAGTAGAAATATTTTGATTTCGGTTTGTCATGCACAGTAGATCGAGGAATAATGTGGAGTTTTGCTTTTAACTTACCGGTTCCAATACCGAGGAACAACTCTATCTATAAAAAGGAAAATGCTAACGCTTGAAATATTTCCATTATTTTGGCAAAAAGGAGAATGCACTTCTCTTCAACTTCGGTGTTACTTAGAAATATTTATCATTGGTCAATTGTTGTAGCCACTCGCATGGAATTTAAATTACCATGTACCAATTTGAATTGTCATACGATACTAGTCGGATTGTTATACAAAAGAAAGATGCTTTTAGGAATTAAGTATGTCATAAAATGAGATATGGATGAGATACTATTTTTTTTCTAATCGCAGAAATCGTTTCTAAATCGCAGAGATGAAGAAAATCATAATTTTAGCTTTAATTGTTACGGAGAATTTTTTAGTTTGTGCTTTTGGTTTTCTTTTTATTTATTCTCGGTTCGTTTTTCATCTATTGATTTCTAAAACCCCATGTCTTGTTATTAAAAGAGTAACGATACTGTGTCATCAACTTTTATAAGTACAATCGAGGTTTCTATAGCGTGTGACCGTGTTCCCTTCGACTTACATAGACTCGAGAGCTCTTGAATCCTTGCAGCTAAGGGACCTCATCGACTTTCTTCCGACTTCTCTTGGAACCATTGTCGGTTGCTTTCGTTGCGAAGTTATTCGAGGTATATGGAAACTAGTTCCAATGAATGGAACTCGTTGGCCCGATCCAACAACGATCCTTTCATTTATTGATTCCGAAATAAAAGAAATACTTGCTCGCTGCAGTGTTGATTTCTAAAGTCGTTCCTCCGGTACTTTTCATCAAACTCTTTTGATTTTATACTCGATTTACTATTGCATGATAAAATTTAATTACATTTCATGTCTCGCTATTTTATAAAAGACATGTGCATGAAACCGCACATGTAAAGACTCGTACCTAAAATCGAGTCGGCATTAGCTACTATAGCAAGCTCATCAATTCTCTCCCGGTTAAAGGTTTACTTTCTCCGACCAAAGAAGCCCTTAAGAAATACATCATAAACTAAAAAATATCTTCAATTTCAAAGTTGTTTCGAGTTTGTTTTTCTCAAACTTGCTTTAGGAATCCAACCATTTGTAAAAACTATTATTCGTGACTTTTCCGTAAGTGAATCTATGGACCAAGGAGCATGTTATGGATTTCACCAACTCGTGTTTTTGTTCATTACCCCTCGTAGGTGATATCTAATTATGTTGGCATAACATTCTAGTTTTCTTTCCATGGAATGTAGTGTACATCGATACATGGGTCCGTAAAAATCATGTTTCTAGTGGCATATTAAAATCTTCCTTTTACTCTAACAGTTTCCTTCACTTGCATTTCTTGTGTTCCTTTGTTTTGCAAAAGGTGGCTTAAGGAGAAGAGATCAAGTAATCTCCAACAGCCTTCCTCTAAGACCTATACATATATATATTGCACCACCGTTGGTCCTTACCGAACTTCGAGTTTTGGTTCATGTTTGTCGATACTCGAAACTTCGTATGGAGAAGAGATCAAGTAATCTCCTCCCTACTCTCTTCCCTTCATCGCCATACATCCACATTTACACGTGAAGAAGAAGCTTTTTAGGTGCTAACTAAATCTTAATTAAACCGAAAAAAAAATCTTAATTTAATTCAAATTTTTGGTCTCTTAAAAGTTGTTGTTAAAAATGTAGTTTTGGCTCATTTTTAACAACTCTTTACAGACTTCAATGATATTTTTGACACTCGGAAATGGAGACAACACGAGTAATAGATTGGAAAGAGCCGACGAATGAAGTGGCAAAAAGAATACAAAATAAACGAGAGGATTCCAGTATTAGCCTATAGTAAGAACTTGCACAAGCACAATGCTTAGGATCGAATTGCTCGCAAATAACTTTGTCAAATGACAACCTTTTCTCGCTTAAATGCTATTAGTAATATTTCGTTATCTTAATGTATATCTTTTATCGAATTAAATTTTATTTTTTGGTTTCTCTCGTATGGTGGCAATAAGCCTATTATCGAGAGGACATAACATGCTTTCTCTTTGATCGTCGGTCGTCTATCATAAAAATGGGAACCTTTTTCGATACACTTGCCCAGTAAGCAACGAGCTTATGAACAGAGTAAGAGATCTTTTCCCATCCATTCGAGGTTAATCTTCATTGTGCTCCATTCAAGTATAACAACACCGCATTCTTATCTTGAATTTGGGAATATTGTATAGAGCAACTTGACTTGGCCAAAGCTATGCTAGAAAAGATGAATTCTACTTGATTACAATTAGTGCTTTGAAATCGGTCCTCTATTTTGCTAGTGAAAAAACATTCCAAGAAGTGCTAACATTTTCCGTTACTGACTTCAAGAGTTGCAAAATGTCTTTTAAACTCGGGAATTTGCGAAGGGAACTATTACTCGGTATTTGTTGACTAAAATTGTCAAGTAACAGAGTGAGGCCTAACCCCGTATTTTGATCCGGAGAGATGACCGAATGAAACGAGTCCGTTTCTTCCTATGTTTGTCATCGGCTTCTCCATTTCCGGATAAAATCAAGCAAACAAAATAAAATCATCGAACTCATCACTTTATTGCCTCCGATGAAATCATAGATGATCACGCAACTTAATGACCCTATGCTTCGTAAAAGCATATCCATCCAAATTAAAATAAAACATTATAGAATTTCATCCTTACCGATAAATCATCATAACCGAGAAGGCGAAGATGAGACATTTTTTCGGGGAAAGACAAAAATCCAAAAAACTATCATGAAAGCAAAGCTCGTCGGGATATTCTTGCTTAAGTTCGTCATTGTTCTTGATACCTGCCATTAAGCAATTTTAATAAATCCAAGGTGGAAAAGAATCTCACGGTCGACTTGCTCTTGTAAATATTGAAATGTTTTAGAGAAATAAGCATTATTATCAAAGAATACGGGGCATTTCTTGAAGGAAGATAAGTCTCTAAAATATCATTATCAAAGCAAAGCATTTCGCTTTGGGACATCAAATTAAGAGATTTTGTGGCCATTTCCAACGCGAGTATATATTTGGATGCAATCACATTAAAGCATCATCGAAACATAAGTTCCTTTTGCATGCTTTTGGTATCTCGAAGAGATTAAAAAAAAAAACACGTTTTTTCTGTTCTTAAATTTTAGGATATTTTTATTGTTTTTCTTTTAAATCTTCTGATCAATTTTTTATTTCCACGTACAAAACGGAACTGGATGGAAAGACAAAACCTCAACTAAACCAATAGTTGAGGGCAAGGGCAAAATGCAAAAATAAATTTTGTGTAAGGGTAATACTCACAATAAATAACAGTATAAGGATGAAACATAACGTTAACTGATCAACCCATAAAACGTCGCTCGTCTGGTGCGCTAGGGTTTTCTCTCCTCTTTGTCACTGAGCTGATGCAATAGAGCGAGACTTCCACCAGGTACCAATCCAAAACTCTTATTTTCGTGGCCAATCATGTTTGTTTGCCGAGAAAAGAATTTAAGACATTTTTTTCCTTCATATGTTGTAAATAATCACTGTTTGTTTTTTTTTTGTTCTTCTGCTACAGACGTAGAACAATAAATAGGAGGGCGCTAAAGTATTTATGGAATCTATCATTTGCTAATAAATCAACCAGAGTTTTTTTTTTCAAACTAAGCGGTTGGTTATGCCCAGTATGGAAACTGAAGATTCTAACGTTTCAAGAGCTGAAGAAATCAAAGTCTTGGCCAATGAAGCATTCAAAGGTTTCCCTTTGTGTTTCTTTTCTTTCGCATTTTGTTTGCCTTTTTCTGTTTGGAACTTTGTAATTTTTTTAAAAATCTAAGTTAGTGTCGGTTTGGTTTGCAGCCCACAAATATGGACAGGCTATTGATCTGTACACGCAAGCTATTGAAGTAAATGGTGAGAATGCAGTTTACTGGGCTAATCGTGCATTTGCCCACACTAAACTGGAGGAATATGGCAGTGCAATACAGGACGCTTCGAAGGCCATTGAAATCGATCCTAAATATTCAAAGGCAAAGCAAACATATCTTGAGTTTTTTGTTTTTATTTTTTATTTTTGATATACATATTTTTATCTATGTTGTTGTTCTGATAGTTATCTGAATTTCAGGGTTATTACAGGCGAGGAGCTGCTTATCTTGCCGTGGGAAAATTCAAAGATGCACTAAAGGACTTCCAACAGGTGTGTTGTTTGCTTAGGTTGTGTTTGAACAAAATATTGTTCGGCTTAGATTTTTTTCTTTTGCCTCATTGGACCAATAATTTTTATGTGACATGCTAATGCATACTTCTTGAATTCCATATGTACATATTAGGTGAAGAAATTATGCCCAAATGATCCTGATGCTTCAAAGAAATTAAAGGAGTGTGAGAAGGCAGTAATGAAGCTTAAGTTTGAAGAAGCAATTGCTGTTCCTCAGTCTCAGAGGCGCTCAGTGGCTGATTCTATTGATTTTCATTCAATAGGTACTTGGCCCTTTTGAGTTGATTTCTACTAGCGTCTTAACCATGTCCTTTTTTCTTCTTCTTTTCTTTTTCACGTCATTTGATATTAGTAGAAAGTCATTACATGCCGCAGAACAAACTATAAGCATGTCTTTGATTCTTTGACTTCTTTGTTCTCTTCTGTTTGCAAGTCAAAGCATGGGTTACTTGAGACTTTTTCCCGTTTTTTCACTGTTTATACTTGTAAGGCAATGAACGGTGACTTTAGGTTCCATTCCTTCACTTTTTTTGAATGAAAGTAGTTCATTACAAGTTCTCATTTATGCTGTTCTGTGCGTACATGTCTGTTGAGAAGTATTTCTCTCTGGAAATATGATTCTACCTTGGTAGTGTAATCATATTGAGTCTCGACGCTATTAAAATTTATATTTTTATGTGTGCGTGTACATAATTTAGACCCTGGTAATCCTTACATTGTTGTTATATTTGGCATTCTATTGTAAAAGAAAAGGATCTTTTAAGTTATATTTGGCATTCTATTGTAAAAGAAAAGGATCTTTTAAGTTTTGTATATCAGTTGTTCTGTTTGTATCAAACACACACACAACAACAACAACAAAAGCCTCAAATCCCATTCATGCAAATTTTTATGTGCAACAAATGCCTTTCTTGATAAAGAATCACATTTGTTACTTTATCATAGACTTCATAAGATGGAATTGGATATGCTATAATTAGAGAACTCTTCTCTTTGGATTCCCAAGGCTACACTGATGTTTCTTCATCAAGCAAGAAGTCTTTTATGTCAAAGAATAAGTGCCCACGATAGATTTCTTGGTCCAGGTCTAAAGTTTTGATCATTGGTGATTTTGTAAGCAGGTGAGGATGGTAAAACATGTGTACTTTGGTAATTTGATATTTGGTAGAAGGTCTAGGCTTACTATTTGGTGTCTTAGTCTTTACTAAGTATTCTTATTTAGTTGCCTTCATAGTCAACTTAATAGTTGTATCTAGCAATCCTAGTGCTAATAGGAGTTCTAATCTCTATAAATGGATATGGAATGTCTTATTTTCACAAGGGTTGAGTTAGGAAATAAATTGAGTGTTAATGTTATTTTGAAGACTTGGAGCCTAAGATTTTCTTCTCTCTTATTCTTCTATTTTGTTCTCTTCCCTTTTCTTAGCTAGTACCTCAGGTACCATTCACAGACCAAATTAGAACACATTGATACTCAACCTTAATTCAGCACAAGTCAAACCTTAACCTTAATTCTCACCTAAAGGTGCATCATATTCAAGGCCGTCCTGTATCATCAAAAGTACATTGTTGATAACCTCATGCATATTTGAGCAAATAACGATGCTTAGCATATTACTTGGCCCTCCTTTTTCTTTATTTTTTTGTGAATGTAGTGGGCATGAAATGCAATCTGGAACCCAGTGATGTAAGTTGTGAAACTGTCTGTGTTATGTTTTCTTTGCAAAGCAGAAAAACTAATACAGAACCCATCACAAATCATTAGCTACTAGAGAATAGTAGTACTACGTCATTTTACAAAGCTAACAATTGGCCAGTTCTAATCTTTGTAGCTTTGTAATTTTTTCCTGCCACTTTCTTGCTGGCTTTTAATCTAAGCTTATCAATTCTCATTAAAAAAAAAAAAAAAACCAACTGTCCAGTTCAAGATAATTATCTTAAGAGTTTTTAAATATATTATTGGCTGGTAGATTTGGAGCTGCTACAGGGACGCACAATCTTATTTTAAAAACTGTTGGTTTCTGTGGCAATTTGGAAACCAACTTTATATTGGATGTGATCCAACCAAGAATTGTTTAGCGATAGAAGTATTGAAATGGTAACTGCATGCTTTGTATATATGGTGGCCCATTAGTAAATTGTGTTAAGCATGTGAGGAGGCTGGAGCCAAGGAAGTGATCTTGCAAATGAAGCTTTGACATAATGAAATTCTATAGCCATTCCTTAGTTTGTTATTCTTCTATAGTAGTAACCAAATGCCATATTTTGATGACCGGATAGATGGTCCATGTTATCTTTTGAGCGTATTAGTTGATGAACAGCTGTCTTGTAGGTATGCAACCTAAGTTGGGTTGGTATTTTTAGAACCAAAATGGGACAGCAGAACCTTAAGAAATCAGTTTTGAAAGTGTCGTTGGTATTTTTAGAACCAAAGCAGGACAACAGAACCTTAAGAAATCAGTTAGAAAGTGTTGGTTCTATGGTCAAGCAGCATCAACTTTCTTCTGTTTTGTTGCTTTTGCTCTTGTTAATGTCCTGTACATTTTGATGGTATAAAGGGTAAAACTGATGTTAGGTCTTTAAATACAGCACCTAAATCTCTAAGGTTTACAATTTTTGTTTGTTTATACTTGGGCTGTGTTATATATAAGGAAGTAGAAAAATTAAAAACGAAAAATTGAAATATGTAAAATGGAAAAGAAACTAGCATCGCATCGGGGCTTCTAGAATTCTCAGGAATCATTCCCAAGAGAAGATGCATCACATGTATAACTAAAGCTGCCTAAAATTCTGATTCATTGGTTCCTTCCTCTTCCTAAAGTGGGGTTGCCATCCTCTATGTATAGGAAGAAAGGAGGGGCCCTAAAGGAGGTGCACACTAAATGGTGCTTAAGGAGGTGCACCTTAGGGGGTGCTAGTTATCTAGTCAACTGCTTAATATGGAAACAGCTGACTGGTCAACTTGTATAAAATTACAGAACTAACCCTGAAGATCTAAAACCTACAGAATTGACTCTGACTTGGAACATCAAATAGAACACAAAAACCTTGATGTTTTTGTTTGATGCATAAAAAAGAAACGCTTTATCTCTCAAGTATAAAATAATAAGAATTTATCGGGGCAGGAAATTTAGCTTCCATCTTTATTTGGGAATATTTGTTGATTGGGGTAAACCCTTTCAAATTACTTTTTGTTGTCTCTATCATCTATCAAATCTTCCATAGTGCCCTGATCTCAAACTTCTTTCTGCCAAGGAAGGACATGTTTCATAGAATTCCCATTCTGACCTCAATGTCTACGTAAGTTTGGAGACATTGTATAAGATTCTGATGCTCTCACTTCTCAATTAAGTTGGTTGGATAGTTGATCATTTTGGATAGTAGGCCGAGTTAGGCCTAAGTTATCATGCTTGTTTGGTTTGAATATGGGAGCAGATATTTAAGTTTTATCATTGTAATTTGGCGCACCAAGCTTGATCATTCTTGACTCTATGATTATATTATTGTGTTGTATCTCATGATAAATTATGTCATAGGTATTAATTTTACTATTTTCTATATATTTTATCATAATAGGGACTAGCCCCAGTTCATCATCCATGCCCGCCCAAGTGGCCATAGCATCAGTAGCCGTAGCAGTTGTTGCAGCAGCTGTGATGTTGGTGGGAATGGCAAAACCTGCTGTGGTGGTAGCAGTGCTAATGGTGATACTGCTGGTCCTAGGGGCATTTTGGTGGGGTAGCTGCTGGGGTAGTGGTGTTTTTACCAAGAGAGGAGTAATGGACTTAGGTTTGAGCTCAGATTTAATAAACTATCATGGTCACAATCTATTTTCGTATCTCTTGAAGCACAGGGTCAATTTATTTTGATAGGAAAGTCCTGTCACTCGAAAAAAACTGTATTCCTGTTTAATGTCCTAATACTTGAAGAACATGTGGAGTTTACAATTTAGAATGTATTATCTGTTAATGCAATTGACTTGAGCAAGTGGGATTTAAGTTTGGTAATAGTAGGCCATGTAGTGTTGATCTAAGATTTTACTGATAACATAAGATAAATACAACATGAAGTTCTTAAGCTATGCATTCAAGGAAATTTATATGCTTGCTTACTTTAGGTTTACGAAGCAGCATTTGAAGCGAATTAGTAATGCTTGAAGTCTGGTATGTTTTCTTTTTGGTTTGATGTGGCATTATATCCTTTCCATTATCTTATTTGCTTGATTTTATGAACTCCTGATGCTTTCAGTCTTCAAAATTTTTGCATGTAATATAGTTCAAGCATAACCCTTGTTTTGTTTATCGAGGCTGCAATCCTAATCATACTGCTCCAACCCCGATTTTGCATATTTGTTTTTACTGGTTATTTTGGTGCATTCCTATTCTTTTCCACTTCAACTATTTGTAGATCCTACATCATGAATACATGACATGATGCAGGTAGGGGAAGGAAAGGTACCAAGATGTTAGCTACTGAAACCCATAGAAGTTATCTCTACCTTTTTGTCAAGATGAAATATCATTCACAATAGTGTTGAAGAAATTGACTGCAGGAAGTTGTCACTGCATGTGGAATTTCCACAATCTGACAATCATTAGCATTATGTGTCTTCTGGGTGCTTTCTCATTCAGTTTTTAGGCTGTACCTTTGCTATAATTCATGTATAACATAGTTCCTGGTACTGGAGAACCCAACTTAACCTTTTTGTATAGGTCCTTTCGTGATGATTAGTTTTACTTTTTAGGCTCTAGGTTTTTTAACGTAGAAAAATGAAGAAAAGGAAAATCCTTTGATTTTCAGGAGTTAAGTCCATCCTATTGTTAAATTTATTGTGGTAATTTGGCTTTAATTTAGGTAACAGGTCTGTCTTTTTGTTTAATTAGGAAAACCTTATATGTTTACTATATAGGTCCTTTCTATACGATTAGTTTTATTTTTAGGCTTTTGGTCTATAAATGTAGAGAAATGAAAAAACCAAAATCCTTTGATTAGGAGCTAAGTCAATCCTATTGTTACATTTATCGTGTTCCCGTGGCTCTAATTTAGGCAGCAGGAAGATCTTTTTGTTTGATTAGGAAAACCTAATATTTTTATTGAACCTTTAAATCCATTTGCAAGTTTGGAATGTCTTTTTATTGGTGGACTCTTCTACATGATTAGTTATAGAAATCTTCTTCTGGATGACACTTCTAGGTGGCTTCAGTAGGTCTCAAAGGTTTAATCAAAAGAGGGGAAAATAGCTTTGGTACTGTTTGTAGGCGCTATTCATGTGGACCTAACATGGCCTTTGTCAGTCCAGATCAATGCCTCTGATCCCAGTTTAATTCCAAAATAAACCCTCACGCATCTTCATATAAAAGACCTAAATTTTCTAAGCCTTGGCCCATGCATTTCCATCGTTGAAAAACGTTAATATTTAAAGCAGAGAACTCTTCTAAAATCTGTCTTCTACATCAATGTTCAAAAAGTTATTTTGTTCATAGAATAAGAGAAGCAATAAATTGGATGTTTGGGCATTTGATCTATGAAAATAAATTTATAGGTGGTTTGGAGACTTTTGTTTCTATCTGGTACTTATCACAAAAAGGAAATGACAAAAGGGGGACGATATATTGAAAGCCTTTAGGGTAATGAGGTTTTAATACCTCTAAAGCCCAAGTCTTGTTTATCCAGAGATGGTCTTCTTCCTTCCTGCATCTCTCTCTTTCTCGTTTTTCAGTTGTAAGAAAAGAACTTAACCAGATGCTTTTATCTATCGTACATTAATGAAGTTGTTTTTCTGTTTCTTTTCTAGATGTGGAGCCACAGTACTCCGGTGCAAGGATAGAGGGGGATATTGTTACTTTGGATTTTGTCAAGAAAATGATGGATGACTTCAAGAATCAAAAGTGCTTACACAAACGGTATGATTTGCTAGGAAAGTTATGAACTTAGATTTTGCAATATGGCTGATATACTGTTCTCACTTTTACCTTTCTGGAAATGTTCCAGATATGCATTCCAGATTGTCTTACAAACAAGAGAAATGTTGCAAGCTCTGCCTTCTTTGGTTGATATAAATATTCCTGACGGCAAGCATTTCACCGTTTGTGGTGATGTACACGGTCAGGTGACGGCATTACTTCTGCATTTTTACAACTCTAGAACTAGCTCTTGCTTTGCAAGAAATTCGGAGATTCTTAGATGCAATTAAGGTCAAACAATAGAGAGCATGGTGCATTTATCCCCTTCTTGCCTAAATGGTAACAAACCATTATGTGCATGAGTTTGATGGGCATAGTGAAGCTTTATCTGAAATTGCTAATTTACAAAGCCTCGAGAATGATAGGTGGGTTTTTTTTTTTTGTTTTTGTTTTTGTTTTTTTGTTTTTTGTGGGTTTTTTTTTTTTTTGGGTGGGGTAAAACAAGAGCTTGATTAGGAAGAAATGAATATTCATTATAAAGTTGGAGATCAGTCGTCCTCTAAAGGAGCCAAAGGAGAGAAAAACTGATTTAAAATAGCAGGGTATTCCAATCCCTCTGGATATCTACTACTAAGGAGGTGTCCCTAAAAGGGAGAACTATTCTACCGTGCAATAACTGCATGGATGAGAAGTACTTGTGGATATTATCTCATTCCTCTAACCAAATGCACTGAAAGATATAGCATAGACAGCTTAAAACCACAAAATCTTGCAATCTAGCCTCCTCCTGAAATCCACTGAAGATACCAACAACCAATCTGTTTACCTTACTATCATACACCAAAAAATCACCACAAAATGTAAACAGACAATGCCACATATCCCAGGTCAGTTAGGATTGAAGGAAGGAAATGACTTTGAGATCCATAATTTCAATAACATAACACAGATATTTGGAGGTAAGGCCTGATTGGGCTTTCTAGTTTCCTTTCTCATTCTTCAATAGTAATTTTCTCATGTTTGTTGCCGGCTACCAGCAAGAATGTCATGTTGTTTCAAGCCATCCATCATTAATTGCCTTTATTTTAATTGTTAATTTATTTCTGTCTATATAAGGGATTTGTTTGTGTTTTGTAATGCATGCAGTTCTATGACCTGTTAAACATTTTTAAGCTGAATGGGCTTCCCTCGGAAGAGAATCCATACCTGTTTAATGGCGACTTTGTGGACAGGGGATCGTTTTCCTTGGAAGTCATCCTCACACTGTTTGCTTTCAAGTGCATGTGTCCATCAGGTGTGCCCTAATTGGTTCTTATTGGCTCTCTCTCTTTTTCCCTTTTTTTTTGGTCCCTTCCCCCCCCCCCCCCCTCTCTTTCTGCAACACTGTCCTGTTTCCCGTGAGTTGTTCTTCAGGCTTTTGCTTTAGGTAATTTGACTATCATTGTGTAGTGTATTTACTTTTTTCTATTTCTTCAGCTATATATCTTTCTAGAGGAAACCATGAAAGCAAGAGTATGAACAAGATGTACGGTTTTGAGGGTGAGGTCAGATCCAAGTTGAGCGAGACTTTTGTTGAACTCTTTGCAGAAGTCTTCTGTTGTTTACCTTTGGCTCATGTAATAAGTGGGAAGGTATTTGTGGTACATGGAGGTCTTTTTAGTGTTGATGGGGTGAAACTATCTGACATTAAAGCTATCGATAGGTTTTGTGAACCTCCAGAGGAAGGTAAGCTGCTCAATTCTTTTATTTTTTGAAAAAATAAATTCTTGCTTGTATTATTTATTGTCATTGGTTGAGATCCTCCTCTAGTATGAGATAGTTAAGGTGCTTCATATTACTGCAACTTTTGTTCTTTGATGGAGGTAGTAATTTGTAGCAAAGTACATTATAAGATCTATTCTATCTGTAGTCTTAGGATTTATGTATGAATAGTTTTCCCTAGATAATTGATGATTGAAATATGAAATCATTAGCTCTCACAATATATTCTCTTTGTTTTTTTCCCCAATTGTCATCAGGATTGATGTGTGAACTGCTATGGAGTGATCCACAGCCTTTCCCTGGAAGAGGTCCTAGCAAGCGAGGTGTAGGGCTTTCTTTTGGTAAAGATGTGACGCAGAGGTTTTTGCAGGACAATAGCCTAGGTAAATTATCTTGCCGCTCTAACACTTCTATTGCTTTTACATTTCTCCTGTTCTCACATGCTTCTCAAATCATCAGATTTAGTTGTGCGATCTCATGAAGTAAAGGATGAAGGATATGAGATCGAGCATGATGGTAAACTGATCACTGTGTTTTCTGCTCCAAATTATTGTGATCAGGTAAATATAACAATGATCAATCTTTCTTATGTGGTAGGACTTTGTCTTTAGTTTTAGCATGTGAACTTTGAGCTTCAGATTTTATGGCATTTGATGCTTCAAATAGGGAAACTATGACAACTTATATTTTCTCAATTTGGCCTTTTGTCTATGTACCTTGTCTGGTGAATGTCGCTAACTTATTTACCCTCCTTATAAAATACAAAATTCAATTATTGTTCATCTGAATGGTTGATTAGCAAACGAAAAAAAGAAGAATTTGTTCTAAAAAGCAGAGGTTGATCTTGTTCACTTCAAAAGAAGATATTCACGTTCCATAGTTTGTACATGAAGCTCCACATGTAAATATGTATAGATAGTAGTAACAGTTGTGAACTTTTATCAGACAACGACAACATAATAGGAATTGTTTGCTTTCATGCCTTTTCTACTGGTTTTATCATAAAATATGTTTTTGTATGCCGACACCTGATGACACAAGCTTTACCAGTTTAGCCAATGCTGTTTTTGGTTAATTTTAAGCTTGAGCATACATAGATTAATGTTATGTTTTGAGAATTTCTTGTATGTTTTGCAGATGGGTAACAAAGGTGCTTTTATTCGATTTGAAGCCCCTGATTTGAAGCCAAATATTGTTACATTCTCAGCAGTGGTCAGTAGCACATTCTCTCACTGTTTCCTCGTAAGAAATGTTTTTGCTATTTCATTTTTTTTCTGGGGAAAAAGACTGGTGGGGTGCGGCAGTTGGGTTGGAGCACAAGTGATGGGGGATATTGCTTCCTTGTGTTTGAATTTCATTCATCCTATAATGATACTGCAAGATTGATGATGTCCTTTTGTGCTTTCAATATGCAGCCTCACCCTGACGTTAAGCCTATGGCATATGCGAACAACTTCCTGCGAATGTTCTCATAATTTATGCAGGTGTGGGATGGTCATTCTTGTACTATAGTTGCCGCTTGGTGTCTCTGCTGCCGAAGTGCAAGTTCCATAAAGCAGCTGGAGAGGAGCCCGTACATGTTGACAAATTCTGGCTTAAGTTGTGATATTCTTTGAAACGATACTTTTTTTTCTTTCCTTTTTCCTGCTCATCAATTGTATGAATTTTCAGCCTCTGGTCTCCTTTCAAAAATTTTCCCTAGCCAGTTGTAGGTGAAACAAATACCGGCATGGATGTTGGTGCTGTTGTAAAATGTATGACCTCTCCTTTTCGTACGTTGTTTTCATGTTTCAAGCATAAGATGAGTTTCGTGTCTGCCTTTGCGGTTTGATGGTTAAGAAAAGAAGAGGAAAATGATGGTTAAGAAATCATTTTTTTTTCTAAAAAGTTGTGAATAAAGAAAATGAAGGACCTTAAGGAAAAAAAGAAAAAAGCATCCTAGTGTTTCTGTACGCCAGGTAGCTTGAAGAGTAAAATTTAGAGGTCTTCCATCAATTTCAAGGGAAAAATAGCTGACTATTCGGTATTGGACGCAGCGGAATTTTTTTCTGAAAATATAGGGCCATATAATTTTCGTAGTTGTTGAGGAAAGAGATATATATTCAGGCTCTACATTCCTTTTAGCTACTAAAGGGAAAATGCGGGTACAATTAGTGGAATTGATTTGAAAACATCCTACCAAACTCATTTACTTTCTATTAAATTGAGAAATTCTAGTATTTTATTTAAATTACTCTATTAATTCTATCAAAATATAATATTATTCTTTTAAAATTTATACATTATTAAAAATTTACTTTCTATTAAATTGAGAAATTCTAGTACTTTATTTAAATTATTCTATTAATTTTATCGAAATATAATATCATTCTTTTTAAATTTATACATTGTTAAAAATTATAAACTACGGTTGCGTAGTGCTACAGCATCAATTCAACGACATATCAGTATGTTTACCTTGAAATGAAGTTAACATATCATTTTTCATATTAGTGAATATGTTAATGTGATCTGTTAGTGTGTTGAACCAACGTATATCGATATAGCAATCAATATTTTCATAGCATGATAATGCTTGTTCACGTAGAAATGTTGATGTGTCTACATTGGCATTGTAGCGCATGGCATACCTCAAAAACTTATTTTTATTCTTTAAATTAAAGATAAATATTTCAATTTTTCCTCAGTTTTAAGTTATTTAAAAATCAATTTTTTAATTTTTAATTTCAGATTCTACTTCTTTTCAGCTTTTTTTTTTTTTAAAAAAAAATTTGAAATTGGATTTATTTACTAGGTTTCCATCAATTCTAATAGTTGAAATACACCTTACTAGCACATAGTTGATTTTTGAACTTTTTCAATGATTAAAAACGTATCAATTTTTTTTTTGAATGTTTTGCTTTTTCTTTCAAAATTTGTTCCTTTCATTTCAAAATATATTTTTTAATTATTTACTTCTTAGGATTTAGAAGAAAAGACGAGTTTTGAAAGAAAAAATAAAAAATTTATAAGTTTTGATATGTTTTTATTTATTGAGAAATTGTATTTATAGGTTAGAATTGATGAAAACCTAATATAACGATCTAATTTCAAATAAAAAATAGTTAAAAAAATTCAAATCAAAATTAAAAATTAAAAAATTGATTTTTAAATGATTTAGCAGTTAAGAAAAATTTAGATGGTTTTTCTTAAATTAATGCATTGTATGTTTTAGAGAAAAAGTTGCACTGTGTCTGAATTATTTGATTTTTGCTTCTTTTTTTTTTTTTTTTTTTTTTTTTGACTTTTTTGGTGTCTCCTTATGCATATGTTGCTGCTGTCTTGTTTTGAGCTTTTGTTGTGCTTTATTCATTTAGACGCTTTGTTTTGAGCTCATTTTTCTTTTCTATTGATGCAAAGAGATCTTTTAGTATTTTTCTCGCATTCGTAAACAGATTTTTGCAAGTAATTTATTATATATCATATATATAAAAGGAGCATTTCTCAATGTATTGGTTTAGTAATAAAATATCTTCAGATCAATTTTTATATATTTTAAGATTAATCTCCTTCTGAACATAATTAATGGATATTTTTTAAAATATAATTTTGAGTGTTTTGAAAATAAATTTTTAAAAATCGATGCGTTCAGGAATTACCTTGCTGTTCGTAACCTGATATCTAACAACGTGCTGTATTTGGGTGTTGCTCTTTTGGTGAGGAGGACGGTTGGTAATGATGTGGCGAGGGAATGTAGTGAAAAGAGGTAAAGAAAGCCAAAAAGGAGCCAAAATGATATTGTAGGTAGCAGAATCTAGCGTGGCAATAACAAATCCCATTTCCCCGTGCAGCAGGTGGTTGCGTCCTAAAAGTATAAAAATACTTCATTCTTTCTCAGTTCCCATCATCAAAAGCTGAAGCTGAGAGAATTCAACAACCCTTTCTCTGTCTGTATTATCAATCTCTTCCTACTTCTTCTTCTTCTTCTTCTTAAAACATTATATATTGGAACACTCATAGCAGAGAAACAATAAGGAAAAAGAAAATGTCAAAAGCAGAGTCTTCATCGGCAACAGCTCGCACTCGCTTGGCGGTGCTCACAGCACATTTAGCTGGAGCACCCACGCTCGAATCATCACCCGCGATCGAGCGGTGGTGCGTGTCTGCTCAGGTCTCTCCTCCTGGAAACCTCCAGGGTGCTTTGACTGTCATCGATGAGAGGACTGGTAAGAAATACCAAATTCCGGTCTCTCAAGAAGGCACCGTCAAAGCCTCTGATTTCAAGAAGGTATATTTATTTATTTATTATATTATTATTTTAAATTCAATTAAATTCAAATTTGATTTTTTTTGTTGATAATTTTGATGCATGCAGATCTCGACAGGAAAGAATGATAAGGGGCTAAAGCTGTACGATCCAGGATATCTAAATACTGCACCTGTTCGGTCATCGATTTCGTATATTGATGGCGATGAGGGTATCCTCAGATACAGAGGGTATCCTATTGAGGAATTGGCTGAGAGCAGCACCTTTGTGGAAGTGGCCTACCTCGTTAGTCAGTATCCATTCTTTACTTAAATTACTCTACGAAGTGAACTTATTTAGTTATGTTAAGAAGATGTGATCTCTGTTTCATTTTCAGTGTATGGGAGTTTGCCGTCTCAAAGTCAGTTAGCAGACTGGGAATTTGCTATTTTGCAACATTCAGCTCTACCTCAGGGTGTTTTGGTGCGACTCACTCTCTCTGTAATCGTGACGTCAGTTTTGGTTGCAAAATGTTAAGTGCTATTGTTATTTATTCTGATTGGTCTTTCTAGTATTATTATAATATAAATAAAAGTAAACTAGATTAATAAATCGATCAAACGTGATAAAATCATGCAAATTGAAATGGATGAGATTCAATTGAAGTCCATATTTTATCTCATTTAATCAAAGATGATAAATTAGATGAAACTTTATTCAGTTAGTTTTAAATGGTCAATTCGAATGCAAATGATAAGAATGCTATTTTTTAGGTATTATTATTTCAATTCTTGGCTGAGTAATATGTCACAAAATTTCATTAGAACTTCTTATATATGCATCTATATTTTTCACTAGTGAATCTAAATAGTTTGTAAAATCTTATGGTTTTATAATACGATTGCACAATTTGTTACTTTCAGAATATCTGTTGACTCAAATTAAAAATGCGTTTTAAACAACATTGATCTTAAGTGTCAACAGATGGGCTTGAAATTCATCTACAGCATCAAGAAGTAGAACTCATTGTGTTTGGTGTAACAATTATATGAAGAAATCTTGTTACAAGTTAATCAAAAGCTTTATTTCTTGAAAGTTCCTTAATTTGTTTTGCAGGATATGATACAGGTGATGCCTCATGATGCACATCCAATGGGTGTGCTAGTCAGTGCAATGAGCGCCCTTTCCATCTATCATCCTGATGCTAATCCAGCTCTTAGAGTAAGTTCATAGATTAGCTTCAACAGTTTGAGCTTTATGTCTGGGCATGCTGTTTGTGTCTATATCTCTCTGTTTTTTTTTTCATCTTCCACTAAATTAAAAAGAATACTTGAACTTGGTAATGGTAGTAGCTATTTTGATTATCACCCGGTCTTTGAAGCTAATCAAGTTTCATGATTGGCATGGTTCTATCATTCTGTTGTAAAGTTTAGTTTTATCATTGATTTCTCATATTTTTTAGCAGAAGTTATGGGCATCAGCATTTCTTTTATTATTCTTAAACGATTGTGTCAATGTGTGTGCTTATTGCAATTTATCTTATTAGGTTCTCATACATTTTTTATTACGTTTTAATTTGGTGCAGGGGCAAGATCTTTACAAGTCAAAACAAGTGAGAGACAAACAGATTGCACGCATTCTTGGAAAGGTTTCTTAATTCAATTTCCTTTCTTCTTTTGGACCTGGACAAGATGTGGTTTATGACTATCCATGCTGTCCGACTCTGATTTTGCAACACTTATATACATAAACACCCATGTTTATATATTTCAGCTTAAATTTGTTTGCTGCATTTAAACAAATATGGATTTCAGCAGCCTTGGTCATAATCAGTTGACTGATAAATGTAAATTGCGATATTTTGCAGGCGCCAACCATTGCAGCTGCAGCTTATTTGAGGTTGGCTGGCAGGCCTCCAGTTATACCTTCTAGCAACCTTTCTTATTCAGAGAACTTCCTGTACATGCTAGATTCATTGTACGTTATCCAGTCATTTTTTTCTTTTTTCTTATTGATATCTGATAACCATTTGATTTCAGCAAAATGCTAATTTGTTCTCGTCTATTTAATGGTTATCTCTACATGTTTCCCACAACACTACTCTTTTGTCATTTTTGGGAAGTAATGAAGGCTCAATTTATAAAGCTACAGAATGTGATGGCATAGTGGCCCATCTTTTTTTTTTTCAAGATTTATTTTCATCTTTGAGATGTGGATTTTTCGGTGCCCTTTTACACAATTAAGATTTCCTTTCCCTGGACCTGCAGGGGCAATAAGTCTTATAAACCTAATCCTCGACTGGCTCGAGTACTAGATGTACTTTTCATACTGCATGCAGAACATGAGATGAATTGCTCCACTTCTGCTGCCCGACATCTGGCATCCAGGTACCATCTTGGCTCCAAACAAAAATAAAGAAGCCCTTTGTCTTTTCTCACTTTCATTCTTGCAGTTTTGTCGATATATACACTGCTCTTCTGGGGCTGTACTAAACCAGTCCTTTGTCTTTTCTCATTTTCCTTGTCTGAATTTGCAGTGGCGTCGATGTATACACCGCTCTTGCGGGGGCTGTTGGAGCACTGTATGGTCCTCTTCATGGTGGAGCAAATGAGGTAACCATAATGGCAGGTTTTCTCCTCTACTATTTTATTACATTCGTAAAAATGGTAGCCCTTCCTGTTCTGGTATTTTATTTTACCCTAGCACTAAGCCTGTTTCTGCTTCATGGTTTCTTGTAGGCTGTGCTTAAGATGCTGAGTGAGATTGGAACTGTTGAAAACATTCCAGGTTTCCTCGAGGGCGTGAAGAACAGGTGTTTATTTCTCTAATTAAGTGTGTGCATGTCTGCCACAAAGTTCATAATTTCTCCATTTTTGATATGCTTTTATTTCTTTTTAAGTTTAGATATAACATTCTTCCACTTCTGTATTCTCCAGGAAGAGAAAGATGTCAGGGTTTGGACATCGTGTGTATAAAAACTATGATCCTAGAGCAAAGGTCATTAGGAAACTGGCAGAGGAAGTGTTTTCCATTGTTGGCCGGGATCCACTCATTGAGGTAACTACATTATTTTGGGGGTTGCCACTGCTGTGTGTGCATACCCCTATCTCTTAATCATGTGTCATGGTGCATACTATGCTGGTTGTCAATTCTACAGAGTTCCCATACCAGAGTTGATAAATTGCTACAGACCCTGACACGGTAATAATATCAAAGTAAATTTCATAGAATCATATATTGCTGAGTTATTCTGAAGAGCCTTATAACCTGGTATCATTTAAGAAAATAACTCTACCAACTACTGAAGAAAATAGTTCTTATGGTGATGCTATATGCTTAAACATAAACCATGGAGAAACAAGGTGTAAATGATTATCACAACTTCCTTTTACTGTTGTGTTTAGTGTTTTCTGCCATGCCTCTGCCTTATGTTGCTGTATATTTGACGTGCGAGTGTGTGCATGATCATTTGAGCTGTAATATTTTCTGTCTACGTAAAGTATATTAGAGGGAGGGAAAGAAAGTTTCTTGCAAGTATAAATAGAGGGCAATCCCTTATGTATTTGCAATAGATTTATTTTGGTTGGAAAAAAAATGATGCAAGTGTGGCTCAACCAGGCTTTTAATATTTCATTTTTCCTTAAATTCTATAAAAAAAATCGTTATATATGATACATTCAGATTGTGTTGCATTTCCAAGGTCTTATGCTTTAGTTTTGTGTTGTTCGCAGGTAGCAGTTGCCTTGGAAAAGGCTGCACTAGCTGATGAATATTTTGTTAAGAGGAAGCTATATCCAAATGTCGATTTCTACTCCGGGTTAATATATAGGTACGGATAAGTAGTTATCAATTTTGCACCTTATAATATAATGCATTAAACATAAAGAATAAAAAAACACCTGAAGGCACACAAAAGAACTCGATTTTTCCTCAAGCATAAAATGTGTGTGATAGAAAGTCTTATTAACAGGGCGATGGGATTTCCGACGGAGTTTTTCCCTGTCCTATTTGCAATTCCTCGAATGGCTGGCTATTTAGCCCACTGGCGAGAGTCACTGGATGATCCTGATACAAAGATAATGAGACCACAACAGGTTACTTTCTAATTCTTTCTTGAATTCGTTTTGTTTGTTCTTAATGGGTTGGTGCAGCAGTTCTTTTGACAAAATGACCATGTATTAAATTTGTCGTAGACATGATGCTTTTCTTGAACCCCGGAATAATGGGTCTATTCCATCACATGGATGGTCGACTTGGTTTTGTCAGCACAAGAATTCCAATTTATAGATCATATTGACTAGTTGACTGATAAACCCCTACTGGAACTGTAAACTCATGAGTTTTGACGTTGGCTTCCATGCTGTGGTGAAAGTTGTGAATCTAATTGGTTCTGGGTTTATGTTACTTTTAGATAGGTTGGAAATTGCATCATTCTAATCCAAATCTACATCTTATTTTCCATCAATATGTTTCCTGAACCAAATATAGAAAATGCTGGATGGCAAATGAAGACACTTGGAAAACTAATGTAAACAAATTATTAAAATGCATCCTTTAGTAACCTCGAGCACAGGTTTAAGATTGAAAAGGTTTATTTTTTATATTTTAGAAAAAAAAAATTTAATTTTTTCTTTGGGTCTGTGCAATGTTTAATTAATGCTAGGTCATGCATGGAACATGGATCAGAGTTTTGAGCACTTAGGCTGTAGAATTTGACACTGTATATATTGCCATTTCTTAAAAAAATTCACAAGGGCTAGAGCAAAAACGGTTATTCCTAGATATAATGCATACAGAGTATTTGCGTACCTTCTCCTCAATGAATCAAATAAGCTTCCCAGATTTTTTTTTTTTAAGGAAAAAAAGGGAAGAAATGTAGAATCTGATTCTTTGATTGGATTGGTATTAATATCTCTTTGGTGTGACAAAAGAAATTAATATTTATAACTTTTCAAACTGATCTGTTTGTCGAAACAAAAATAATGTTGGTTATTTTGAGTGTAAAATTGTTATATTCACCTTCATTGAAGAGTCTGGTCTTGTCATTTGACTGGGTGTGACATGATTTATTGTCAGTTTGGCATGCTATCACCATCACTATCATCACACATGCACATGACCATCAAATATTTTGATGAAAAGCACACAATTCAAAGAATTGTATTGCTTCAATCAGTAGCTCAACCAAATAATGAGAGCTTCTTTGACTAATATTCTGTTAATCAACTTGGAAGTATGTTTTGTCAATATCCATTTTCTTTTTAGCAATTAGTTATATTTCTGATTTGTATTGGAAATTTGGGATGAGTCATCTCTTTGTTTATTCAGGTTTACACTGGGGAATGGCTGCGGCATTATACACCACTCAAAGAACGGACGGTATCGAGCAATGCAGATAAGCTTGGTCAAATTTCGGTTTCAAATGCCTCTAGGCGACGACTAGCTGGATCTCGGGTTTAGGTCCCCAGTGGATTTCTATAATTCAAGGAAAATAGAAAATAAATCAATGACAAGATAATGGCATAGATTAATAAATGTACCACTCTTCAAGGTTCCTTCAGCCTAAAATCATGAATATGAATCTCGCTTTAGCTGTTAATCAGGTCACAGCACAGCTTTGTGTGTATTCACAGACAATGGTACATGATTTATATTTGCAATTGCAAGATTGAAAACCATTGAATATATTTCACTTGATGCATTTGTGTTTCCATTATTGTCCATTGCATATATTTCACTTCATGCATCTGTGTTTCCATTATTGCTCTTTCGCCTGAGCTCGTAATGCTATTTCTTCTTCCAGTTTTGTTATTTTCAGAGCTTTCTTGATTGATTTAGCTCCAAATTTAACGTAGCTATTGTGGTTTTAATTTGTTACCTCATCACTATAGTTGTAATATAATACCTTTCTATATTTTAATTCAATCTCAACCATTGAACAAGAAATCAATCCATACAGATTGATAGCACCCACATGATGCTGTGAGCTTTCAACCACCTTCCACAAGGATCCATGCTGCCGGAATCTGATGTTTGTAAACAAAATAGATGCTGCCGGAATCTGATGTTTTTAAACAAAATAAATCCGGATCTACAGATATTATGAATTTTCCACGTGATAATGATGTATCTGATGTTTGGAGTTAACCTGATGTAACAAACTTAGGACCCATTTGAAACAAGGAGCAAGGATAGGATATGACTATAATTAGTGCTTTTTAAAGATCTTAATGTGCACACCATTTCCAAATCCCAGAATAGGATGGAGGCGATCGGTTTTTGATAAAATTCAAACATGTTTGCACTGCTACTTTTGAACATGAGAACATGGACAATGACAGGAAATTTACCCCTATTTGCTTACCAAGAGATGGAGGAAGGTGAACAAGAATACTGTAGAATAGTCTGATCCAGTACATTATCTCTCGGTTTTGAATCGCAAAAACTGTTGTAAAAAGGGTCATAATCAATGACGAATCATGATTTATTACACTAGTAAAATATCAATCATAATAATCGATGTTTACACTAGTAAAATATCAATCATAATAATCGATGTTGTTAATACATTAATAACTATTAATAAATTTATTTTAATTTAAATATTTTTAATAGTTATATTAATTAAACATAATAAATTAATAATATTTCTAATAATTTAATATCAAACAATAATAGTTGAATTTATTAAAAAAAATTAATAAAACTTCTAATAATTTAATATCATATAAAAATAATAAATAATGACAATAACAACATTATCTAATGATTGTGATTGTTATTGTCGCTGTTTGTATGAAATGATATTAGAATCTCAATAACGACAAATAATGATAAAAGATGTGTTTACCGTGAAATTTCATTAATCTTAATGGTAATGGTGCTTCATTATCATAGTTTACCTTCTAGCGCCATGGATTAAATTCAATTGGATCGCTCTATGTTCCAGAATTAAAATGATGAGCAGATGTAGTAATTCTTTTTCTACAATCGACAATATATCCCTTTTATTCCCTTTTATGAAATTAGGTGTAAATGTTTTACAATCGTACCTTTAAATTTAATATCCTATACCGCCTTTCCTAGCAACCCAGGTGCAACATTTCCCAACCTAACAATAACCTGTGATTTTTGTGTGTGCGCCAGCGTATACGTTTTTCTTTCTTTGTTAACTCACACACTAAAAGATTCTAGCAGCAATAAAATTTGAACCCATGACATCTCGCATATAAACAAGAAGCTACTGCCGGTGTGTTAGATGCTCTAGGAATACTACTCCAAAAGATCAAGAGCAACTTAGATTTTATGATAACCTTATACGTAAAAGTCGTTGATTTATTTTTATCCTAGGTAAGCGATGAATCTGAGTCTTTTCTATTTTTGAGAATTTTCTTTCGTTCAATCTGTTGAAATATTATTCGTGTAGCGTTAACAAAGTGTAGCCTTCAAAGGCATCGAAATAGTCATTCAAATACGTTGAACCGTGTTGCGACCAGTGGTTCCAAGCCCTTTCCAGATTGATAGGATACTAAGTTTGTTATGATACACACGAACTAGATAGATTTTTAAAATATCTATAAATAGACTAGGACTCTTCAAAATTCAAACATTTAAATTGTAATTATCTACATCCTCTTATATATATATATACAAAAAACCCTACAATGTGTGGAAATTCATCAGAATATTAACTACTTCTACATGATATCAGAGCTAAACTAGGCTTAACAACCAACTTGTACCTTCCTTCTTTTTTTTCTTCTTCTTTATAAGGCCTGGTCACTACAAAGACTGCTACCACACAAGTCTCTCTTTTCTCTTTTAAAAGACTGCCACCACTATTGCACTATTTCACAGAACTCCTAATACCACTATATAAATCCCTCCTTCCTTTTTTCACAAACCGCTATTGCTGCTGCATTATTTTACGGACTGCGCTTATTACACTTCTGCCTGACATGGCCACTCCACCTGATGACGTTGAAGAATTTTCCTCCACTACTACTGCCTTAAACCACAACCTTACCACACCAACTGTTCCGTACCCAATTATCTCCCACCAACTTACTGTCAAACTAAGTTCCGCAAACTTTCTCTTTTGGCAGACGCAACTACTACCCCTTCTTTGTTGCCATGCACTAGTCCAACATATTGATGGTACCATGACACCACCAGCCCCCACCCTTGATGACAGTACTCCTAATCTTGGTATCGTCAAGACCAGTTAGTACTCAGCTGGATTATTTCATCCTCGACTGACTCTGTCCTGACTCATATTGTTAGTGCAACTACTGCCCAAGATGTTTGGCAATGACGAATATCTGCTTATGATTTAGGTTCTAAAACTCAAGTCCGCCAGCTTAAAGCTCAACTCAACGGACTACAGCATGTTAACGATGATATTTCCACTTTTATGTAGAAGGCAAAAGCATCATCTGATCAACTAGCATCACTTGACAGTCCAATACCCAAACGCAACATTGTTGATGCCATTCTAGTTGGCCTTGGGAGTGTGTACATGCCTTTTGTTAAACCTTTAAAGGCTCAACTAATTTCTTAGTGCGGAACGACATCAAACCATGGATGCTGCCGTGATAGAATCCATTGCTGCCCTATCTTCTCACTTTTTTGCCTGTGGTGGCAGCTCTTTCTGTGTCTGTGGTCATGGCCAGCGAGGTCGTAGCCAATGCAATGCTGGTCTTTATACTGGTAATTCATCATGCCATTCTTCTTTTTCCACTTTTTCTGCTTCATCTCTGGACCATTCAGCCATAGACAACAGTGCCATTATATGTCACGATTGCCGAGGGCATGGCCATCTTGCATGATAGTGTCCCTCCCCCAAACCAAAGCTTGGCTTTTTGGCAGCATTCCCAGTTCAAACCTAACAACCTTATTGCTATTGCTGAACAGTTGTCATTTGTGCCCTAGATTGTTGATTCGGGGGCTAAACATCATCTCGCAACAGATATATATGGACAAAAGCTTCCATTCAAAGTACACTAGGCCTAAAGAAGTCACTATTGGCAATGGTAATACTATCCATCTCTCTCATATTGGACAGTGCTCTTATTCTACATGATCATAATTTTGAATTATCAAATATTTTATATGTGCTTGCTGTCTGTTAGAACTTGTTATCGGTAAGTTCCTTTACCAAAGCTAATGTTGTGTCTATTGAATTCTTTTCAACTTATTTTGTGATTAAGGATACCCATAAAAGGCAGTACTTTACGTCGGACAGAATAAACAAGGTCTCTATGTCTTTCCATCCTTTGACCTCCCTCCTAGTGCATGTCCATCTCTCATTAATGCACATGCTTGTTTGCTTCCTTGCCATCCTAGCATGCACGCCTGGGTCATGCCTCTCTTCAGACTGTTTGTCAAGTTCTTCGTACCACTAATATTATATTTTCTCATAAAGATTATGTTCCACTTTGTCATGCATGTAGTATTAGTAAAAGTATTTTTGCAAGTCTCTTAATAAATAAAACATTATCGGTAAATGAAATGTACTGTAACATAAGAATCATTTTAAAATCAAATAATTGGAAAATGTAACAAGTTTGAATATTGCTTTTTGTTGGTCTGAAATGAATGTCCAACCATCACCATTATGAAGATAGATATACAGACCATCCATAAAAAAATACAGAAACCATTTCCATGTTCCATAATTCTCCCATCTCACCACTTCCCAACATATAGGATATATTTGATTGTTAGCATATCTTTCCATTGCAATTAGCAACTCCCCTTTTAATTGGTCTTTTAAAAAGCATTCATCAACACCAATAACCTTTCTACATCTTTCTATAAATCCTATCCTTATTGCTCTAAAGCAAACATACATCCTTATAAACTCATTGGTCTCTGGCTCAAATTCCACAATAACAGTGTTGCCTTTGTTAGTTTTTCTGATTTTTTCAACAAAATCTTCAAGTTGTGCAAATTCCATCTCTATGTTTCCACACAACAACTTTATAACTTTATTTTTTTATAGAACTTGCTTAAGTTAGTGAGATCTTTAGTCCCAAATCTACATGAGCTTGCATAATAATTTCTCTTAAAATCATTTTCAAACATAATCTTCCATGCCTTTGGATTAACTCATCAATTAAAGTCTTATAATTAACATATTTGCTTGTGAAGCTGATATCGCATGTATGTTCTCGCGCATAAGTCTTCATAACTTAGCTTGATATCCCACCGTGTAAAGAACACGGATAAGTCCACTTACAATCCTCATGCTTGAATGCAGCCCTAATCCTAACACGATCATCTTTTACAAACTTTACAACTCTTTTGTATTTCATTGAATGCTTTATAACAACTTGTTTAAACACTTTTTTATTCAAAAATACCATACCAATATGAAAGTGAGAGACTTCATTCCTATCATCATACATAATAGTCTTGCTTTCATCCTTTTACCCTATTCTACGTCCAAATCATTATCGGTGTTTGATAAATACATCACTTTTTCATCAAAATCATACCCATTTTCTCTCTTTATTTCTATATCTATCTTAACATAATTATCCTTACCAACCTCATCTACATTCCTATCTCGCATTCTCATCCGTTTCGTTCAACTCTAGCAATTCCTTGCCCTTTTCACATTTTGCATTTTTAACACAACTCGTTACATGTTGCACCTCTTCATCATTATTATCACTCAACCAAAAATATTCAAAATCAATATCTTTTTCACTTTCTAATCGATCTTCTTCAACATCATCTCCATATTCATTAGTATATTTCGAAGCTCTACTCGTCCCTTCCTTTTGTTTACTTATGTTCCTCATTATCATAATTATGCTTTTCTACTATCCCTTCCTCTCGTTAGCTCATTATTCCTCTCGAATACTCTCTTAGTAATTTTAACTTTGTTTTCTCCAAGCACCGTCATTTTCAACCACACAATGTCTTGAACTTCCACTAGTAGAAGCTTTATTGTAATCAAATCTACCATTCACATCAATACCAAACTTATCACATACACTCTTTGGATTGTTTACATTAAAATAATGATGTTCTTTGTCACCATATTCATAATACATATCAACATATTCAGTTTTCTCTACAAAGTCAATTGTAGGACATACACTTCGTCATCATATATCAACCTTGGGCATTTGTTAAATTTTTACCTAGTTTGGTATCTTTATAATACATATTTGTTATATTTGTATAACCATGTTTCTTGGCAAGCTTTGGTAAACCAAAAAAAAAAAAAACATCATCGTCAATGTTAATATCAATCACAATACCCCCTTCATATGTCACAAATAAACCTACACATCCAAAAGTTTTATGTAATTTTCCTCTAATATGAATCCTTAGCTTACCCATCCGAAGGGACCACTGTGGAGGGACAATGACAGATAAAAAATATTAACAAATTTAATTAAATAAAGAAAATTCACAAGTATAAATGGACCATTATCATATAACATTTTAAAAACCAAAAAAAAAAAAAAAAAAAATAAGAATTAACCCATTCAAAAATCGATGTACCTTATCTCCACTCAAGGCCTATAACTTAGAGTTGTTGGAATTTTTTTAACTTCATAAAATGACTGAAAGATAAAAGGATTGACGAGAGAAAGAGTGAGCAAAACTTATGTCATGTAGAAAAGGGTGAGCGAGGAGAAGATAGGATGAACAATTAGAGGGAAGATAAAATGGTTTATAGCATAGCTTCTCTCACAAATTAACGAAGAAGAACTTATAGGTTCCTTGACAAGAAGCGAAAAAGAAGAATTGAGGGTTGTTCTAACTTTCTTTTGTTGATTGAAGACGAAAGAGAGAGAAATTTAGTGTTAGGTTAGGTTTGAGACTGAACATTTAGAATATGAGGATTTTTTTTAAGTGGAGGCAATTTGGGGTTTTTATTTTTGCTTTTCATTTATTTTTTTACGGGTATTCGAAATTGAGAGGGAAAAAAATTACACTATGTGTCAACATCTTATTACTCTTAAATTGAAAATTGTTTTCGTTTCTTTAAAAATTGATCGAAGAGAGCAAATTTAGACGGGAATTGAGAATAGAGTGACACTATTATTGAAAAATTTAATAGAAGGATACGATTAAGACATTTAAAATAGCATGGAGACATTCTGAATTTTTAACCCATTAATCTCCTTTGTCTATTTCAAGAAATTAGGTCGTTAGAAATAAATTACTTTAAATGTTGGTTAAAAATTCGGACTCACGAAGTCAAGGAAAAATTAGTTTCTCTTTCTGACGCTTGCATTATTAGTCCTTTAGTGTGGATTCCGTATTAAATCTATGCCAAATGGCAATTAATTATAATGCAATTCCCTCATAAACAAGGTAGTGTTCATACTAGGATCTATTTCTATTTTATTATTATGAGTTTTTCCCATAACAGCATAATTTAATTAATGGCAATTGGAAGGTTTCATTTATATAATTGTTTTATTTCCAAATCAATAAATCTTAATATTTCATTCAAAATTGCTGATTATAGTAATCTAATGATTCCATTTATAGATTATATTAGATATTCTCGCTCTTCACAAAAATGTCCTTTGTTTATCTTATAAAGAGTCGAGGGAGGGAGGGAGGGGAAGAGAGAGAGAACCAAATCGGAAAGGAAATATATCCAGCCCAATTAACCCAATAGGAAATATCCAGGCCCATCAAACCCCATAATAAAATACTAGCTGTAAACTAATCTGGAGAAACATCATTTCTTTCATCCATCACCAACTGCATATATACAACCATCTCCATATCCGATTTCTTTTGCTGGGAGAAAAATATTCTTAAGACGTTTTTTTGTCAGTTAAATTACCTCTGTTTTAAACAAAAAGTTTAATTGAGTTTAGCGCATGGGAACTACTGGCATTAATAAAATAAAATAGTTATAGTACAAAAATTTTAATAGTGGATGTGAATTTATACATTGACAATTGAGAATACTAATATCAATTAGTTGGCTGAAATAAATATACAATATTGATAAAACCTACTTCCACCAACTATTATGTTTCTTGCAGGTTGAAATACTACAGTGTACAGAGCGGTATCTTCACCAAATTTGTATAATGGACAAGAAATAACCTATATCATAGTGTAGGGAGGCCAGTGTGAGCAGAGACTGAAGGCAGAACCTTCTTCCCTCTGGTCTCATACCATGCCGTAGGATTTTATAATATATGCGAGACCATGTGCAATTGTCCTCTTCATCCCATAATTCCGCATTTCCTAATGAACTTGTCTGAAAAATTTACATGCCGGTTCCATAAACTTCGAAGTTCTGGGAACCCAATATCAAGCCATGGCTTTGCTGGGCCACTAAAATGTAAAACAGCAGCATCACCTAACATCTTAGTATTGTGAGGTTGTGGGGGCCTATAACCTAGTCCACCGACATGCCATGAAGGATCAATTGGATGTACCTGACCCTCGAAAGCAAGCAATGCTGGTGGATGCACTCCTGGTTGCCATAATTGCATTCCAAAATTGAGGTTCTGCAAACAAGATAGATAGGGTTAAGATAATAAATAAGGAAAGGAAACAAATAACATACCCAAAACATAAAGTGAAGATGCAACAATCTTTTAGAGTATTCCAATAAAAAAATATTTGGGAAAAAGCACCATTGCATGCAAGTAACCGGAAGAAAGATGAAAGGGAGAGGAACAGGTAATACCTGTAAGGAAATAATGGCAAAAATTTTACTGTGCTTTATGATTATTTCTATTTCAATGCTTTTACTCAATTTTTGTCTATTAGGGTGTCTGCTATCTAGGATAAATTAATGGCATGGTTTCGTTTGAACTCTGGTGGAGTATCCTTTAACTTCCCGTCTAGCAGCAAAAAAGTGGCCCTCTTGAGTTTTCCATTTTTCATCAAATTCTTATTTTGTTTGGAGAAAGGGAAGATGAAAATTGAAATTGAAAAAAAAAAAAAAGAACTTAAAATTAAAATTAAAATCTACATGCCCGGTTCTTAGAAAAACAATTCATGATTCTTGCCATATCCATCTTCTGAAATAACACCATTTGTTATAAAATAAAATATGAATATGAGAAGTTTACTTACATGTTTCAACCATTTATGATAATTTGTAGTGATTTTGGCCCTCCTCCACGCTTCAAGATCAAAGACATTTACACCATAGAGCCAAACACAACGATCATGGTCAAAGTTGGATGAAATTATTGGATAAGAAAAGTTCAAGTAGTCTTTGTATTTTCTTCCCGGGCAGCAGTTTTCTCCACACCATGAATCAACAACTGCACCAACAACTTTCTTGTTGAGATCCAAGTCCCACAAAGATGACGTGTCGTGTTGCACCACTACATCTTCATCTAAGAATACTATCTTGCTGAGATCTGGAAACAGCTGTGTGGTCCATGAAAATCAAATTATGGACTAATCATTATTAAATACTTTGTACATTAAAAACATAGTTCATTCAATCAGAGAAGAATACTGAGTAATACCTCAGGAATATAAATTCTGAGATGACTCAAAGGGGAGAGGCATTTTGGGTTTAAAGCCTCCAAACTTCTTTCGTGTGCTCCATCATGTTGAAAGTTGGCATTTCTCAAATTGTTGTAGTAATGGCTCCAGATTAAGTGATGAATCTCTAACATTTCTTTGACGCCGACCTTCACCTCATGAGACCAATCAAATTTGTGCAACCCCTTAACTTCCACAGCTGCTGATTTAATAGGGTTGATTGCAAACCACGCATTCATTGGAGTGTAAGTTTTTTTGTCAGTGACTATATGGAAAACCAACTTTTCAGGGTTGGCTGAATGTTGGACCGTGGAAGAGATAACAACAGAGGCAGCAAGAACATTATCAGTTAAAAGAACAACATGGTGGAAGGATGGATCAGAGAGGCGAGAAACATATTCAGGGGGAGGTAAATGAGATCGGGCCATGGCATTTATAGCATATTCTTCAGTCAGTTTAAGGCAAAGGCAATGCAGGCTCTTCGGAACACCATGTGAAGCTAAATGCCAGTAAATTGATTCTTGCTCTCTGGCAGACTGAACCTTGTGCTCCATCATTGATAGCTGCATATTGAATTGAAAATAAAATAATTTAAAGTTTAAGATAATTCACTAGGTGATACAATATTTGTTTTGGATGAAAGCTAGATGACTTTATAATGACCTGGATTGCTCACTTAAAATTGTATGCGAGGGAAAAAGTAGCTTACTTATAGGTGATGCTGTTGATCCTAGTTTATTGGTTCTGATTAACTTTCATGATGAAAAAATAGTGGAGACTAACGCAGAGACAGCCATAATAATAGCTCGAAATAGAAGTATATTGACACTTTTGTCAGTATTTCATCAGAATGATATAGTCCAAACATAAAAGAACAGGCACACTATGCCTCACCACCCAACCAAGCTTGCAAGCACGTGCAAAAACAAGCAACCCATACATAGATATTAAAATCCTAACTTCGAGCCCCAGTAATGTAACAGAACTCCTATTCGTGCCTTGTGCCATTTAGCTCCTCTACTAAATAACAGAAAATGAGCAAAAAGATGCATGCCACAGTGAGTATGAACTGCATGTTAGAAAACAAGTAAAAGGATGCATGTGACAGACATGAACTCAAGTAATCAACAACCTGGGCAATTCAGACCTGCTAGAGGGCAGAAGCATTTGTTGTTCCATTACATGCCCAGACTTGCCTCTGATAAATAGCAATTTGCTAGTTGTTAAATATCACCATCACTTCATAAAATATGTAAATATGGTGTACACAAAAAATCACTGTAAATTAAAAGCCTAATCAAAAAGTAAAAATAGGTGCATCAACATTCTTAAACATTATATGGTTAAAGACTAATTTCCTCTCTCTCTCTCTCTCTCTCTCTCTCAAAAGCTATATATGCATCAATTGTAGGTCATTGGTATTTTGGCCAAGGATGTGAACAAGTTGGTGAAAGGTGCTAATCTTGCAAATTTTGCAAGGGTAACTCACAAAACATATCGTTGTACACTCGTCACCAAGAACAGAGTGTTGTGGACTCATATGAGCATGGCTTGTCTCAGAACTTCGAAAGGCAGTAAAGGGATGGTATGATTCCATCTTTGTTGGGGTAGATCGATTCTTGAAGATGGCACACTTCATTCCTTGTTGTAAAACTTTTCATACTACTCATGTTGCTTAACTATTTTTAAAGAAACTGTAAGGCTACGCAGTGATCCTTATTATATTTCTTCTGATGGGGATGTAAAGTTTGTAGGACAAATTTGGCGGACATTGTCGAGGAAAACAGGAACTGGAATACTCCCTCACTTGCCATCCATAACCAATTGTTAATCAAAGTTTAGGGAAATGTTGAGATGTCTTTTTTGGGAATCATGTGAAGAATTGAGATTATGTTTTCACTTGAAACAATTCTGTGAATAGAACAATCAAGAAGACACCTTTTGCGGCTGCATATAGACTCAAACCACTAGTACTTGATTTAGCTCCTTTGTCACTTAGGACTCAGGAGTGAGATGATGAAAAGCTTTTGTAGATGATATATAGCGAGTTCATGAGAAGGTGATGGGTGCCTTGAAAGCAAACAACTAAAGTTATGCTAATGCAAGTAATTTACATTTAACAAGTTTGAAGAAAGAGACGTCATTATTATATACTAGAGGCAAGAAAGGGTCCCTAAAGGCAACTAAAGTTATGCTAATGCAAGTAATTTACATTTAACAAGTTTGAAGAAAGAGATGTCATTATTATATACTTGAGGCAAGAAAGGTTCCCTAAAGGCACTCAAAATCTGAAATCGAGCAAGTTTGGGCCATGTAAGGTGCTGAAGAAAATAAACTCTAATGCTTATGTGATTAAGATTGGATGAACAAATCATCTAATCTTCAAATTTTCTGATTTGTATCCAATTTAGGGTTTTGATGGAGAAGCAGTTGAAGTTTGAGCAATATCCAAGGGCACAGTCGAGGGTTATTGAAAATGTGTTAGATGTGAAAGAAGCCACGACTTGAAAGGGGAACCAATATAGAAGATTCCATGTGAAATGGCTGGGTAAACCATCTAGTGAAAGTATTTGGATGGCTGAAGAAGAGCCTAATTGGGGAAAGTTTTCTCACCAAATTCGAGTTTTGATAACAGGGGAGAATGACATAGGAGCTTCATTATAGTTCTTTATTATTTCAGTAATTTTGTTTAATTTATTAGTTAGTAGTCGCAAACTAGCATGTAACTTCTAAAATATTTGAATGGTTAATAAAATTTTTGTTCGGGTGCTCAATCTAGGGCGGGGATTAAAGTTTTTACTTAACCATAATATAGATAAACTATAATTTCATCAAATAGACTTCAAAAACTAAAGGTTTTCTTAGACCCTAAGTTATAATGCCTAGTTTGAACTTCATACTCACTTGTTTCTAGCCTTAATTCTTGACATATTGCTGTTTCACTCCCTAAACTACACCAAGATTGCTTCACAACCAGGACTCTGGTTGATTAGGAAATAACCAAGGTAAATATTCTTGATTATTTCCTAATCAGTAAAAGGAAGAAATCAAGGAATTGAACAACTCAAGATAATCAGAAAATTATTTCAATCATCTAATCAAAAAAGAAGGCCCAGCATTTTATATAATTTATTTTATTATATTTCCTTATTTGTCTCGTTGTATGCCTATATAAACTCTACATGTGTTGATTGTAAGTTATCCAATTGTCAATAACATTCTCTCCTATTTTAAAATTTTTACACTACTCCATAGAGAATTTTGTTGGATCAAGCACTCTTGTCAGTTTAAAAACAGATCAAATAAACATGCCTAACCCTGATGAAATGTCTACCTTATTCTCAAACAAGAAAGAATCTTATACTTCTTTCTCTAAACCTTGAGCTACAAATGCATAGAAGTTACTTTGGTTTTACAAGCAGCTCAAATGTATATTTTAGACAAACATGGGAAAGTTTAAGACCGTGAGCTATGATCCCAGAAAGAAAAGATGGCATCAAATTAGGATTGTTAGAAGTCGGCAAATTGGTTAACTTGCATACATCATGAGCAACAGAACTAATAAAATCAGCATAGATAAAAAACTTCCAACCATATCATCAAAATAACTATCAAATTTTCATATATGCATAAGTAAAGAACTCTTTTCTCGAGCACCAGCTGTTAATCAAACGGCCCTAAATGAAGAGGTAACTAATCAAACTTAGATGCAAGAACTTTTTGCATTGCATGGTAAGCTTTTTAAAGATATGCCATACTTGTAAGCCAATACTCTCTTGAAGTAACAAAAGTCCTTTCACAAATATCACAAAATATTAATAATGACTTAAAATTCACCATGTGCTATGTGATCATGTTTCTTTTTATCACAGAACTCCCTCTTCTGCTTCCCCCTCAGCAAGTGAACCACATTGTAGGCGAGTACGAGTAGCATGTGCAAGCGGAAACGTAACATCAGAGGATCGTAATTGCTGAGTAATTAGTGACTGATGGTAAAATGGATAGTGCTAAGAACTAAGAGAGGACCTACTTCAATTTTATGTAGTTTTAATATGGCTGTACAGAAACAGATGGATTACTTATGTAGCAATATGGGCTGTTTTATTTTCTTCTTTTGATAAAGCAATGGCAATAAAACAACACATCAAATTAGTTTTTAGATGGAAGTAGACTAGAGGACTTTTACCGACTCAAAACACCCACCAATACCAAGAACATTCAGTAAAAAATAGTAGCTGAAAGAAATCACAAGAAAAGGAAATGCCAGTAGAAGCATACAAGACAACTAAACAGAAATAAGTTCATGTAATTACTACAAATACTTTTTCGTGTGAATACGTACCATGGCCTTGGTCCTGAAAGCAAAGGTCTTTATGTCATGTTGGTTTGAAATCATTTCGTTGACAAGCTCGTTGAATGATTCTGCTGAACCCTCTCTTCTATAATCACCACCATTGGTGCCATGGCCCTCTTTTGCCTCCATTAAAGCTCTTGTCAGTTCTTCTCTTAGCTTATTTCATATTGGATTGGTATACATGCATCGCCATAGGAAGAAACCATCACAAAAATGGAAATGGAGGAGAATTTGAACAAAAAAATGGAGAATTGCAGAACAACTGATCAAGTGGACAAGAAACTAGAAAGCAAGCAACTGGTCGAAGTAAAATACGGATGGTTCCTCAAAATGCATTTGTCTATGGACTGCAGTCTCTACAACTTTCAAACTATTTATGGTTCTCAGAAAGAAAAACGGATATGGGGCCAAAAATAACATCACGGCATTTCTATTGTAATAAGAAAGCCATGGATCATTAATCTCTCTTCTCGGGTGAACGAAAGAGAATTTGGAATAAATTGGTCCATGTTGGATGATGCATATGCACGTATTACAGCCCAAGGTTCCTAACAAATTGATGATTGAAGAGCTGAAAAATATGAGAGACGTGATGTACCAGTTCCTCAGTGATTAAGAGAAACGGCAAGGTGTAAAGATTGCTGGCCCATTAATTCAACACCAAAACAACAACAACATATGTTAATGTGTGCCCTATTTACCTAATTAATCCTCGTCGCATTTACTCTTTACACGTGTATAGTTACATGAATAAAGTATTTTCGACTTTAGATTTAATTTGAGTACTAGAAAAAAAATATTTTGTTGCTATATTTGCTCCTTTCTTGTTTTGTTTCCCTCAAAATAAAAAAGAAAGTTACTAAGAAAAATTTATAGAAAATTTTCATCAAAAGTGACATACCAAAGATGCATCGCTGCCGCCGAATAACCGCCATCCTATGCAATCTGCAGAAACAAAAGGAAGCACCAAAAACAACAATAATTAATAAATTAAGACAAACGCAGGAAAAAATAAATAAACAACAAAAGAAAGAGTAATTAATCACTACAAGTTTTATTATATTTTTTAAAGTGTTTACCAAAAGCAGAATTGCAAGCAGAGGCAGATTCAAGAACCAAAAAAGCAAATCTAACAAAAAGAAAGGGCAAAACAATCGAAAGCAGCAGCACCACCCGCAAAATCGTCCGGCGAGAAATCCGACGAGTTGCCGCAGCAGCCACCGTGGATCCTTTGGCAGAGGAGTTGGTGCTGATGGTGACTCTCTTAATCCCGGTGGTGGAAATGTAGAACTTCATCTCCTCATTTCTGTCTCGTACCGTGAGATCGATCTAAAACAGTCGCAGAGGAAGCAGCAGTAGCGTATTCTGCTTTTGGCAGAGAGAGAAGAAAGGGCAAAATGCCAAAAGGGAAGCCGCGGGAAAACGATAGAATGCAGTGATACTAGCTAGTACTATATAGTTATTGCGGTGTCAGGAATGTGTTTTCATATTTTTGCCCATGGATTTTATATTTAATTACATATTTGTCTTCCATTTCTTCAACTTTTAAAGTTTTATCGCCGACAGATGGGAGAATATCCCATAAGCACACCCTTGATTTGCCAATTTTACCGCAGAGATTCAGACAAAAAAGTTTTGCTTTTGCTGAATAAGTGGACCGCGAACGATATTTTTTATATTATAATTGCTGTTTTATGGCATTAGCTAGCCCGTGTCACTGCGCGTTTTCGGGGAGATAGTTGTTTTTTTTTTTTTCCCCACTTAATAGAAAATGCTAATTTAATTTTACAGTTATTATGAATGTTTTATTTACGTTACAGGTTAGCAAACTATCTTCTGGTCAATTTTCATGTCAACCCGAATTAAATTTGTTATTTTTAAAAAAATTATATTATTATTAATCGCATTTAATTTTGAACTGATTGTAAAGATTAGAACTTTTAAATGTAATAGTAGTTCATTATTGTAAATGATTTTATTGAAAAAATTGTAAATTTGATGCTTGTCTTTTAATTGATTTTTATTTGAGTATCTGCAGTGAGTTTCATTAGTTAAGAATCCATTATCAAAGTATGAGTTTAAATTTGAAAAAAATAAAACACATATTTAGTTTTTAACTTTTTTTTTTAATAGATTTTTATTTGAATATCTCAAGTTCTCAGTTTTAATTTTGTATGTTTAAGATTTTTTATTTTTATGTTTTTTTTCTATTATTCGTTATAGATAGAAAAAACATGATACGGTCGTCGTTCCATATCACGTGGAAAAAAAAAGTTAGAAGAGAGGCTAGATTAAAATAAAAATAGAAAAATAAATAATATTTTAGCAAAATAAATTAAACATAACTGAAAATAAAATAAAAATTAGAAATATTAATTCACATGTCATTTTAAACTACATTCCTTTTTCTCTCCTTTACTGTTTGATTAAAATCCAAATTAATGTCAATATGGATTTGCGATGATGATATAGGTGAGTGTTTGTAGAGTTTAATAATTCTCAATTTAAATAGATAACGATTGTAATTGATAATTGTCGTAAAACAAGTTGATCAGTTTCAAAATTTATGCTTTTTTTTTTCTCTATTTGTGTTAATAAACAAAATATTTTAGTTTCCCTTTAAAAGTTTTTAAAAAATATGAAAAATGTTTAGAAAGATTTTGAATTTCAAATTCATTTCTAAAAGGAAAATCATAATGCATATAATCTTTTGTCTTATTCCACACAATTCCATCGTGGCCTTGTGATCCATGTCCAATTGCCTGGATTGCAACTTTTTTATTTTATTTTAGAGATGATTTTTTTTTTTAAGAGATAAGTATATTTTCTAGTTAGTTTTCATGATTTTTTTTTAAATATGTTATTTACATCTGAATTTAATTAGTTTGTCGATTAAAAAAAAAAAAGAAACAATTTTGAGAATTTGAAGACTGAATTATCTACAAGTTATTGGGCTAGGTCTCGAAGAGAATGCTGGTTACAAAACGAAACCAGGAAATTTACTAAAAAAAATAAAGAGAACAAAAGAAAGAACGAAATAAATGAAAGATATTTGGACGCTGCTCTCAAACTACCGTCCACCACTTACATCAAACATGGTTTAATGACATGTTTTCCTTTGGAACTATTGAAATTGTGATTTTAGTATATTGAGATTTGTATTATTAATTGAGTAAATTTTATTTTTAAATTATCAAGTTTTAAGTAAATACAAAATTTCAGTTTGATTTGGTTATTATCATTAATAAAAAAATTCACATAGGCAAATAAAAATTCGATATATTTTCAAAAATAATTTCAATTTTTTTTTAGATCACAGAGTACTTTTAAACTTTTAAGTATTTATAAAATTGTTGAAATATAAAATACTTTTAGAATAATCCCAAAATTTGCAGGCCTAAAGAAAATCATATAAGTCATATGCTTTGTCTGGATACGATTCTCAAAAAAATTATGTAGTTATATACATAACCCATACCCAAGATTTAAAATATGTTGATTTTAGAAATTACATAAGTAAATATTTTGAGAGTCGTACTAAAATTATTTATTTAAATTCATATGGTCTATTTATCTTTTTCCAAAAATTTGAGATAATTTCAACTTATTTTTAATTTCTCATGACTTAAAAAAATTTAAAATTATTTATGAAAGTGAATTGAATTTTTCTTAGCTTCTATGAATTATTTCAATTTAAAATTATAAAAATTATTTTTTTAAAAAAAATTAGTCAATAATAACAATCAACAATCAAATTAAACAAATGGACAATATTTATAAAAAAATATAATAGTTTAAGAATAAAATTAATAAAAGATATAGTACAAGCTTCAATATGCCACAAAGTCAACAGCACATGGGCAAAAAATGACAGTAAATTACAAATTAGTTCCTCTGGTTGTGAATTGAATAGTTTCTTTAGTTTTAAAAAATCATTAATTAGTTTTTATATTTTTAAATTTATTTATAACTTAATTTTTTTTCTTTTGTCTTTTATGTTATGAAATAGAAATGGCTAAAAAATAAAAAATAAACATAAAAATATTGACGAGAAAAAAAATATTTTGAAACAAAACAATATTAAATTAATTATAGTTAACATTAATTAACAGACCAATTAATTAATTTTTTAAATTGAAAAATAAGTTGGATTATTTAATTCGTTTTGTAAAATTATAGGGATCAATTTACAATTTGCCCCCTTTAAACTCATCAAATATCGGCAACATAAATAATAATAATAATAATAATTCATTCGTGTCTAGCCACAAATAAGAACCAAGCAAGCCCCTGTGAGATAACCGAAGGGGAAAAGAAATGGCAATGGCAATTCTAAGCTACGTATCAGCGAACTCAACGACAACACCCATTCCTCAAGACCCCTCCTCCTCTTCCTCAACTCCTTCACCAAGACAGACCAAAGTGCTACTTCCCAAAAAGAAGCCATTAAAATGGTCGACAGGGGTTGCTCCTGGGGAGTATGGTGGTCCACCTACCACCACAAAGCTCCGCAAGTACTGGGGAGGGGAAGATGAAGACCCTTTAACCTCTGATGATTTTATTTGGAACAAAGACTTCATGCCTCGCATGAAAAGACTCCTTCATAATGGTCACGACGACCCTCTTCTTCAAACCTCTCCTGCTAAGGTCTCCTTTTTAACTTTTTTTTTCTTTTTTCTCACGCTCTTTCTGTATTAATTTCAATGTTTTTAGACTTGCTAATTAGCTTAATTTCCAACTGGGTTTTTGGGAATTTAATATCTGGAAACAGGAAGAGTCCTCTGGATTTCTGAGTTTAAATAGGGCCATGAGTCTGGATAGGTAAGTCTTCTCCTCCCTAATTCACAATGCAAATAATTTCAGATTTGGAGATGCTAAAATTTGTATTGTGCGCATATCTTTAGTATGGAAGTCGATTTGAGTAAAGAGCTGACACGACGCCCGAAGCCCATGAGCGAACAGCCAGTTGAGGCTAAAAAAGTAAGATGATGATTGGTTCTGTTCTTGGGGAAGTTATGAAGTTACCTCCTTTCTCACTTCTTGTTTTGGAATGTAATGATTCCCAGGTCCGCAGTGGTTCATCACCAAAATGGAGGATGGCACCGACACGCCGTGAGCAGGACAAGTGGGATAAAGCTACCAAGGCTACAACTAGCGGCAGTGTATGTCACAGACATTACCCCAGTTCACTTATTTTGGTGTTTTTGTTACTTTAGGATCCTTTAGTGTCCAATGTTTCTGCTATTACTTTCTTGCTAACCGTTATTTCTTATGATCAATTTGATTTCTTTAAAAAGAATCAGAAAATAAATTCTTCCTTATTGTGCATTACCGGGAAAACACTCTTAGCTGGCTCTTAGATCACTTTAAGACAAAATAGGATGTTTAACAACAAACTGAAAAAGCAAAATAACTTGAAAGCTATAAGGAACCTAAAGCAATAATTTAAATGAGAAGTGCAGATAAAAATTGAGATAAATTTGCATTATGTGGGCGTGACCAAATAATACAACGAGAGAAGGGGCTCTATTTATAGGGCATCAATGCATGAGGGCCTCGAATACAAATCATTCCAGGACTCTTTATCTCTTACCTTGACTGAATTAATGTGAAATATTTTGAGTGTAAACAATAATCAATATATTTAATATCATTCTGAAGGTTTCCTTTTTGGTTTTTTGTGGTTTTATTACCTATGGATGGCAGGATGTGATGTTTCGGGAATTGAGGAGGCCTAAAGGGGATCCAGAAGTGTTGGCTGCTCAATCAAGGGAACAGTATTTTAAGGTACCCTTTTGTAGCATCTGGGTCCATAGCAATTTTGTCTTAAATGATGCTTACTGTTACATTACAAAGTCAAATTACAGAAATTTCTTTGGTGCTTCTGATGATGGAATATTTATATTCCCTATTGTTTGAGCAGTTGAAGAAGAAGTTGCAAATTCTCACATTGGGTATAGGCAGTGTTGGTTTAGTCTCAGCTTATATCTCTTATTCGCCTGAAATCGCTGCTAGGTACACTATCCATTGGTGGTTGTTCATTGCAAGTGAAATTGATCTATTTCTTTTTGCTTGCTCTTTATCTGAGGCCTCATTTTAGTCATTTATTAGTATTTGCATGTTGCTTCTACAAGTCTACTATTCTTCTACATACACATTGTAAGGGGTTTTGTATATGATGTAGGACAACTTTAGATTTGTGTCTGAGGAAGAATTCCTTGTGAGCTAGGGTTTAGGTTTTGGTGTATGTGAAACTTGAGTAGATCAGGAACTTGTTTAAAGGAAAATGGAACGTCACTGCAGCTATTAATGTACACAATGGACTGCAGCAAGAAGGATTTAGAGGGAGCAGAAGAACAAAGCACTTAATGAAAGAAAAGAGAGGATAGTCCGGTGAAAGGAAATGTGATTTCTATGTCCAGTTGATAAGTTCTTGATCATTGCTAGTGAAACTGATCTATTACTCTTTGCATGCTCCTTATTATATATGCATTTAGTCATTTAATATTTCTAACTGTCTACGACTATTTTATAAGAATGATAAAGAGTACATGATATTGGTCAAATTTAGCTTTGTGTCCCACAAAGGATTTCTGTCAAGCGAGGTTTGGTTGATGCAAAATCAGGGTAGATTAGGAACTTCTGTAGAAGGAATTGTGATGTCAACTACAGCTGTTAATAGCACATGAGGTAATGTAGCAAGAAGAATTTTGGAGGAGAAGAAGAGCAAAGAACTTAGGTTAAAGGAAAGCACAAGAGTACTCGAGGCCACAACTCTCAAACTAAACTGAAATAGTCATAATTCCATTATGAAGTCCTTCTATTGCATAGAACAGGTTTTCATTTTATATATACCAGAAAACCCTAGTAGTCCTAAACTAAGTTGGAAATTGAAAACCAAATAAGAAAGGAAAATCATAAATAATAGAAAAAAACTCTAGCTAATATTCTAATTTCTTAAATAAGAGAAGGTAAATAAACACTGTTGATACTCCTAAGCAAGATGAATTCCTAAATAAACCAGGTTTACAAGAAATCTCAAAATCTAAAATTAAATTAAAATAATTTATAAATTTCTTGTTCTTGGCTGCATCAGTAGATATTTGTATGCCTTTGAGATTGTGTATTCGATTTCAGTTGTCTGTACATATCACAAAACTGAGACATGTGATTTAAATTGAATTGTTCTTTTAATAGATGAATCATAACAGTCTGCATTCTTGCATGCTTTTTTTAAATGTTACCTGGATTTAAATTGTTAATGTGTTGCTGTATTAATAGACATCCTTAACTTTAGTATCTTGTTTCACCCATGGGTAACACACACAGATGCTCTTTGAATGTTTGACGAGCTTGCCTTGTAGTGAGTTTTTTCTATTTAAAATATTTATTCACTCCTTGGATGATAGTTTGAAGTTCATAGTTTTCTTATTTTTTTACTAACAGCTTTGGTGCTGGATTGATTGGATCTTTAGCGTATATACGTATGCTTGGGAATAGTGTGGATTCCATGGCTGATGGAGCAAAGGGACTTGTCAAGTATGTAAACCATCCTCTGAATGTATATGTTAGTTGTGTTTAATTAATGACTACATTTTATGGACATTGCATTATCCTATCTTTATTGATATCACACTCAGCTGTTCAGCTCTTTTGGGTATTACATGCATGCGAATCTACTCCTTTCCCAATCCAAAGAGACCGTATCAATGCCTTTTTTCATTGAAAATTATTGCAAGAGTTTAAGACAAATATATTAACACCATTATCATCAACTACTGATATGATATTTTAGGTTGCTACTGAAAACCATTACTGCATGATACATGCATGTATCTTGCCTTTCTGTTCTTCATAGGCTTTAATGAGAGTGTGATCTTAGTTACAGACAGTAATCTTTTACAGATAAAGCAGCAGGAGATTCCTGCTGCTGCTTATCATGTGTTAGTCATAGTTAACCAATTCTTTGAGGTTCCTGCTGCTGCTGCTGATTCCCAAGCTATTTTTTTTTTTTTTTTGTGACTTTAAACTGATTTCAAGATCCTATTTTTTGACTACCTAAATACTAATGCCGATTATCTAAGTCTCCAACCCTTTATCAGCATCAGGAGATTGTCTACCATCTGCTCTACTGGATGTTTTCAATGACGTTTTGGTTAACAAGAGGACTCAAACCCATATGAAATTGTTGTTTTCTTTTGGCAGGGGAGCAGCTGCGCAGCCAAGGTTGCTTGTTCCGGTTGCGTTGGTCATGATCTATAATCGGTGGAATGGGTAAGTACTCGTGAAATGCTTTTGCTGGTACATTGATCATCTGTTACTTTGAAGGGTTCTTTTGCTGAAACCAATTTTTCATTTTGCAAATTTTTTCTTCAAATAAGCTGCAGCAAATTATTATTGTTCATTTCTAATTTTTGTATAAAAGTAGATTTGTATCCTTTCGGATGTGGAACTTGGCTGTTGTCTCTGATATTCTGCTACAGATTACATATCTTGAAGCTAGCAAATCAAAAAATTTATCTACCTGTAAACTAGTTCAAAGACCATTGATAAGAGATGTGATATCTGTAAGGAATCGACAGGAAAAAAGGAAAGCAATGATATCTGAGGATCCACTGATCCAGCAATCGATCTCTTCTTTTTTAGCTTTTATTTTAACCCATTGTTGAATGGAAGGATCCTCTGCCCATAAATTTGATCGAAAATTATGTTTTGATATGATGTTTTTAACTGTGCAGTCTCATTATTTGTTGGTGGGCATCTAAAACCTTCGTAAGATACAATATGATTCTCTGTATCATTGCTTTAATTGACATCAGTGATCGTCTAGTACAGCTCTTCCATAACAATTTTGTTCACCTATAAATGGAATAATGAAAATTAGATTTGCATGGATTTCGTAAGTATATTCTTGGTGAATCTCTTGACAGTGCAATATTTGAATGCAGGATCCTTGTTCCAGATTATGGATTTATGCACTTAGAATTGATACCAATGTTAGTGGGACTTTTCACGTACAAGATTGCAACTTTTGTTCAAGCTATAGATGAAGCACTTGCTCCACTCGTGAAAAAGACATGAGTTTAAGATGAGCGCTCAATATGCAAAGGGGATGTACAGCTAATACTTATGAAATTGCAAAGGTACTTTAATCAATTTTTGTAGCTCATACACATGCATTTTTGGCCTTTGATCATCTGCGAACTGTTCTTTTCGTTGATGATAGTATATTTTTGTTCATATTTACAGGTGATGATTTCATAAATTGGCTGGGGAGCCAAGGGCAATAATTTTTCCTTAATTTTCTTAATTCCAGAAAAATGAAGGGAAACTTAATCTGGTAGTTTAAGTACGAGAATCAGTTGCTCCTATTGGTGTCCCTTTCAATGCAAGATGGCTGGCGAGAAGTGGGATAGTGGTGGTGGCTTTTTTTCATTTCAACTAGCATATAGAATAAGCTGCAGTTTTTACATTTTGTCCGAGACAATTGTGATCACTTTGTTAGTGAATCGAACAAAGGAATGTATTATTCTAAAATTCTATCTCGTTTAGTCTAGGGGTACAAAATCACTGTACCTTATCTGAGGAATTGTTATTTTTTTTATAAAAAAAATAAAAGAAAATATCTGATGTCCGTTTCATAGACCAGGTCTCTTTCCTAACATTTGAAACCTGAAAGAATAATGAAGTAAACTCTATCAGCCAAATGCTAAACTTGGCACTGTATTTGGTTCCCACACTTGTTGAGAAACCTTTTAAGTAGAGGTAAATTGGGTAAAAGGTTTTAAGTCCCCAAACTAATGGTCTAAATGCAATTAGTTTCTAAACAAGTTGTCCTAAGTAATTAATTCTTAACAAATTTGGGATTTAATCAGCTCTTTAGGTTAGTTAATTACATTAAGGTTTCCCTCCAACGATGGTTAATTAACAAGTTCGTGACAGTTGTATCGGTTAAAATGCAGATAAATCCTGAAATTAGCTAACAAAAATACTTAACTAAATCAAATCACCAAATTTATTCCCGGACTGACTACGCCTGTGTAATGTTCAGGGGCTGATTATACTTTTCCCTATATCCCAGACTTGGACACCTTTTCACCCTTTTAGGTAGAGTAAAGAACAACGGGATTGTAACAAAGGTTATAAACTACTGAGTTTTTATGCGAAGGAGATAACATGTACTTGCATGTTCATTTTTCCGAGTCTAAAACGTGTTCATCCTACCCATTAGTCAACGTATTGCGGTATGAGATGTAACTGGCAACTGCTGCCACTGCATTTCCTTCACAACTATTACTTGCATGAGGTTTGGAGATGCTGTCTGGAGCGAATCAGAAAATCACTTGGTATAAAAATATCATTAGAGGAGGACTTATTGGATGCTGGTTCAAAGTTCTATTGACATAGAGCAAGTTATACCTACATGACACGACTATCTTAACCAGTGTTTTGCAGGCCAGCAGCGATACCCTTCATGGTTAAAATAATGGTGTCTTCCAGACCTGGAGCATACTCGCTTGTAGGGTTAAGCTTCACAAGCTCTGCAGCCGGTTTGGTCGAATCCATGTAATCCTTTGACAAGTGTGGCCTCACTGTCACATGGTAGTCAGGATCACGAATTTGCTTCAAAGTGTAGGCTTGGCAAACATTAAGGGTTGTGATATATGCATCACGAAGACGAAGCCTCTGCTTCAAGTAGGGGTCTCCTTCGAGAAGATCCTTATGGCCGGCAATCTACAAGCACAGAAAACATAATGGATTTATTCAAAGATGGATCCAAGCTGTATCCTATTATAAGCAAAGAATTGTGGCAATAGGCACTCAAACATGAAACAGGATTGGATCTAGAAATGTTCCGAAGGGAGAAAAGAGAAATGGATTTTGACAAATATATATAATTAATCCCCATACCTGGAGGAGGAGGAGCTTAGTTTCTTCATAGTTTGCTCTCAACCGGTCTCCAAGAGGCTGCAGTTCTTCTGACACTAGGAGCTTGTCATACAAGGCAGCTATTCCTGGATTTCCCTTGGCAAAAACCATCTCAACTAAGTCAATTGTGACCCTGAAAAAGGGCCACTGATTGTACATCTCCTGAAGCACTTGCAGATTTTTTATATCTTTTTGAATCACATGCTTAAATGCAGCTCCAAAGCCAAGCCAAACTGGTAGATGAAACCTTGTCTGGGTCCAAGCAAAGATCCATGGGATTGCTCGGAGTGATTCAATGCCGCCACTTGGCTTCCTTTTTGATGGTCGACTGCCAATGTTCATCCGACCATACTCCAACTCTGGTGTTGCCTGCATCATGGAAATCCCAAACCCCAGAAAAAGGAGGTATGTCCATCAGTATACTAATTGCTATACCAAAGGTGAAAATGAAGGATACACAAACTATTTCAAACCTCAAACACTAAATGACTTTGAAATTTGTAGGAGAGTTAATGAGACTAAGCCCCAAAAATGAAACATTAAATACTCAGTTAAGAGCAAAAAGAGAAGGAATCTATCCTGCTCGGTAATCACAGGAATAACTCAAGACATGATCATTTGATTTTTACTTATTTCAAAAGGGATAGACAGAGAAATGAAGATTAGTTATGTTATAACAAGCCTTTCCTCATGAATTGACATGGCTGCTAGAATTTTGCTGCTACGATCAGGTTAAACAAATTTGCAAGAGAAACGACAATGGCTGAGTTAAATACTTACAAGGCGAAAATATTCAACAAACCGAGGTTCTTGGAAGACTATGGATCGATATTCTTTTGTCGCAACAATTGCCATCTCATCCATTAAAGCACGCCATTCTGACTTTGGTGAGATTGGGGGATGCATTCCATGCTCAAGTGTGGCAGCTGTAAACCGCTGTAGTGTTCTGAAACATAAGTGTTCCTCACCAAAAGACTTTTCAATAACTTCGCCTTGAACAGTCACACGAAGTGATCCGTGAATGGTGTCAGGTGGTTGAGATAATATAGCAAGATGGGTAGGCCCTCCTCCTCTTCCAACTGTCCCTCCTCGACCATGGAACATGGTTAGCTTAACCCCATATTCCTTTGCCACTTTCACAAGTTCTTCTTGAGCCTTATACAGCTGCCAAGCAGCAGAGAGACGCCCAGCATCCTTTCCAGAATCTGAGTATCCTATCATGACTTCTTGCTTCCCCTTGATCCGGTTTCTATACCAATTTATTGAGAAGAGACGAGCTACAGCAGCAGGAGCAGTTTCAAGATCAGCCAGCTTTTCAAACAATGGAACGACCCTAAGTGGTTGCTGGACATGAAATTCACGCTGTAACAGCTCAACAGCAAGTACATCAGAAGGGCTTGTGGCCATTGAGATTATATAAGCACCGAAATTGTCTGGAGGAAGTTCTGCAATGACATGAAATGTGTCCAGTACATCAGCAATTTCTTCAGTTTTGGGAAGATCAGATCCAAAAAGAGGACGTTTGCCACTAAGCTCATATAAAAGCCATTCCTGCCTATGCTCCTCAGACCATTCTCGATAGGATCCAATGCCTAGGTGCTTTGTGATGGCATCCAGAACATCAGTGTGTCTGTCAGATTCTTGCCGGATATCAAGTCTGACAAGTGAGAGCCCAAAGGTAGAAACTTGCCGTAAGAAATCAAGAAGGCTTCCGTCTGCAATTGGTCGATCACCACAGGCACAGAGTGATCTATAGCAGAGTTCAAGAGGCTCAAGAAACTACAGGAATAGAAAACCAATCAGTAAAAAGCAATCATCTTGCATTTGGAGAATTACAACAATTCTTAAGAGATACGTATTTCAACACCTCCCTTTCAGACCCTGTTCAATAGATCATAACTAATGAAAAAGGGAGAGGTTGCTGGTGCATCATATCTAAAGTAAACACATGAAAGGAAAGATCATAACTTTTGTTATTACATGTTTCTAAAATTTCATAAGATTGAAACACATGTATCATCTAAATGATCCCGTAACAGCTATATATTTCCATTGTACAGCTTCTTTGCCTAAATTTAAGAATATTCTGAATGATTTGAAATGATATGTATAAAATGAAAATTAAATAATTTAATCTCAAACTTATTGAAATCGTTAAAGTGACCTGCTCAACATTGGTGAAAGTTGAATCCTCAAGAATGTCAGATTTCCCATTCGCTAATAACTGACGAGAGCGTTCACGAGTATTGTATAGCTTGTCCCTTACATCACCAAGAATAACACGATACGGCTCATTTGGAGGGATTTGTTTCCAAAACTCTGTTCTCATTACCCATTTAGAACAAAAGAAAAAAAATTTATCAATCAAATATACTATAAAAAATTAAGAAATCTGATTAAATAAATTTACAATACATCAGGTAAGACTATTAAAATATAGTGAGAAACTTCAGGTAAAGCATCTAATATTTAAATATAATAGGAAACTTCAGTTAAGACACCCATAATTTCATGAAATTGTTATCATATTGTCATGCTAAGACTATTTACATTCCTAGATTTTCAGAAATAAAATGACATTTTCAAACATCTTCAAAAAGGGAGTTGATGAAATACCTATGTAGTGCTTTGCATATCTCCTTGAAGAGGAATGAAGTTCGTCTGCACGAACACGAAGTTCTTCATTGCAGCGCCACATGGACAACTGTAAATGAAATCAGACAAACTCACAGAACAGATGATAAGAATGGCATGATTATACTATGAAGACTATCGTAAACAATTTTTTCCATACCTCAAACATAAGATCCTCTATTTGAGAAAAATACAAATTAGCGGCCATCATCCTAGCCAGTAAGCAGACATCTCGTGTAATTTCAGGAGTGACGTGTGGATTTCCTGCAAACATCGTTCGGCATATATTAAAATAGGAAAATATTATCAATGGAATGTGTGCCTTCTTATCATTAACATGTCAACTATTCTATACCAGTGATCCATATATCAATGATGCTCATGTCCAAAGTCGCAACCATCTTAAAAGAAATAAAATAGCAGGGGATATCAATTGAATGCAGAAGTTAATGGGATAGCAATAAACCATTGAATACAACAAAGAGACGCACCATCACGATCCCCACCCATCCAAGAAG